CGATTATCCTTAAAGAAAATAATTGAATAAAATATAATTAATTTGTTCGTACTCTTCGCAATTGTGTGTTTTGTTGTTGCAACTGTTCAATTTCCCACTTCAAATCATCTCGAGACTTAAATAGAAAAATAATAACTGTTAAATACTGCTAGTAACCTTCAGTTGATCTTTTTCTAGTTTAGATACTGTGCTCTCAACCATAAACGAGTCAAGACGTATGATTCGTTGAGCTGCTTTTAGTCGAAGATTCTCACCCATCCTTAAGCGAGTATTAGTTCCGTAACTATTCATCTTTTATTTTACCTTTCTTCCATTACTTTTTCCAATTTAGTTCTATAATGTAAGGATGCCTTCTTAGCTAAACTGGCTACTGATTGCCAGTCAATTTTCACATCATCAAGTCCTATTCCACCTTTAAGCATCAGTTCAATCAAATTCAACAAGTGAAAAGTGCGATCCAGTATGACTCCATAAGGAAAGCAACAAACTCCTAAATAAGTATATTATTAAGATGATTCATTATTTTATTAACCTTCGTCTAAAACTGTTCGCATAATATCAACAGAATTCAATATATGAACCTGTATATTGGTTAAAACGGTTGTTGGATATTGTAGAGTTGGATCAGACGGTAAACGACGTTGAAGAGACATCAGTAAGTTATCAGATCTGAATTAACGTAACGTATCTGATGAGGGTGAAAAGAGTATTGGTACCACCTTTTCAAAAGTTTGTAATAACCGGCGTTCAATGTCTGCCCAGCCACTTCATCCCAGTGAGGATGGACAAGCCTGAGATTTCCCAACTAAAAGAACTTGTGTCATGACAAAGGCATTGCTTTCTAAATACTTCTTCATATGAAAAGTATCCATTTCCAAGAACAGCTTGCAAAGCAACGTATGGGAGACCTCCACTACCGGACGGTTTTGTTTGAATGATTGGAGTGATTCCAAGGGAATCCAGGACTCCGTTTGAACGAAATACGCATTCCTGTTGAACTGTTTTTGCTGGAGAAATACATCTCTCCTTACGGCCAGGACCTGTAAACTTAAGTTATATAGGTTATCATCATATATGACTACCTTCGTAAATTGGATCAAGACGTTTATCAGGTGTTATACTTTTCCGACTCAACGATTGCCGCAGACCTGTGACAGGGGCTGAGAGCCGTCTGCTAGCTAATATCTTAAACGCACAGCTTTTTTTTTACATTAATATGTTACTCACTTCTCCATTCACTTGAAACTTCTCTTCTGCACCCTGTTGGCCAGCTGACAATTTTCTTCTCAGCTCTTGGATGCTTTTGTCATCATCGTCATCATCATCTATTCTCTATAAAGAATCAAGCAGTGAACAACGAATGATTGATGATTTACATATGAAGATGGACCTGCACTCGATAAACGAGATGTTCGAGAGGTAGTTGAAGACACATCATTGGAATGCATATTCAATTTCTTAGAAGGCTCGATAACTTCTGCAGCACGCGCAGCCAGTATAGAACCCAAAGGACTGTTTTCCTTTTCTGGTTTCACTGTACTAGTGCTCGAAGAGGCTGAGACAACTCGACAGCTATCAGATGATGTCCTTAACAAACAAAAATTTAAGACGAGAAGAAAAAATCAAGAACTAACGAGCTGACTACAGGAGTAATGAAGTCAGACGGGTAGTCGTTTGCTTCCTTTACAGTGTTTGTGGAGCTGCTAACAGTATTTTCTTTTTCGGGAGTTTTTTCTTTTTTCACGATTTTCTTCACAATCCGTACCTGAAATAAGAATAAGATATCATCAAGATATATGAACGTACCTTTTTCTCTTTTCCATCTTCGCCAATGATTGTAGTAACAGGAGACTGGGAACTTGTGGGTAACGATCCTGGCTCAAGTCCTTCACCAGTCTTCTTCTTAACAACTCTCTTGATAATTTTCACTTTTTTGGGAGGTGGAATAGCAAAGATTTGAGTAATAGGAGTGATCCATAAAGAGTAATTAGTTGAAGATTCAGAGACCTAAACAGCGAAGGATATAATTTGAATTGATAACGAAACTAACTGATTCCGTGGGAGAACTAACTTGTGATGATTGCTCTGTCGAGTCTGGAGTGTCTTCACGACGTGTAGATGATGGAGGATAATCTGAGCACAATAAATGAAAACTTGCTTGCCCCTTAAATTATATAATATTAGAATAGACTAATTGCTATTAACCTGTTCAAGTTCAACAACAAAAAATGCCCATTTTCCTGGATACAGTCGATTGAACAAACGAATTAATGGCTGTTTCCAATCTTTCCCACGATCCAAAACTATTTCTAAGCAGCCTCCACTCAATCCATCAGTAAATATCGCACTGTTCTGAAAGTATTACAGATATGTACTATTCGCGACAATCCGCGCCACTGATAATTTGAACGAACACCGGAATTTCATTTATTATAAATCAGCTTCTCTCTTTCAAGCAGTTATATCTCTTAAGCATTCACTGCTCATTGATTCTTATACTACAACTAGCGAAGCAGCTGTTACTATGGGGTTGTATTTGACCCTTTAGAGGTTGTTTCTGGACATTAATCATTACAAAAACTTGTTGTAGAATATTTTAAATTTTTTAAAGATTCAATACTAACTTTTGTGAGCTGAATCCGTTGGTATACATCGCTATCAAAGTCTTCTAGGCATGAGACAGACAAGTCCGGTACATAGACAACCTAAAGGACTGTATTGTATGCGTACATTCGAAAATATTACCTGTCGTCCAATATGCTTGAACGGCATTCGGAATGGTGATTGGGATAGAACGGGACCAGGCCCGATACTGCATTCGATTCCATCGAAATCATCACGTAACGCATCCTGCACCTCTATAATAAAACTTATTAGTCTTTTTAATTTTTCATTTTTGAGAATAATTGTATGATTATTAATTTATGCTTCCTTCAGGTACATTAGCTCTTCATTTTCAAAAGATGAAAATGAAGAGCGGTTGCAGAAGGAAGCAATTGCTGATTATATCAAATAACAAACTTATTTGAAATATGTTCTTCGCGCTCGTAACGTGGAAGAGATTTGCTGAGCTCATTTAACTCCAGATTGTACAATGTAAGAAGAGTTTCGGGGTGGTATTTAGCAAAAGAGCTTTTTCATATCAGATGACAAAGTTGAAATAGCTTGTGGCACCCATCATATTCTATTTTACATCGTTCCAATTCTTTAAACTTCCGCAGAAAGATAATAACTTATTACAGAATACTTGAAGAAGCATTAAGCCGTATTCAATTTCTATAAGAGCGAATGATGTAACCAATGTTTATGACACTGGCGACATATGATGATGACACATTCCGTACATCAAAGAAGCACTAAGCTAGAGCTTTTGTAAAGAACCCAAGATGTTACAATATGTTTTCGTTCTGTCTTCGGCTCGTACATGTTTCTCATGAAAGAACATCCGAAGATATTCAGTCAAATTATAACCTAGTGTGCAAAACAATGTGGCGTAGAATAACAAGGGCGTTCTAGGTTGAGAGCGCTATTTGCTTCTCATTCATCCCATCATCTGCTCGGCGAATCTTCAGTTTCTCTTATGCCAGCCTATCTCTCTTTCTTTCTCTGTGCTCTTTGAAGTCTGTTCTCATAAGACAATACGAAATCTTTGGAGAAGCTAGACGAGCTAGACACTTGTGGACTGCTGATAGCCAGACTACGAACAATCACTCCAGGCTTCTGTGTCTTTCCTGTTTCAGAATTGAAACAACCAAAAAAAACTAAACTATGTCTGAGAAAAACCCAAAGAGGAAAACGGATAATTTCCATTTTTAGACAAAACGATAAAGAACCATGAAAGATCAAGAAGACGGTATATTAAGCTGACTGGGATTTTATGAATACAGTTACGGCGAACAGAGTTAAGAGAAGAGCTACTTGAAACAAGTTCAATTCAAAAATTTACTAAGGTCATGTTCATCTCTCTCTCTCTCTTTCTCTCTCTCTTTCTCTGAAACTCAAAAGTTCATAAACTTGCTATGAGAATAAGAAAAGAACGGTTCGAATCAAATTGACGGAATATCATCAGATTTAATAAAAGAGAAATCACGAAACGTTGAACTTGAGTTAACTCGTTCAGGATGTTCATCATAGCAACTTCCGAGAACGTTCTCGAAATCTTAACAAACAAAACGACAAAAAACCCGAAAGAAAGAACAAGAGAATAAAAGTGCAACTCAGGAACTGTTACTTCATCATAGACTTGAGATCATTGAGCTCATTCAAAATACATGGACATTTAAGGAAAATATTGATTGATAGAACTGACCAGGCAGTAGAGAGAGCAGGTCGACAGCTCCTCCATCCATTGCACATTACACTGACAGCCTCAGCGAACTGGACCAGAGGAGACGAGAAGAGGAGGGCGACGACGAGGAAGGTGCAGAAGAAAAGATATAGCTGGAGGAGGAGAAATTGCAGATATAATGAGATTTTAAGAGACCCAATGGAAAGGAGAGATAACAGAGCAGTTATTCGGACTGTTGCAATACACAAACAAGCCGAGTCCCCCAATCCCGCTGAAACTTTTAGAGATCTTTTCGTTCAATGATGTGAGTACACCTGGTGCAGGTGGATGAAATTATGAGTAAGTTCATCTAATGTTCGCTTTATCCTTGTTTTTCCCTAATGCATAGGGGTAAATATTCAGTTCTAAATGACTCGAGTTGATCCGGAAACAAACAAAAACAAATATTTTTTTGACAGAAAAAAGAACAGCTTGGAAAATTATACAAGTAAGTAAGACTGTTAGTCAATCAATGAGTTAACAAGATGCAATTAAGTACAATGTACGAGAACATGCAATGAGATCGTCAAGAGGAATATTATAAGACAAATATTACTTATTACATTTGTAAGATAGCCAAAGAGCTTTCTCAGATTTCTGACTCTTCATCACTATCTAAGTCGATAACTGTGTTAACGCTTTTGCAAGAGAAAGGACATCCAAGATATTTATCAGCTATTTTCGCAGCTTCTCGCAACCCGCTTATCCAAGCGCCCTATGATACACGTGTTTTTGAAATATTCGGTTCTTGTTATTACCTGAACGGTTCCATGAAACTCTTTACAGGTATGCTCTCCCCCAAAAAATATCTTAGCATCCTTAGTTCTTATACCGTCAGGTCCGACACTATGAACTGATGTTCCTAATCTGTCCAAAAAACTTTCTATAACTCTAGAATAAGTTTTGTCTCAGAAAACAACTATACCATCTACACCAGGGGGGAGGTAAGAGAAAGCTCCCTTTATGTTTGGATCCTCGTTCCATCTAGTGATCACACACTCCAGCGGTTGTGGACTATTTACCCCGAAAATCCTCTGCAGAACGGTCAAACATTGTTTGAGAAGAACCTGAAGCGATGTAAAGCTTCTATTATATGAAATATGACCCACATGATTAGGAACAACGACTGTGGCAGAATGCCCTGACATCAGAGCAGTTAAAACGAGAGAGCCCGGAGTGGAGCAGAACATGTACATTTCTCCTCGATCATGCGTCTGCCTGTTAAGATGTCCAAAAAATTGTGTTTCTGTATTCCAAAAGCATCGGTCAAAGACCATAACAATCTGCAACATTCGGTTGTACCGATAAAACTGATGAGAAACTAGCTTTGTTGAGCGCTCCGCTTCCCACTTTGGTGATAGCCTCAATGTTGTCTTCGGGCAAGGGTGGTATGAACTTTATTGCTTCGGGTACATCGTAAGCCACTTTTTTCAGAACTCCCAGCGGCACACAACAGAGAACGCAATCTGCTTCCTCTACATATGTCTCTTCTTTGTCACTTGATTTTACCCTCACAGTAACTGTTGAATTAATATTTTGAGAACTTGTTTCGAAGCTGTGAATACCTTTATCTTCTGTATAATTTACTTCCGTCACTTCACTATCGGTGCGAATATGCTCTTTCATTCCTATCAAGAGCTTCGCCATAACAGATCCGAACCCTTCCTTGACTGATAAATCAACATCATTGAATGATAACACAAATTTTACTTACATCCGACTGAGTGTGTATCCCCGTAGTTCAAGTCCGATTGATTGTAATGCTTGGCCGACAGTTTGTCCAGAGAAGCTCCATACTTGCCCTCGTAAACTGCCATATGAAAATTCATAGTTTTCCTATCTTTGTTATTCATGAAGCAATCACTGAATGAATTAGCTAGTTATTTCTAATGACTACTCACTACTCAAACCTAGGCTCCTGTCGCTTCAAGTCTCTCAGAGTTGCTTCCAAGTTGTTCTGTCGTTCGATCGCCCCTTCGAGTTTCTTAACAAAACATAGTGAAAACAAATTGAACTCCGAACCTTGAGTCCATCAGCTAAATCACGATTACGACAACGTGTTTCGATCTCATAGACCATGCGGGCTTGCTCATCAACCGGATTATCAGGCATTTTTACTTGAGCAAGCAATTCATCGAGCAGTTTCGTATATGATAACACCTAGAAGAAAATGTTTCCAGAAGTCAACAGTAGCCCACCTCAGCTTGAACATTCTCGAGCTTTATAAGCAGATCCTCGTATATATCGTAGAATTCTTTTCTCCTATTTTGCATTTTCAATTCAAGAATGCTAGAATAAAAATCAGAAACACTTAGGGGGTCATAGAAAACATACTCCAAGAGACTGACACATGTTTCTTCCAGATTGAACGGCTCTCCACCAGGTTTCGTTAAATTCTTCTGATGTTGCATGTAATTATTCAAATCAATTATTTTCCTAAACAATCATGAAACAAAAATGGATAACTATAGATACAACTTGAAAGCATCTGCGACTAAACGCTCATTGCTGGATTCAACATTCTTGCCAAATTCATCGAAAAGAGGACATTCTCGACTGATAGCATAAGGTTTGCAATCTGCTTGTCTCATCAAAATTCCTACAGGGTTCCCCTCTAGAAAATAATAATACATTTACAAGTGAACGATCAAACTTACTGATTGAATGCATTATAGATGCTCCTAGATCTGCATAATCGACACGATTATCCTGAGATATCTTATAAGTCAAAGTTCTTCCGCCGCAGGATTTCTGGAAAGTCAACATAATAACTTTCTCTTTATCTTGATGGAAACCTTAGCCTCTAGCAGCAGAATATCGAAACCGAAATATACAAGTTGTCTAGCCGCAATCAAGCCCGAAATGCCACCGCCAATAATAATAACTTTCTTTCGAAACTTCGGACTATAAGACGGAGTGTCTAAAACATTCGAGATTTCAGGGTTGGTAAATTGAAGCTGCTGTCAAAACACGCGAGCAGATCGGTTGAAAAATCTCGGATCTCAACATACACGCTTACTTCGCAATCGGTGAAACAGTCCTATATTGATGTAACCATATCGTTGAAGGTAAGCATGAATTCTATAGATTAAACGTGTGTCGCCTAAACCACATCTCCGTCACATCTTGATAGCAATATTTACAAACTGTTATATGGGACGATCATCTGTTGCTGAGCATCATTAGCAGTCAGCTCTACGTTTGGATCAAGGAACCACATTTGAAGCTGTAATATCGAGATATTCCAAAATAAATGTATGTAGAATCACTATTTTGTTTCGGATGAACAAGTATAGTTGGCAAGACGCTGTGGAACCCAAAACATCAGGAAAACATCCAGCCTCTTGGTTTGTTAAACGATCAAAAGGTAAACGAGCTTGCTCAGCAGCAAACCGGAGGGCTAAACATGAACTGAGAAATTATAAAAGGAGGATTGATTACAAATGTCATCATCTTCCCAACGCAAAACTTGGAAGCGTCCCTCTTCAAGCAACCGCATTGCTTTATCGATATCTGACTTGCTCATTCTGAACAGGCTGGTTAAGTTTCAAATAAAGAAAATGTTAGATAAAGTTTTTGCTCTGACAATTGAATAATTCAAGAACATTATTGTAAACTCTGTATTAGACAGCCAGACTTTCCGTGTGCGGGAAGCAAAACTGCATAAAGTAACAACATCAACCGAAACACCGACAAAATTAAAATAAAATCCAGAAGAAGAGAACAAAACAGACAGCAAACATATCACATGAAATCATCTTCAAAATCATCAAATTTATCGTATCCGCCTCCTTTTCCTAAAAGAATAGCATATAAAGAATTAGAAACGATAACTACCATAATCGTCAAACATGCTGTTTCCTTTAGATGCACCCTTCAATTGAGCCTTCTTCTTCTTGGCAGCACCGGTTGCTCCTGGCTTAGGCTGAAAAAAAGTTTGAAAAGCTTTATGGTTAAATAATAACCATACCTTGTCATCTTTCTTGGAATCAGCCACGAGCTTCAGGTTCGTAGATATTTTCCTAATTTCGCTAGCATCAACTATAATGAGCTAATCATGAGTGATAAAAAGCATCAACCAACGTTTTTCGGTTATGGTGAGTATCAGTTTGTTAAGTAAGTCTCCATAATGGGTGGCCTTGTGTCGCGTATTGATAAAAGTTCCAATTTTCACTCCATAGTTCTCAAATTCTTCCTTGGTAACGATATCTTTATATTCAGGTTCATCAGTATCAGTTGGTTCTCCTGCAACGACTCACGAATAACGATTTTCTCTGAGATATGAACTTACCAAACATATCCTGAGCAAGTTTCAAATCATTACGACGCTGAATTTCTTCTCTTTCGGCAGCAGTCAATTCACGACCAAGACTCTCCATATTGATTTCCTGATCGAACACATGGAAAAAGCAAAAAGCTTGGAACTACCTTTTTCTTCTCAACTTTAGGTTGGTGGACAGGAGCAACAGGCTCTTCCACTACTGGAGGCGGGGCCAAAGAAGAAACGTCAGGGTTGAAATCCTCTGCATCTGAACAAAAAACAATAAATTTGTCTAAAATTTTTCTGTTACCCCATTCATCACTCATGATTGCTAATTTCCGCTAACAAGCTAATAAACCTGAGAAAGAATACGTACAATTTGAAAAAGAAACATCATAAATAGACATTTAAAGGGATTTACGGCCCTAAAATGAATCCAAGATAGTAATAAGATGAAACTTTCTATCTATTGCTAAGCACAAAAGAGTTAATTCGACTAAAAAATGAATACAAATTACATATGAGCAACATTATATGTGAACCAGATCTACAAATACTTGGCGAATTTATCCACTAAAAGGATCACTGAGTCGATCGTTATGCATTGGAGGCAACGGGCTCGATAAGTCTGTACTTCTGAAACAATATCAATACAAAAATATTGTGATGAGGGAAATGCATGCGACATCTCCAAGAAAATTGTACCGGGTAGGGCTTCCGAAAACATTTTGTCTATTTGTGTATGGTGGGTAAGCAGCATCAAGTGTAGCTAGTGATTCACCAAAAGTAGGAAATTGTGTTGGGTCCCTTGGAGGGGAGAGCACATGCGATCTACTCAATACAACATCAAACAAGCCACTACACAGAAGGAAGAATATGCTGAACTCACTTCCTGGGGCTAGTAATTGGCGAAAGTTGTTGAGCGAACGGGCCTGAAAGAGGTGCAGAAGACCCGAGCCCGGAGCTAAGAGGACCTGCAATTAGAGTCATGCTTTTATGTATTTAAACTATTTAACCAACCTGTGAAACTAGTGTTTGTTGAAAGAGGAGGAGTAGATACAAATTGATGATCAGCTGTAGCTTTACGTAACACCTCCGAGCCTTGATCAAAAAGAGCTCGTATTAACTGTTGAAGAAGAGAATGAAGGATGTATTGCATTCCTAACGCGCCAATACCCTGAAGAGCTTGTCATTAAGAAGTCTCCAGACCAGAAATTACGCTGTATAAAGCCCAAAAACCTTCACTTTCAACTGTTGATCGGAGACAATCAAAGAATCCGTTGTATTTGACCGGTATTGACACAGCCGATAGACCAGTATCGAGGTTATCAATAAGAGTTCGAGTACCTTAACATATATGTTTGACCGGTAAGAATAGGAAACGAACCTTGAATGTACATCCTATGCAAAATGGTTTCCGCGGGAAAAAGAATGAGATCAGTGAGGACAGATGAGGACAATCGAGCAAATAAAATAGGTAGATATTGGTGGAACTTCGACTTCTCGGCCTCGGGTTTGCGGGCCTAAAAAATTTAATTGAGCATAAATATTTGAATATGAAAGATACAATATATCTCTTGGCCATTATGTAGAACTGATGATGTAATGCGCTCTCGATGATGAAATGTGATGTTTTAAACGTCACTGTTGGAATGGCGAGATGAAGTACAGAAAATCTTTTGGATGCATCTCTGGCATTGAACACGGCGGCAAACCGTAGGCGATCTAGTCCTTTTACAAGAACATCAAACACTCTGTTATCATCTCCACCAAGCCCTGACTCGCTCTGAAACTCAGAACATGACATGATCATAACAGAACAGATTATACCCGAACAGTCTCTGTGAAAGAAGAAATTAAGAAAGGCGTCATTGTGAAAAAAGTGGCTCTATAAATAGGAGTCATGATTAATCTAAAATACAAACAGGAGCGTACGCTTTCAGCATTATGAATCGCCAATACTTCTCACTACTTCCATTCCGTACATACTGCCTGGAAGTAGATTATTGCATAAATAAAACTATTCTTCAAACCTAGGCAAACCGAAAAGATCGGCTATTAGAATTTCTGTTACGCTGGAAAGACCCCACACAACTGCAGATCCCAATGATCCTTTCCATAATGTCAACAAGCCCTGAAAAACTCACTTGAGAACAGAACACAGGGAAGGATAACCTCTTTTGATACAATATTACAAATGACCGGTACAAGAGTGACGGGGGTTAAATGCAGAGATCTTGCATGCTGGTGCACCTGACATTGTCTGCGTAAAACGGTGCAGGGATGAGTGACAAACAGCTTAGTTCCAAAACTGAAAGCCTAAAATAAGTGAAAATGCCGAGAGCTAAATCTAACTCAGCGATTCCAAGGAGAAAAGTGGCCAGTGGATCTTCAGTTGATACAGGAGGCGAGAGCTGTGGTACACCTGTACTTGTGGAGGGATAGTTCCCGCCTTGTTTTGGCCAAGTTCCTTCAAAACTTTGGGTTTTCGGAGAAGTGTTATCTGTCGTACCTCTGGTGTCTTGATTTGCATCAGAGTTCAAGATACTCGAGTCAGGCGGAGTATCACGAGGGAAATTGGAACGATTCCTGAGAAACTGCATGTTTCCCCCCTGTATAACTTAAAATAATACATTTATAGTGTATTACACGAACTCAAGACAGAAAAACGCTTTGACGGAGTTCAGCTCATGAAAACAAACAAATAGAGACAAGTATTCTTGAACGTTTTTGGAGTGATACCGCTCATACACAACACAACAACATATAATTTGAAAATGAAAACTCTCTTGAAAGAAAAGCACAGAACGAAATAAAAAAATAGTTTAAACCAGAAGTTCGAACAGCTTATGTAAAATTAAGCCACATGAATCAAGGTTTAATTTACAGTTGACGTCAGCCTGAAAATACGCGTGTTCCCACTAAGAAATTTTCAATGAAAAGAAAGACGGAATCTAACCTGTTCTGAAATATTCTTCGTCATAAGAAAAGCTATTAACTGATATTTCCAAGTATTAATGTGCGAAAGAATTAGACGCGTAACTGTATATGAAACTGCTGGACGGTTTTACTTAGTCGGATGCGACGCTTCTGCTACGAAATTCAATGTTCTTAAAATTGATAGGGTAGACTCTAAAGTTCTTTTAATTGGAGAAACCGAAGCTACGTATTCACGAGATGAAGTGCTGGAACTCCTAGCTACAGTTTCTGATGGAAATTCAGGTGTATACTTATCGAAATAGTTATGAAAATTCATGATTTAGTCGTTATACGATATCCTTCTGGGAAAAAACCACATAGCAAAGGGTTGATTGAACGAGTGAGCAATGCTTACGGTATCCTCGGAGCTGTAAGATTTTTGGAAGGATATTATCTGATAGTAAACAAACAATGTGAATTCGGAAAAATTCCAAAGCCATTTTAGTTGATCACAAAAGCTACAAGCGTTGCAACCATTGGTTATCATACTATTTATAAAGTGGCTGAGGTAGCTATGATTAGTATAACAATGGATGGAGTGTCCGTTTCAAGTGAAGAACAGAGATATGTCAGGCTTTTCCAGGTACATGATACTTACTGGTGACCAAACCTTTTTGTTTTCTTTTCCTTTAAGTCCGTCGATCTCTCCACTGATTTCTACTTCTCCTATTCCTATGATCTCAGTCGTACCCTGCAAGAAAACGCTCTGAAAACTGATTGGGACAACGTAACCATCTTCTTAAAGACGTATGATATCTTTTTTTTCAATACAGAATGGTACTCGGATCTTAACATCCGACCCGAAATTCGTCTGGAATAATTACCTTTTGGATCCGTTGAGGAATAACAACATATCTCAAAGGTGGTGTTTGGAAATTATTCATGGATACATAAGTATGTAGAGTAGAACTCTTGAAGAATTAACTTGATCTTGTTAAGACCAACAACTAATCAATTTACCTTGCAATAAACTATCACTAACACTTATTGGAAGAAGGTCTGCTGTTTATGCTGGTACTCGCTTTCTGAAGAGAGGAGCGAACTTGAAAGGGAACGTTGCGAATGATGTTGAAACAGAACAAATTCTCTGGGACGTAACATCATCTCTCTGCTTCAAGAGAGGCAGGTTTTCGGCGTTTTCTCAACGAAGAGGATCAGTACCACTACGGTAACTTACCATTTTCTATAAGAAGCACAACATTCCCTCAGTTGGTCTCAAGATCCAGCAACGCGTGGAGTTGTTGGCAAACCCCTCATATTGATTGATATCCACGAGCCTCATGCTCAGACAGCAGGAGCTCACTTCAGGTAGGATTCAAATTCGGAAAAAAACATCACACCTCACTTCTAGAGAAATGAGGAAAAAGTATGGAAGTCCTATCATAGTAATGAATCTAGTGAAAAGACGTGAGAAAAGAAGACACGAAGGATTACTTCACGAGCAATTTCTGAAGGTTGTTTCAGCTAGATGTAGTTTTGAATTTTGTTCTCTTATAGTCTATTAATTACTTGAACATATTTCTGCCTACAGAAGAGAAAATATGTTACTTAAGCTTTGATGTTGCGAGGTGTAACAAAAGCTCAACTATAACTAGTAATGTTTTGACGAAAATGGATGAAATTGCAATGAAAGCTGTCCGAACTCACGGATGGTTTCAGGTATTCCAACACTCTCAGATATTTCCAATAATTTCAAAATCTTAGTCGTTCCCTATCCCTAACAGTCACCAAATTTGTCCACGTTTCGAATTGGCTGGATTCACTCCTCATTATTCTCAAGATAAAAAGTTCCTTCTGCAAAGAGGAGTTTCTCGCACTAACTGCGTTGATTGTTTAGATCGAACTAATGTAGCCCAATTTGCAATAGGTATGAACTCTGAAAAATTTTGAGACACACAATTGATATAGGAAAAGCAGCTCTTGGTTGTCAGCTATGTGCTATGGGCTTAGTAGATACAGCTCAATTGAGCTTACAGAGCGAAGTTTCCTATTTTAACTCTGCAAAAATATGCAATTCGTTTGAAGGTTTGCCGTGTCTATGAAGAAATGTTCGACGCCCATGGTGACACACTGGCTTGGCAATATGCTGGCAGTCAATTGGTCCATTCCATCAAAACCTATAAGAAAACTTCCGCTTTTCAAGTAAGTTTTCTTTTCCTCCTCTCTTAATTGTTTTATCAATTAAGGAAAGAAGTCGAGATGTTCTTCAAACTTTATCCCGCTATTATAGCAATACTTTTGCTGATTACGATAAGCAAGCAGCTATAAATCTATTTCTGGGAATTTTTAGGTCTGTTGAAACATAAATCTTTACATATCCCTTTCTAGACCAATGATTAGCAGTACATCTCCTCTATGGGATCTACCAACAGACTACTATCTCCATTTTCCGAATACTTTGACGGTAACTAACGATGTCCAACAGATAAATGAAATAGTGAGTAGATCAAAACGGATTATTGTGCCTGGATGTACGACGATGAAGAATTGGAAAAAATCCAACGAATTGAGTTTGGAGAAACTATAGAAGAAGAAACAAAAGCTGCTCCTTCAGGTACGAGAAAACAAAGAAAGCTCGGCTCGAGAAATATCTAAACTAATCAAGCTCTTTTCAGCTCGAGAAATATCTAAACTAATCAAGTTAGACGCCTGCGATGACTATAGAAACCATTATAGAACATTTGAATTAACATCGATTGATGTCAAAATCAAGAATCAGGTGTTTATGCGATGCTCTTTTTTCTATAATCGATGTTCTGTCAGATTTTGGCCGAGCAAAGAACTGTAACTGTCAGTGGAATTAACCAAGATGTTTCAACAACTGGACAGTTCATGAAGTTGTGGAAGACAGTAAGTTTAAAATTCATTCTGGCGTCTGACTTATCCTTATCAGGAAAGTAAAGATGCGAAATCCTCGAAGAAGCAAGCCCGAGAGTCAGACGATGACGATGAGGAAGGCGAAGAAGAAAACAAAGAAGATGTTTTGGAAGTAGACGATACTTGGGTTCGTTTGACAGGAGCAAAAACAGAGGAGAAGCCCAGAAAAGAGAAGGAAGAGCGCAAACTAAAATCAGGTTCGATCCGAACTGAATAACCTTTTTGAGAAGTATAAATTAAGACGTTCCTATTCTGGCTGCAGGCCTGCTTTTCGCGAAGGATAAATACGGCTTACAGGGTTCCTCGCTTTCAAAAATTGATCGAGCCTTGTACAAAAGTTATGTAGCCAAGGGAGGACTAAAAGTGGACACAGATGTATTGTTTTGCTAAAATTCTTTTGCAGAAAATCGTGTTACTAAGATTTTTCGCGGAAAATCAGGTCTTATTTTAGGACTGGCACAAGTACAAACCAACGCTCTTGACTGATCTCCACGTCTCCTCTGCTGCTCAAAGTGATCGTTGGAGAACAACTGCTTTTTCCGAGGATGACATTTTCCAAGTCAATTCATGTTCTGAATAGTTTCTATTACAACTGGGCAGTTTCAGACTGAAGAACCTCGACTGTCGAAAGCAGCAATCGCTTTATATACCAAAAGTTGCGACTCAAATAGTTACAAATTGGCAGCCAGGGATAAGGCTATCTTTGGCGGCTACCCTCGATATATCTAAACTTTAATATCAAAATTGTGATCAAACGCTGTGATAATATTATTTATACTAACATTGAGATAATTATGAAAACAGATAAAACTTAAAATATAAAAAACATTCATGAAATAATAGGTTTATGTGAAACATCAGGACTACCAAATATAAAAGAGTAGCATGAATGGCTCATACAAAGTAACATTAACGAATAAGAAAACAAGAAATAAAGCTATACAACATTAAGGAGAGCGATGGAGCATCGTTTACAGTGAGTCCCACTCATTCTGTTATGTTTTCTGCAACGTTCACAATGCTTACCATCGCTTTCGACAAGCTCAACAGTGTCATCATTTATGGAATCATCTTTTTTGATAGTGACAACGGACACTCCGAATAGTTCGCATAACTCAGAGTGATATTCTCTTTCGCATGGTTGCAAACGTTTCAATAGATCGTAGGAAACGGGCTTGAGATAGAGTACCAAGCCCTGAAACAAAGGTTGAAAAGCAGCTCGATAGAAGCAAAATTACCATTTTACTAAGGTCAGTTTTGGGACCACATTTTTCGGCAATAACTGTTCTAATTGTTGCAACGGTGCTAATAATTTCGTCCAACTGGTGATCAAAGAAAGAACTAATGCTTGATATGGGCGAAGGAGATTTACGTAATATCTAAAAGACCATGTCTACGTGAATCTCGTATTTCACAATATGAAGACTTAAGGAAATGGCGAATGTTCAGAAATCTACTCACCTGTTTCTCCTCGCAACATGGTAAATGCTCTAAAAATTCAGCAGATAAGTGTGGTAGAATAGGTGAGATGATATGTGCTAAAGTCAAGCCAACCCTGTCAAAGTTTTCAATGAGAATAACTTGACGAATAATGAAAACCTGTGCAAAGTATGCTGAGCAGAAGTATGCTCATCCGACTCCAAAGCATTGCAGTATAGTCTATCACGGACGTAACTCTGGAATATCGTTCAAAAATGATTACTCATTCTTCCTACCACATAGTTTGTGCTCAGCGTTTTCTGAGTGAATTGGAAAAAATCATTCATTATAGTTCGGAATTTGTAATCTTCGTAGTTCTTGAGAGATCTTTTCTCAAACTTCATCACTTCTTGCAGTATATACTGAACTATGTGATAATAACTGCTGAATAACTAGTGTGTACCTGATCTAGAATAGGTAATTTCGATGGTACCACTCCAGTGTACTTATCGCAAGCGCCAAGCACAAACCGTAGAGAGTTACGAATTGAAATCATCTAAAACTTTGGTATTCTTATCATTCTACTTGACAATAACGCTTACCTTTTTCTCAACATCTGCCAAAGCGTTTTTTCCTATTTTGGACTCAGCTGCATTTTCTGCACCAGCCAGAGCAACCCATAGTCTTAGGCCATCGGCACCAAGAGCTTTCTGTCCTAGAGAACCATCAGTGATCTGGAAAAACGAACATGTACTTGAGAAGCTCTGTCTAGGTTTCGGGAGATCTTTGTAAGCCGAAGAGGATTAAAGGTCGAAGGAACGATTTTATGAAAATTGATCACGTCGTTCAAGGGCGTTTTCCCGCTTTTTCCACGTACGAACGACTATTTGTAATCATAGAACACTTACAACTTCAGGGTCCACTACATTTCCAATAGATTTTGACATTTTCTTATTGTTGTCATCCACACAGAAGCCATGCACAAAAACCCGCTTGTACGGAGCTTTGTTCTTCAAATTGAATAAGCGTATGATGACGTACAACTCTATCTATTTTGTACCTGTATTGCCGCGGATGTGAGTAGTAATGATTGAAACCAGCCTCGAAATTGATCAACGCCTTCAAGAACTGCGTCAGCAGGCTCCTGAATATTTCGAACTTATCCAAGTTAGTTATTTTCAATGAACATCAGTTTTAGCATCCTCATAGTTGTTTCTTGCGCAGTACCATGCCAACCCGCTGTCAACCCAAACATCCATTATATCATCTCCTTTGCGTAAATTGCACTGATGAGGTAGATTCAGCGATAGTTTCACCTAAGGTGAGAAGTTATAAGCATTTCATCGTTGAACAACCTCCTCGGTGAGTAAGTCCGCTACATCACAGGTCCACCAAGCATCTGAACCTTTCTGATCAATCAGGTCGGCAACTCTCTCTGATAACTGTTTGGATGTGTAAGCAGCTCCTGTGAAAATGTGTTCAGATGCACAATATAGCAAATCTTACCTAGTTCATCAACAACGCATGGAATAGGAGTACCCCAAACTCTTTGCCGAGATATACACCAGGATGGCCGAGTACTAATTATACGAGACAGAGCTTGTGAGAGATCTAGAAGAATGAACTAAAGCTCACTGTTACAGACCTGATATAGTTCACCTGATTCCCCACTTCCGATTCGTATATCCTTGATCAAATGGGAGGCGTTCTTTCCCACTTCATTTACATTTATAAACCACTGAGCGCTACTTCGAATTATCACGGGCTTTATGCACAATAGATATAATTACAATGAAATTCCATACCTTTTTCGTTCTCCAGTCGTAAGGATAAGAGTGCACATACTTGCCCACGTGTATGAAATCTTTTTTCAATAACCTTAGCAAAGCCTGTTAACTAAATTGTGCTTTACGGTTACCTTAACACTTCTTTCTGTCCTGCGCCCATCACGAACTTTCCCTCCAGATCATGTCCCATTTGCCGAGTATATTTACCATCTTCATCCACAAAACTGTGCACTTCGATATTTTTGGCTTTGGCTACCTAAAATGTCTCATCAGAGGAATCAAATCCCAATGAACAAACATCATAATCTTGGAAACCGTGAGCATAACTAGTGTGAACAAGACCCGTTCCCATATTCATTGTGACATGATCAGCGGCGAGTATAGGTTGTGCTAACTCATTATACCTAAAAAATGTATGTTCTCTGAGTCACTTTCGATTCATCACACCAGCAACTTCGGTAATGCTTTCCTTCTAATGCTGACCCCGGAATTCTTCCGACAATCTGAACTTCACGGTTGAATGTGTCGATCGCATGCTTTAGCATTTCTGAGGCAATAATATAGACTTCAGCCACAGGATTTCTGTGGTTAATAGAGTTTTGGAAATCAAGTAGATTAAAAAACTTTGTTTCATCAGCGAACTGTACCGCAACATACTCTGAGACTGGTGAAACTGCGATTGCATTGTTCAGAGGTAAGGTCCAAGGAGTTGATGTCCATATCTATAAAATGAAAGTAGAAACATTTCAGACGACTGCTGTTGACCATATAATAAAAAACGGACGGCTTAACATTTTCTTTCGTTACCAATTGAAGATCATCAAAACTCAGATCAATTGCCTAAAACTCGGAAAGTTGAGAAAAGGAAAGAGAAATACCTTGAATCGAAAATAAGCTGAGGTACTCTCATGTTTCTCATTATACTCTAGTTCTGATTCAGCCAATGCTGTTCTAGAGCTAGGGGACCTGAAGCAGCAAATGGTGAAGAACCCAAAACGCTTCATACCAATAAACAGGCTTGAAAGCTCTATAGACAAGATTTTTCGCAATCATTTCACCAAAAATCCTCAATTGTCCGGCGACATATTCTTTATTCATAGTAATATACGGATTGTCGAAATCAGCAGAAACACCCCACCGTCTGAAACGTTATCGAAGGTGTGCCAATAAACAGATTAGGCTAACTTGAAGCTGTTCATTTGTTTGGCTAACGCCACATGAGCAACTTCTCTTGATAGTTCTCGGATCTCAACAGGAGTTTTGTCTTTAACGCTTTTTGTAATTTTCAATTCTATAGGAAGCCCATGACAGTCCCAGCCAGGCCTGAACCGAACTCTGGAAGTAGAGATACTATGCTTTACATTTCAATTTATCGAACTGATATCCAAGAAGTATTCTGCTTTTAACTATAAAATCCTTCAAGATTTTGTTTATCGCATGCCCAGTGTGAGGAATACCATTTGCATAAGGAGGACCGTCTAAGAGTTCAAATCTGAACGAGTGAGGTCAGAAACATAAGTATTGGTTTAGAACTTTTTAGCTCTATTTTGCTCGCGTTGCCATTGGTATAAAGTATTGATGCCTCCTTGTAGAGCAAGGTGCTGATCTTGAGCTGATCTTTCAGTACTTTTAACATGATTTACAAAATTAGTCTAGAAAATAAATCAACTAAAAGTTCAGAATACAAGTTCCATGAACCCACTTTTGGTAGGAAGACTGTTTTTTTCTTTTTTGCCAATGTACTAGTAGGCTCTGAATCAGAGAGGAATCTGTGTTGGCTGTAAGAAGAGAAACTTCATGTCATTCAATTTTAAACTCACCTGCAGATAGGTTTCCAACTTAGACATCGCCGCAACAATATGATCCTCGGATAAGCCATCAAAACCTGGAAAACATGGTAGATAAAAATTGGGAAGTATACATACCTATAGACACCAACAGCGATTTACGCTTGTTCCCTTGAGCCAATGAGATGACTAATCTTCTTATGAATAAGTCGTTTAACTCCTTAACGAAAACAAAATTTAAAGCATATGAAGATGCACGGTTTTCATACGTTATCAGGTCCTAGAATTTGCTTGCTTTCGTATTCAACGCGTTTGAGATTTCTTCTACGCTGAAGTTCAGTTACGATTGGATCAGGAAAGATGACTTCAACGATTTGCCCGATGCGTCCGATATTAGAGAACACCTGAACTCGTGCTTTCTTTCAAGAGAAGTCACCTTACCACTAAGTCGTTATTGCTGTGTTGAGTAATGGTGAAATGGATAGGCTTGTTGTCAAACTCGAACGATAAGTCGTGGAATGCCGGAGCTGGCATTAAACTGCAATAATGTTCGTTTGAAAAGCGATACTGTCTCCCGAATTCATCAGAGGTAAACGAAGGTTTGGCAAGCCAAAGTAATAAAATAATTCAAGATTCTTCAATGTATTAATTGAGTAAGACTGTGATGTAAAGTAAATAAATACTGATGTGTAAGAAATTAGTAAAAAAAATAATTAAGAAATTTCCACGGCCAGAGCAGTCAGAACTTCGCTCTTGTATTTGTTAGATTCTGGATCTGTCAATGGCTGGAAATGGAATTTTGGCCACCATGCTTTTCTTTCCTGCCAAAGAATCTTGACACTTTAATCAGTACATTAGTAACAATCTCCAGAAGATAATTCACCTTTCAGGGCTGACTTTTTGAATCAAATTCCACAGCTGAACCCACGCTGTACTATTGCTCCTATTGGATGCATAATCTAGAAAATGGAACAGTTTGTCCATACACTTCAATAAAACTTCTTGAATCACGCCAAACCTAAAAACAAATGTTGAAAATAGTAACAACTAGTAGCAACTTCTCGGGCTTCTGAATTCTATCTTTGCAATATATCAGCCAAACATCACTACTTTCATGAATAACTTTCTCGCCTTTCGTGCAAGCCTAAACATCATTAGTGAGCCACGCAAATTTATACTTCATACCATTTCGACAGCATCAACTATGTTATCATCCAACTTTGTATCCTTCAGTAGATCTACCAATTGTGGTAGATATTCTGGTTGAGCACTCACAAAGTCAATAATTAAGTTAAATCTGGAAGTTCGGGAAAATTAGGGACAAATCCGTGCGAGAAATGACCTTTCTTCATCCCTTGTATCAATATCGGCTTGGACTCGCAAACTAATTGCAGGTAAAAACAACGTCTGTTGTAATGCTCCTTAAATTTTTCATAGTTTTGATACCAAAATTGCACATACCTTCGTGTAATATCATTGCATCCTCTGCTAATCTGATTTTGGCGCTATTCGACATTTTACCCCTCAGAAAATCGTCATAAAATATAAGTATTTTACCATAATGTATTGGGGACATATCCTACAATTCTTCGGTTTAAGAGTTAACTATGAATTTCACACTTCTTCATTTTTTTGTCGGCCAGACAAACTATTTTCCTTCAAGGCTATGTCAGTCGCTATGTCACGAAATCCCAATGCTAAAGAAGTTAACAGTATCTCAACAAGCACTGCTACTATCGGAATACGATGACTAGAATGATGAGGAAACCATTACTTGAAAACTAGGAAACCTCACCTGTGACCAATGACCATAGAAGCGTTGTCAGCTAACCTCTTCAAGTATAACCGTAAATTCGCACAAGGATTCTAAATATTATTAGAAGAACAGAACGAGTATAACAAAGCTACCGTCTTCGACGATATGAGGATTTGTAAAACCATTGCTACAAAGATGGGATACTCTAACACTGCATTTTCCCTTTGTTTCACAGATATTATGAGATGTTTTTTCTTTTGCATTCCTGGATGGCATCGATAAGTGTATAAATATCCTGAAAAGACACTTTTCAACTACAGAACAGGAACTATTTTTTAATTTCCTATTATCATATCGAAAAGTTGCATCTTGTGCAAAATGATTTGAAAGTTTCTGCATACCTAAGTGGTAAGCTATGCTCTTATAATCTAACTTTCTGGCAAAGTCAGTTACTCTAACTAAAGGAGAATTGAAGATTGCTCTTGATCGATACCTGAAGAAACAAAGCTATTCGAAGCATGTTCAGGACTCAACTAACCGTCTTTCAAGCTTATCATACGCATAATACAGGCTTTCAAGTCTGCTTATTACTTTCCGTATCCTCCTCTCCATATCAGAGATTTCGTGAAAACTGATTTGTAGAGCTATGATTGTCAGGTAAATAAAATATCTTACAAGTCACGTATTGAGCACGTGGGAATGTATTTGAAATTGAAATCTGTTCGGATGTTAATACCACATCCGGTGATTTCGCAGAAAGGTACACCGTGTATAGCCATTGCCTTCTTAACATAGCCAACAGTACCCTAATACGAAGATTATCAGACCTAAGAGAATCATCTTACTCCTTTGAAAGTCGATCGCATTCTCCTATTCCAAGTTTCTAGAAGCTTATTCAATAAACTGGCAACGGCCAGTCCTTCTTCATCGTCAGATATCCACAAGCTTAGAGCATCCTCTTCTACACTGAATACTTTAACCGGAAGTGTTTCGTTTGATGTGGATGCTTCATTTAAGCCACTTACATCCATCTATGGTGGCTATTGATAATTGTTAATTTTTCAGCAGTTTCAAACAATAGCAATAATTATGATGGAATTCCCATTAACATAGAATCATGTATGAACGACAAAGTTTATTCAGCTCAGTTTATTTTGAACAACGAAGGTATCTAAATGAATCTAAACGAATACACTAGTCATCAAAATCAAATTTTTTCGGAGCACGAGCAGGCAGAAATTGAGCGTCACGTTCACGTTCCATCTTCTCCCTAATAGAAAAAATATCAACTGGTCGAGGCATTTTCCGTTACCTTTGAGCTTTACCCTCAGTAGGTGTCAAGAAACGACCTGCACCAGTTTCTTCATCAACAGTCCATAAAAGCATATCGTTTAAGGCATATCCGAATGCTTTCCATCCGGCAAAAAACAAAACAAAAGACATCAACAAACGTCTACGAGACCACTGGAAGCTGAAGTTATTATTCGTGGAAGATAGAAAGAGAAACCTGTTGATAAGTTAGAGTAGAAGTGGGAGTCATGGCTCTCAATTTTTGCCTAAAAATTCGTCTCCATTCCCATAACAACATTATTGAAAATCAAACAACAACAAAATAACAAGTAACAACGTCAAGGAGCTTTCTGAAAAAAGGTTTGTTTTAGCATGACACAAATAGCGATACTTACTTAATAAACTTCCTTGGCCTTTTGAGTAGGAAGAACTCCGAATCTCTTCTTGATAATAATTCTGTACTTGCTGTTTTTATCTTCAGGGGAGAATCTAGCAGGATGAGCAGATTGAGTTTCCACACCAGCTGGTGAAGTTTTCTAGATAAATATTACATACACATTTTTGAAGTGACGGCAGCTTTACCTTCAAAGTGTAAACTCTGCGGCCAGCGTCGTCGAGGTAGAATCTGAGAAACATTTGTAAAGATAAGAACTGAAAGAGAAACAAAAATAAACAAATATTAAAACAAAATGGTCAAGTACGGGATAGGATCACAGACCTATAAAGACTTGGTATTGAAAACGCAAAAATACAATTTATTACATATTTTTAAACAGTAAACCTAGAGGCTTCCAGAGGAAAAACATATCTTTGATAAAAAATCTCTAAATTCTTGAGGGCTAAAACTATTATAGAATGAAACATTTAAGTAGGAATTTTCTCTCACGAATAAATAAGATCACAGATAGTTAACACAAACATATGCATAATTTACTAGCACTTAAACTAGAGTGGACCCAAACCAACTGTATCAAACACGTAATCCCATAACGATGAGGAAATACCAAAGCCTAAAAAAAAAATTAAAATTTTGTTTTCAGAGAGTTGACAAACCAAGATCGAAGTCTTTAAAATGATGGTTATGATGATAAACTTTTCTAAAATGCATATTAGTTAAAGGTTGTGGTCGACCATGATGTAAGTAATAATGAATTACATCATAGCAGACATAACCAAATAACTTTCCACTACCAAAAGCACAGAAAACCGCCCTATAATTTGATTATCATTAGAGCGCACTTTTCACGTCGCTAACCATGGCAGTATACTTGAGTAGATAAGGTAAAAGAATCCAATGATTATGGCAGCGGGGGTTGGTGGAAACACTAAGCGATCTCCATCCATGGGAGTTTTATGATGAAGACCTAGAACAAATCTCGATTCTAACAACTCGTATATTATCTTACCATGCATGAGAAAATGGAATACTAATTGGTTCGGTGAATCTGGATTAGGCTTCCAGTGGAACACAAATCTGTGCAATGAGTATTCTAACAAAGTCCACCCCAAAATTCCGATTGAGAATAAAAAGGCCCACATTAAAGCTCCTTTTTGAGTTCCTAAAAACTCAGTTTTCTGATGGCTTCAATACAGCTACTACTCACCATATGAAGCATAGAAGTCTGATAAAGAGAAATAGCTGAACAACACCACCAGAGGAACCCAAACTGTAGGAACTAGCCACCATGGGGTTCTAGTTAATGATTCCATAAAATCTGAGTCAAACAATCTATAAATTTCAAGTAAGCTTGACATTGAACGATCAAAAACCTGATGGTTCCTTCATATGGTTGGTGTATCCACATCCAGTAGTCACTTCCCAATTTACCAACTTTAGGCAATACTCCACATGAATTATCTAATGTTGGATCACCCTTCAAAAGAGGTTTTCCAGCAACTCAACTCACACAAACCTTTTGAAAGTTCTCAACATCGTACTTTTCGATCATTTTGTAGGCAGCCTCTGAATGCTCGTGCTTGACTCCGGATATTCGAACATTTCCTGACATAAACTCATCAATATCTTCTCCTGCTACTTTATGCAAAACCTATTACAAATTGATTAATACTATATTCTGCCTGTATATCTACCTTAATCCCTCCGGGATGTTTATCAGCAAATTGGGCCACATCATACAATTTTCCTTTTAACCGTACTAGTAGAGGTTTTTCCGAAAAGTTATGGTTGCTATCAGAAACACCTTGATCTATATTACTACGATACTTCATAACCTTAAATTACACAGCGGAATGAAATCCAAAAAAAAAATACTAAAATTAACATAAGAATTAAGATAAATTAATGTACACATAATGCGTGCCTACAAACAAAGAATGCGCCAACGTAATGATGTCAATTCTACTCAATGGCGGGAGCTTTGAACAAAGTTAAAAAGACATAATGAAACTCAAAATATGTTTGCACACGTATTAAAACTGGAATGGATATTATCACGCGGCGTAAAATAATGAAAAGATAACAGAACAGCCAATAAAAGAAATTTTCTACTCTCACTTCCAACTCATTCAATGTTCCAAATAATTAAAAAAACGGAACTTTAAAACTTCAAAGAAAACTTGTTACAAGTCAAACGTAGTATGTAAAGAATGCAACAGAGAAACATGTTTTTGCGACGATGACCTGAGAAAAATCTAGGGAAAAAAATGAAAATCAAACACGAGAAGAATTCGTTCTTGTAAAACGACGTATGAGAAAACGAGGACGGGATATCTCTGCTTCTACGCCCCATCAGAGAACAATGCAGTTTCGGTGGCAACGGCGATAAGACCGGTTGCTGAGCAAATAAATTCCGTGAAAACACGTTGCTATGGGTTAAGATCGGACAATGAATAAAAGAACTTAACCTCACTCAACAAGTACAAGTTGGAAGTAAAATAGTGAAGAGGAACTAAACCAAAAATGAATCGAATGATGATTCAACATCTGAATGATTCGCGCTTTGCAGTGTCCGAGATAAGTCCAATCAATCGATGCCCTATGCAAACAAGTCTCTCCACGGTGGTATATATATATACCTGAGACTGCAAAGAAAAGAAAAGCACTTTAACCTGAATCGATATTAGTAATCAATACTCATCCGCAATGTCGATCAAAGAGTAGAAAGCTATAAAAAAAGTAAACATACCTTATTTCTGCCCAACCATTCTCTACGTTTGCATACTCCAAAAAGAACAGTTTTCATCACTTATGCTAATTTGTACTCGCTCTGAAGTAGTTCAAACCATCCATTTTTAAAAATGATATTAGCGTTTGGGTCCAAAAGTCGTTATGCTTAATGAATGTTTATTAAACGCAGCAAATGATATTCGTGTTGGACAATGAACATAAGTAAATTCAAGCTAGCTTGTCTTAGGTAACATCAAACTGAACCTGAGAAAAGGGCTAATAGGAAGCTTCAATATTTAGATAATCGCTTTTAAATAAATAATCTGAATGAATCTTCGCGTCCCTTCGAAGGCAAGACGTGGAATTTGAGCAAAAGAGAATGAAGTTTTCTGAACAATAATACTAATGAAAAGGATAGAAAGGGTTAAAACATGAGCTAGTAGGTTGTTTCAAAAGTATAAATGCCTTTGCAAAGTAATAAACACGTGAACCAAAGTGAAAGATTATGATGTCGCTTAGAAAATGAATGTAGTATCATCAGTTCGAATCTGCTTAGTAACAACACAAGCAGCGAATAAAGTTGATGATAATACTCAAAACAATGCAGACTACCAAAAATGTGACGAGCACCATGACCCAGTCCTGTAAATGTTGAATAATCAAAACTAAGTACAAAATAACATACTTGAAGTCTGAAGCAGCAAGATGAGTTGAGATCTCCACAACATTTGAAATAATACAAGGGATTTTCTTCCGGGCAAGATGGACCAACAATAAGAATGGGGCAAGCCATTGCGGATTTTCTAAAAACAAAACATGAAATAAACAACAACAGAGATTTCTGTACCTTATTTTGAAAATTTCAATATCTCTAACTGTGCTCAGAATATCTTCCATCGGGTCTTCAGCTCCGAAAGCAGATGGAATAATGGCGACAGCAAGAACAGCGAGCACAATAGCGAACTTCATTCTGTGAAAATATCGAGATGAAATAAAGTAAATGAAAAAAAAAGCAGAGAAATGAGAATATTAAAAGTACAATGAATCTGATTCAACAGATTAAAATAAAACATATGTTGTTCAGCGAAGGGAACGAAAGAAGATTAAGCTGTGACGAGATTTGATTAGGCATAGTTCCCGTAGGCGTGATAAACGATGGTTCAGTATGTAACCATCTGGTAAGTAAAGAGAAGAAGCAAGGGTGACGAACGTTATATTAAGATTAGTGAACATCTGGCAGAAGATGTAAATCTTGAATAACATATTCGAAAAAATAGTCTATATATTTTAAGCGGCACACAAGAAAGAAAAAGTCATCCAAACTGAAAAGACAGATATCCCAATTCTTTTACGCGTAGCGTAGATTCACCTTTGCGACTGGGTGTGGACTTTAGTCATCCAGAGAAGGAGAGAAAAAATAGACGCTTAGAACAGACGCTTTCATAGGACTATGGTGTATATGGGTGTTCGAATATAGATCTGCCCGAAACTGGAATGAGCGTGAAGACAGGACCGCAATTCGGATTAGTGAACTTCCATTCACAGTTGTTTGATGATATAAAAAAGCTTTGTTGAAAGTTGAATCATTAGGCGTTGCTCAAAGATGCGAACAAACCTCATGCATCAAACGGCAATCGACATACACTATGGCAATGAGTGACATGTTACAGAGAGAAAACAAAAAAAAACAACAGAATTCATGTATAGAGGTACAAGAAAAACAACAAAATGATAAAAACGATAATGTAGGACAGAACTATCAGCAGGAGGTGTGTTGCAACTTGGGAGGATATTGAGAGAAAACTAATGCCCAGCGTGTTCTCCTCAACTGTGCTATTGGGCGGGGTCACTAAATGGGCACATCAATCGATATAAAACTATTCGGTAATCTAGCATATCTTCTTTTCACTGGCTAACTGGATGCGAAAACTTTGCACCTTGTATAGCCGAATGATGAGAGTATACAAGTATCTATTCAAAAAACCAGAAAACATGATCGAAGAAATCTTCAAGGGAACAGCCCGAAGTATTGAAGCTTAGATAAGATTTCAACTTCTATGAGATAATGAAATAATGGCAACGTTTGAAACAGATTCTTACCCCAAGGGATCGATGATGTTGATCATCGGCGTGGGAATAAGCATCTATAGTAATGCTACTCCGAATCTGTTGTTTGAATATAAATAGAAGATTACAAATTCGAAATGAATAACTAAGTTTGGCATCTTTTGGAAAATACGAGCAATCCATTTGTGTGAGTTAGGATACATAACGAAGTTATGACCATGGAATAATAATGGAGTACTGCACCCCAAATATCTCAAAGTGCACCTAATACAACTAATGACCATGTTAAAGTCAAGAGATGAAAGACGCACAAATGGCCTACAGGTTAGAAAACAGACTAAAGAAATTTCATCACTACTGACGGCCTTGGGCGTTTATAAAATTTAGGCAAAACTAGCAGACACGAGACAATAAGAAATAACCAATGTGTTTTAAGAACAGAAAAATCTTGAAAACATCGATTTCTTGGTAAGATTAGGATCTAAATCAGCACATAATCAACAAGTGGGCCAGAAAGAAAAAGCTTGAGTAATGTAGGGATGTGATTTCACTTTGAGTATGCATGACGGCAAAGAAGAAAGCGCAAAAACCTCCTAACCACTTCCATTCTCTTAATGCTAAAAGAGTGCTTTCCAGCTTCGCTGCCAGAAGGTGATCGATTTTAAAATGAAGTATATTTCCACAGAAGCGAGCTATTCTTCTTTTTTGTCAGTCATCCTATTGTGGTAGTCTATGTCCATGAACAGAACAACAGCAGAATTTAGAAAAATTCCAACATATTCTCGAAAAAACGACTCATAGATTAACTAAATATGATTGATCGAAAATAAACGTCTAAGAAGGGTCGTAAAAGGAAAATAAAAGCGCGGACTGAATGAGAACCAACCGATCTGCGCGTCAAGTTATGACAAAATGATTTTTAACCGCGCACGGAATTTAGTGTATGGTCGTAACTTTCTGATTAATTAAATAAGAATGTTTTCAATTCCAACAAAAGAAGTGGTTCATAGCACTTATCGTATTATACCTTTCAACCGAGATAAAATGAAAGGGAATGGAACCTTATCGAATGGATCAAAGAGTGTAAACAGCTTACTCAAGGTTACAACTACTAATAAATGAATGGCGCTAAAAATGAGTAAGTGATTATTGTGTCGGAGAACCAATAAGGAAACGTGAAGGAATGGAGAAAAAAACAAATATGAGAAAGGTAGCGTTATCGGATTGATGATTCACGATCATTTATATGTGACGAAACAGGCAATGAAGGCTAGTTTGGTTGTAAAGTAGTTTTTATGATTGAACACTTAGCACAACACAATATCAGGTTACTTTGAAATAATCTAATTTAATCAATTTAATCAAACAACAACAAGCAACATTTACAGAAATCTAGGTATTAAAGAAGCATTCTCTAGAATAGATTAGAGTAAAAACAACAAAAGAGACTCATGGGAAAATTTTGCAAAAACGATGCTTTGAGCAGGATACACGAAAGATGAAAATGCTAGAAAAGTTTCGAATGTTTTCGATAAAAAAAGAGAGAAATGGAAAGGGCAAAGGGAGTGGGTTTCCAGATTGAGCTAACTGCATTTGGAGCATGCTAATCATCGAAACATGAAGAAATTTGCTCCTAAATGCCGTTGAAGTTCTAAGCTGCCTTAATATCATTGTTGCCTAATATGGCATGATCTCGTAAGCAGATGATAATCTTGGAAGTTTATATGTACACCGGAGATTCGAATACGATCATCATCAACATAACATACGCCGTAATTATATAAAGCGACTATAGAGAAGCAGGAAATTCACTACTTTGGTACAGAGGGAAAACTTTGCATAGCAGCTTTCACAAATTCATTGAAATAGATAGGTCCTCTTGTCACAGCTGCATTGCTTATCCAATCCGCCCATTCATTGTTAGACATTCTTTTTAAATCTGAAAATTGAGAAATAAAATTATTAAGAAGAAGCATAAACAAACCTGGTAAGCCGTTCGTTCCTTCCTTATAGATAGCTGTATTGGCCAACTGTATCCAATTCCTCATGAGTGAATTGGCATCATTTATTATTTTTGTATCTGAAGTACAACTTGAAAAAACTACTGAAAAAGAACAATAACCTTCACTATTCTGTGTTTTGATCATATCACAATTTGCTTGTAAACGTTCAATCGTATTTTTCATGGATTCCTGCTCATCTTCCGCAATTCCGATTGATCTTCTAATTTGTCTCAACCTGTTTTCTCTCTCTGAAGCAAAAAAAACCAATTCGGCGAAATTTACGAAATATCTACCTTTGTTGTATTCGAGAAACTCTTTACTGAAAATGGGAATGTCTGTATTTGGTAGCATTGGGGGCGAAAAATTCAGTTCTTCCACCTAGAAAATAAAAATTGAGATAATAGTCATTATCTCAGAGTAACCTTCATAACCGGCGCTTTCTTCGTTTTTTCTTCTGGAGTGATCATGTTAAGCATCATAGATTCTACAACTGAATTAGATTCGATACCCATCTTTCGACATTGCTTCCTTTGTCTGATAATAAGTTCTTTTTTTTCTGAAATTGAAGGATTGGAGCACTAACAAGCACTTGACATTTTCATAGAAGAGTAGATGAGAGAGCTGATAAAAACTTACGCATGAAAGTTGCATATTGCTCAGTTTTTTGATACTCTTGAAGAGTGGTTTGATACTCCAATCTTTCTTTGGCTGACAAGTCGTGGTACTTCTTCAAAAAAAGGAATTTTAAAAAGGTTCAACAGCAATATCTGACCTGCCGATCTTCCGTTGATAATGCTTGCCATTCAGCAGCAAGAAGAACATTTATCCTTCTCTGATCACATCCTTGTTTGGCAGTTCCATAGAAAGATCTCCTTGAGCTGAAAACAAAGTATAAAGAGATACATCAAGCCAGAGGAGCTACCTCAAAAAATGGACATAGGCCGATCTGGGCTTCCTGGGGGCATTAGGATCTTCAAATTTTGTCCAAGACCTATTAGCATCTTTTGCCTGAAAAAGATTATTTGAACTAGAGTTCACCAACAAAATTAGACTTTAGATTTTTTCTTAGATCCTTCGCCTTGAGAAGTAACTGATGTGTCCATTTGTTCTGTTGAACTTGATAACATGGACGTCTCGGCGTTCTCATCCGTTGACTGCTCCTGGAAGATATTCGAAGTTAAGGATGTGAGGAATTGAAACTTACAAGCTTGACAGAAACGGCAATGGAGGTTTCATCTACTTGGGGTTTAGTTAAGACCTCCTCCATCTCTGTAAGATTTCTGTTCAGGATTTCAGATGTAATACTAAATAATAGAGGACAACAGTATTGGAAACAGGTGAAATGAGACGGAAAGAAAAGGTGATGATGCTTTACGACATGTTGTTCACTTCACACAAAAAATAGGCGATAAAAACTCCATCAGCTAAGATGAGTGAAGGGAAGCCACAGAAAATTGGAAAGAATAGAGAAAGATAGAGAATGAATTTGGGCGCCAAACAGCACAACATAGCCTCGTCGTCACTTGGCTGAAGGACAATGGGTCTACATTCCCACAGCTTTAAGTCTAAGAATATATGGTCCAAGCTGCAAAATCGTTTGTAGTCCGCTTCAGAAATTTTGAGAAGCTGACCATCTACATGATTTTTCCATAAAAATGGAGATATCAGTTTAATATGCGCATCCGTAAGCATAGAAATTTGCAAAAGAAATGAGGATATTGGGAAGTGAGGGGGTGGCCAACTTCAGTACTGTCCAATTGTTTACAAACAAGACAAAATATGTGAAAGTGGGTTTCAATCTGACAGAAACGGAAGATAAAAGGGTAGAATTAGATTTCAATTACTTGCTTCATTTCAGGCTTAGCTTACATAATCCTCCAACCAGAAAGAGAAGACGGGAAGAACCAATAGGAGTTTTAAAGCACATAACGTTCCCAAGAATGGATTTGTCACTTCAATGAGGTTGAGGAGCGGAATATAAGATTTAGAAAAAATAGACCCTTGGTCCCAGAACGACGCCCGATAAGAGACAAGGAACTGAATGAAAGATGAAACCACCCAGATGAGAAGGAAAGGACTATGTTTGATAGCGAAAAAAAACGAATTTCCTTCAGAATAGATATGGAGAAAGCAGTTGGCAGCTGGCTCTCAAACATCTCAGAAAGCTCCTTAGATGGTGAATCGATGCTTTTTTTCGTGCATACAGCTTCACCAGTCAATTTATCTGATCTCAACTTCGAGAAGCGAAGATGGCGTACAATTAAGTGACACACGATGTTCATCAAACTTATGCAAAAACTATGAGCTTTACGATTCTTTCATGGGTGTTTAATCCACGGAGAATATCAGAGCAGATAAAAAAATGAATACAGATAGATCTTCTGAAAGCACGAAGAAGATAACGAGAACTTCGCAACCAATATGGAAGAAAAGTTTACAAAAAGTTGAGATGTAAGTTGAAGAATGAAGTAGCGTGTCCCAATATGGTAACATTAGAAAAAAAAGCTTGTAAGATATGAATTCTTGGTTGGAAAAACAAAATATGTGCATGTGTAAAGAACGAAGGTTAAATGAACATCAGTAATCAATAAAATAAAAGTTTGACCGACTATCAATAATAAGTTTCGGATTCGAACAAACATTCTCAGTTGTGAAGAATGGATGAAAAATATACAGAAAATTAAAGTCTCTCCACTCTTTAATTGATTTTGTTATTGGAAAAGAAAGTCAAATGAAGAAGTGCATGTATGAATGGATACTCGAGAGAGCCAGAGAAAGAAATGAGATATAGTAACATTTACGAGAAAAACAAGGAAGATATTAAAAGAGAATATGAAATGAGAGAAAGGACAACTGAAAAGAGTAGACTCATGAGTTTCAACACAAATACTTACGGCTCTAATGGTAATATTCTGCTGCATTTCAACCTCTTAAACGTTGCTCACTTTCTCACGAAACTTTCTGTCTTCACTCTCTTTTTCCGCTTCAAATAGTTTTTCACCACAATTGAAGTGTTGTCAGTCCAGCTATGAAACTTTCAAACAAATAAAAAATGTTGCACACAAAGAAAGTAGGAAATCTGATAACTGCTCTCGGAACAAGTAGCCCATATGCGGACATAATAGCGTCCCGTTTTGAATACGTGAGCATTTTCGAACTAACGTCATTGCCTGACCTAGTGGTGGAAATTAATTGCTTTATATGTCCATATGTTCATCTCGAGAGAACTTTTGATAAAACTAAAGGAGAAGAATATATCCAGTCCTGATAGATTCATTTTAAGAAGAAAAGTAGATATCTTGAATTTCAAGTTGATGAGATAACTTTAGACTCTGGGGGATCTGTCTCACACTATGACGGCCTAGCTTTGATGAGCGAAACTCTGAAGAAAGACATCAGATTTGGTGGAAATACCAAGAACATGGATGTTTAAAACTTTTATTGCATGAGCACAGAATATTTTACAAAAAAGTGTGTTAGTTCCAATCCATATCATCCTGAACAGGCTGTGCAACGATGATATGATTATCTTTGGCCCGAGTTCCAGCTAGGACCTAGTGGAGAATATGGAAATAGTACTCATCCCTTATCTTACCTCTCGTGAAAGTTCATAATACTGATTAGGATGTGTGATGAGTTGTCCAAGCGCCCCTTCATCCATCTTATGAAAGTATTCAAAGTATCTTGTACATGCTTTGTCGAAAGCGAACTCCTTGGAGAGATTAAGAATCTGAAGAGAATGGATGAGAATGAAATTATACAAATTAGCTAACTCTTTCAACTTGTGATTTGTTTGTCAAATCTCTCTCTAATTTTCCTTTGAGAATATTATGATCCAAATGTTTAAATGGACAACCTGAATCAGATTCTCAAAAAAAGAAAAAAACGCATCTAACCTGAGCAGTCTTGAGCTGTAGGTGCATTGTTCAGAATAATTGTGGAGCAAGAGAAAGAATTGTATTCTACTCGCTTTCCTTCTTTACCGTACATGTGTCTTATATAATAAGAATATTCTTTGTCAAACTATGATTAAAATCGTGAATGAATTAGTAACAGAAACATTTACCTTCTCGGAATCTATTTTCTTCGTGAACTCTTCTCTCATGAACAACAAAGCTTCTTCCATTGATAACCCGATTCCCTTAAGGAAAACACCATATTGTCTGTAACACAGGAGTTTATAATGAAAATATGAGGCTATAGAAACCGTCGTCCTCCGTGGCGAAGATGGTGGTTAGCTCTCAGTCCGGCATGGCAATGTTTCATACAGGGTGGGAACGAAGCAGCACATAGCTGAAAAACAATCGTAATTTTATAAATTCATCTTGCACACCGCATCAATATCATGACGAGATATCTTTTCGGAAGCTTCTTTCGCATCATACTGCTTGCCATCATAAGCATTGTTGGCTAATCGGGACAATCTTGGTAATATTCGGCCTTCCTCTTCAATGAGAGCTAGATGTTTAGCGGCGGCCTGAATTTAGAAACATGATTGCCTTCAAGGAAGGATTCCCTACAAGCATGGCTGCTCCCATCTCACCTTTCAACATCGAGCACATGATAACGCTGAGATCATTAGCACATACATAGGCATATCCCTTATTAAGATAGACCTTTCTACGTCGAACTAATTCTAAAGCTTCGACAAAGTTGAGCTGAATGAAAAGATTATGAAAACAAGAACAACTTAATAAATCACTTTGAAAAAGTCAGTTGAAAGAACATATTCAGCTGACATGGCACAAGCTGCAGCGAGCTCTTCGCATAAATCTTCTTTTTCATCTTTTAGAACCTAAATGAGCAGATAAGAATAATCCTACTTGAACTATCACTACCGATTCTAAACTGATATCATTTTCCTTCATGAAATCAACAACTTGTATATTATTGAGAGATTGGAATCGTGCTCTAAATCTCTGAGTTAGATGGCTCTTTGCTAAACTGAATGCCTGAATAAATCCACTTCTTGTTGAATCAACCATTTCATGTTCTCTGGAGTTCTACAAAAAGCTAATCTGAGAATATAATGTCCAATAATGTCATTTCTTTTGCGATCTTCTTAAAAAAGAAAATTAGTTCAGTCAAGCGAGAGACGAAAAACCTCCAGAAAAAAACTTATTGAACTCAAACTTGGCCAGAGAGACGAATTCATCTGTTCCGGGAGGAGATAGTTCTTTCAAGTTTTCCAATTTCTGATGTTATCACAATTATCATAGCTATGATGTAATGGAATTACCTTGAGAAGCTTCAACCTTTGTGAGGCAATACCATCAAATTCCTCTAAACTAATATCGTTGGCAGGAGGAGTGTTGTACATCGGTAATTCACATTGTTGAATTATAGCAGACTCGAGCTTAACATGAAATTTTATATCCAATATTCATATATGGCCATACCTTGATTATTTTTGAAGATGTTAGAATCTTATGTCGAGTTGCTCGCGAAGACGGTGTTCCCCCCGTGAACATCATTTTGAAATCTTTGATTGGATGTTGTATTTAAAGTTTTATTTAGAAAAAAGAAACTGATTAAGAGAAAATTAAATTCATTTTGAAAGCTTTCATTCTATAGTTGTATTTCAAAAAATTACAATTCCCGCAATGTGACATGACAGTTTACGATTGGAGCAGAAAAGGCCCCGTCGCGAATTTATGTGGATTCATCAACTAATTTGGTTATCGATGGTTTTCTAACTTTCAGCTTCTTCATATGTTTATTTTTTTCATTGATTGTCTTCAATAAATTGAACTTATTAATATTTAAGGACTTTCGGTATAGTAAACTGGATATTAAAGTGGTAACCTCGAAATAATGGCTTCTTTTGGAAATGCTGCCGTGGACATAGATTTGGTTAGTTCTCCATCCATTTCGTTATTTATTAGCCCACAATTAAAGTTGGAAAAAGAAATAGCTGCCAAAGAGGAAAGCAGAAGAAACAAAACTGAGTTAGCCGGAAATATAGCGGGTAAGACTAAAGCAGGATGCTTTCGTTAACTATTGACACGATTTAGGTTCTTCTCGACCTGCTCCACGAAGAACTGTTATGCAGGACGTGGATCTTGATACAGAGTTAGATACTCTTGATGAGCCGGTGTGGGACACTGTGGTAATGATTTTTTTTCGCAATCCACGTATCTTTTTTGTTCAATAGAAACGCGACTTGAGGACTGTGTGTGCTAAGTTTGGACATGTTATTTTACCAAAAGGTGACAAAGAACAACTGTTGAAGGATTGGGATCTTTGGGGTCCTCTGTTCATTTGCGTTGCCTTATCGATGTTTGTGATTTGGACAGAATTTTTTATAATGTTCCTTTTAAGCTTACTCCAACATAACTCGCAAAATGGTTCAGCTCCTCAATTCACTCAAGTTTTCACAATCACCTTCTTTGGTTCAATTATTGTAACTGCAAACATCAAGTTACTTGGCGGGCATATGTAAGTTTCAGTTAGATGTTGCTCACAAACCTTTCATTACTAGATCTTTCTTCCAATCTATTTGTGTCATTGGATACTGTCTTCTGCCTCCATTAGTTGCCGCGATTGTCTGTTCCTTATTACTCCATGAGAAACTTTTCTACCTTCGTCTCTTTATAACAGCCATCGGATTCAGTTGGTCAACTTACGGTAAATTTTCGTGGTCTCGCTTCATTCATTTTCTTTTTATTTAGCTTCCATGGGATTCCTTGCTGGATGTATAACGGAGAAAAAGAAACTATTGGTAGTTTATCCAATCTTTCTCTTCTATTTCGTTGTCAGTTGGATGATAGTCTCACACTCATAGCTTTATGTAAAAAATATGAGCCAAGAACATAATATATTCATGTGATTGTACTAACCTAATGATGTGATATTCGGGGTATGGGTACTCCCAAGATGGCAAAATGTCTGTAACTTTTTAATCTCGCAATAAAAGAGAATAAATTTTATATTTTTCATCAATTCAAACTTCTTTAATTGCATTCATATATCAATCTTCACAGCCTTATAGTTGACATAACTCTTCGAATGTTGCGGGTTAGGAATTGCCGGTAACTTCTTAAAAAGAATGTTACAAGAACAGCATATGAACAAAACTAACTGGTAGACGAAAACCCTCCTTTGTTAGTAAATCCCTTTTCACTTTAGCATTGCGTCCTCTTGGAGTTTTAATTGGTCTTCCAACTGCCCTCTTCTGAGATCAGAGTTGTTAAAGGATCTTATGAGTTCTTAAACCTTTTTGTGTTCTACTCCAATGATCAATCCGGATGATATTTTTACTGTTCGACCTCGAGGCTTACCCTTAATCATCCGTTTAATAATAGAGTATTAAGTGAGTATACTTTCTCTTTTTGCAACATGTAAAACTCTCTGTTCTCTCCGCAGTTTCCTCGTGTTAGTTTTTTCTGGAAAAAATTATTTAAATTTTGCGAGGCTAAGACCTACTGTATCCACCAAATTCAATCGGCGACTGGAACATTTATAACTGAGATCGTTCTCTCTCTTTACCTCGAATTCATCGTCACTCTCATTGTAGATACTATCATTTTCAAATCTCTGATGAAAGAAGATGACGAGAAGTATTCAAGTTATTCATACACTCTCTTGGGTGATAAATTGATTATTGTCCTCCTCACAATCTTCAAAATCCAAGCTTTCAATATCAATACGAGTGGTAACGTCTTCTGATGTTTCACTCGAACTGGAAAATGTCAAAGTTGATTTGTGAAGATCGCCGACTTCCGTCTTATTACAGTCTCTTGGCGAATTGAACTGAAAAACTGGAGATTAATCCTACGAAATCGGATTTTCAAGTTACGTTTCCTAATAAACAGTCATGCTGTAAGCTAACAAAATGCTGATTAAGAAAATCTTGGTTTTGTTTCATGAAGTAAACGTGTGAGTTTGGAATATTTGTGAATGATGTGATGAACTAAATTGGAGCAAGTACAAATCATCAGAAATGGTAAAACAAACTGTGAAAGGAGTATTTTGAACTACAGGGAAGTTTTCTGCCAAGATCTTGTCGATCCCGTGTTTGATGGAAGACGTGTTTGACTGCATCATTCGTGGTTTGCAGTGTTTTGTACTGTGAGTCAGATTGCTAGATGGTTCTAAACCTATGAATGACTTCAAAGAAAATAAACCGAAAAAAAGATTTCAGAGTAGCTTCTGAATTTAAAAATGTACAATCAATAGTCTAAATAACAGTATTTCAAGAGCTATTCGTTAAAAGTGCCTAGTTCTTATCAGAGTTAACTGTGTCCAATGAAAAGAGGCTTCTCAATTCTGCGTTACTTCTCTCTGCTGAAAAAGAACATACCGAGGAATTGTTCTCATACGGTAGAGATTCAATGATAGAAAAATCACAACACATTCATTTTATAATACAAGACATATACAGATAAAAAGTAGTCATATATTAGAAGAAAGGATTCTTCCCTTTTCCTTCAAATATTATGGAGCTATCCTGGTTACTACGGAGCATAATCCATTCTGGTGGATAGAAATCAGCGGGCTCTAGCTGTCGCAGCACCTACAGATGTCACCTTACATCCGAGCAAGAGATGGAAATCTGTACCTGGTCCGAAGTTTGAGTAATATCCCTATAGTATACATCGGCTTTATCCTTCGCCAAATAACCGAGCCACCAACCAAACGTAGATGAGGGAGCTGAGAAATATTTACACAGAATGATGATGTATAACTTTACCTGTAATCAGTACAGCATCGCAGAACTGCCTAGAAAAGGCTAGATCAATTTCTGGTGTTAAAGTAGGAGCGAAAGTGATGTCGTAGTTGAGGTTAGACCTTTTTCTCATCTGAACACTCTCGAAGAAGAGAGGAAACATTTGAATGACCTGTGGCATGCGTTCTGAATATTCATTTATGTTAGATACATGATACAATGAACCTGCAAAAGCCATCTGAGCCCAGAGAGGGTCATTTCCCAGGACAACGACAGAAATATTAGGATGATGCTGTTGATCTGAAAAAGATATTCATTGTGAATCTAAATAGTACACTTACATTTACGAACTAAATGTTCAGTTGCTTCGTGAGTAAAATTAACATCTGAGGGTCGATGCATTCCATCAGAGACAAAATCGCCACGCCGAACATGGGTGCAAATTCTGGAAGAATATGCATTTCTGCGTTTCAAATCGTGTTATACTTGAAGTTTTTGAGACTAGTTTCAGGTACTAGTGATTGAGCTCTTTTCATAGCTAACCAATGAGGTGTTAACCATGTCCTCACGCTATTTCTATATTTGTGAAAATATTTAAAACTCTGAAAACTCTTCTATTTCTATGCCGACAAATAGAACAACCTGGAAATACACTCCTTGTAAGTGAACCACAGAGCTGTTGTACCATGCGATTCTTTCCACTGGGTCGTAACGACAACAAATTCGATTGAAAATCACATGTGTATATAATTCAGGCTGCATAACGGTAATACAAAAAGAATATATTATATGAACTACACCTGCATTAGTTTAAGCTCAAAGTTGTCTAGAAGTTTATCGAACCTTGGGAGAATATTTGCTTGCAAAAGCTGGAAACTAGAAGTAATCTGTGTTTTCATTTTCAAATACCTGCATGAGAGCTCCATTTCCAGGGTTTAAGAATGGTGTTCGCCCGGTAGTTTTTGCAATTCCCAATAGGGAAACCAATTCGAACAATTGATTACCTGTGAGAGCTGTTAAAAAGGATTGAGAGCAGTATTCACCTAAGCCTCCTCCTGCAATTATACCATAAGTTTGGGAAGTTATAAGCTTCCTATCATCATCTTTCTTTGGCATAGAAACACCCAAACTTTCCTGGAAGTAAATTTTTCCTGACATACCAGAAGAGAAAGATGAACCTCTTCTATTGATGTCTGAAGGGGGGAATCGACTTTTTGAGGAGAACCATTTTCATATATGTCGACAAAATCATCCGAGTTTCTATAAGCATTCCATGAAAAAAGAACAGTTTTCCTTGATGGCCACCCATTTAGATAAGATACTGCCCAGTTGAAAAGTATTTTCAATCAAAGACTATTTTTCAAAGAAAAAACTAGTTAAGAAGGTTAAAATACAGTCTCTAAGACTATTGAATGAAACCAAGAGAACGAAGTCTAGGTAGGTGATAAGAAAATCAGAAAGACCAAGATTAGACAAAATCAAAATAAAGGTATCCGTCCCCAGATATAAAAAAAAAATTATTCTATCCGTCTGTCACAAGAGAATTCGTTGGATATAAATTTGTGGTTAGGAGAGGAAGATATACATTTAAAAAAATAAGATATAGTTATACAGTAATCGGTAGCTATCTTTTGTAGAAGTACAGAACATTCCTGGTCTTGTCATAGATAAGATATCATGGAAAGATATAACAGAAAAGAAGTATAGTATGGTAACGAAAGAGGGACTTTAGAATCGGATTTAAAAGCAATCATACCTTGTTTCCAAAATCTGCTTCCTGACTTCAGATAAATCTTGTCGGATCAAGATAGCCAGGAACAAAAATATGGAATATGCTGTAAGTATGAGTAGGAAGTAGACTGCTACTCTATAATTCTTACCAAGTACTTGAAAAATGAGTCGAAAATTTATAGTTCTATTAGGCACACGCATAGTAATACTAATCGCGATTGAAATGACCAAATCCTCAGAGGGATCATTGGTGTTTGTACAGCTTCCTTCTTCAAATTCCTATGCAGCAGATGTATAAATTTATCAAGTCGAAGTTACCTTGAAGCCGTGAACCACATAGTCATGAATGTCGGACTGTAATTAAAAAAAATGCATGAACCTATTCAGTCATCGGGAAATAGAGGTAAGAGAAATACGGGTAATTTTCAAAAAAATTCATTCTGGAAGTACTTATAAAGCTATAAAATGCTTCGGGGAAGCTCTAAATGTGAAAATAAGATGAGACAAAGCTAGAAAAATGTTCGCTGATGCAAATATTAAGTAGGGAAAACAAAAAAGGAAACGAAAAAAAAAATAAAATGGTGAAGATATAAGACAAATACGAACTGATATGAAGTTATTATGTGTTGCTCTATGATATTACTCATTTTATCATAGTATGTTTCAAACCGTCCAATATGGGTGAAACTATCAAACCATCCCTATAGGTACGACAGTTGGAAATTCACCAATTACATCAAACTAACCGGAAAAATGTTGGCTTAATAGATGCATTGCCCATTAAAGATTCTTTCAACTATAAAGAATGCGAAGATGCGTTTTCAACGAAATTATACCTCGAACTTTGGCGTGGATGTTATGAAAGTGAACGAATTCTCGCTTCCTAGACCAGAATCTAAAAAGATGCGAAAAATACATTCGATGAACAAAGACTAACCTGTATCTGTTCCCATTTTCTCTTTCGTGACATAATGTCCTACGCTTAATTCATCCTTCCTGAAGTAGTCATCGTCATGAATTCTTCATATTAACGCAAAAACATACTCATGATGCATCTTTTTACAATTACTCTCAATTGCTTTCAACTTCTGCAACTCGTCTCTTAGTATTTTGTTTGCTTTTCTACAATATCAATCAATTACTGACTGATATACAACAAACAGATCACTAACATTAAAGCATCGAGGTTACTACAATCCACAGGCTTTCTTTTTTTAGAAACAACAACAGCTTGACCAGCTTTTTGCCACTAAAACATGTTGATTGAACTTTCTTTCAAAAACAAGTCGAACCTTTGTTGAAACTGTCTTATCATAACTGGAACGTTGAAACGATTGAAACTTCATCAAGTGTTTCAGTTGATTAACTGATTCTTTTGCGTAATTCAGTGGATCTTTGAAAAGAATCTCAAACAAGCGTATTATAATGTTTCAGTTTTTCGTATCCTTACCAGGAAACGCTGAGGAAGATTCTTGTTTATCTCGAAATACTCACATTTTGCCTTACATTTAGGGCAATCTTTTAAACGTACTATCTCTTTACAATTTCCACAGAGCAATATTTCACAATTGGATATAAAAAATACTTTTAAATCATCGGATGGTCTACGATTACAACAATGACAGTGAATCCAGCTCTGCCCGGACATCCAAATAAAATCTTGAAAATAACAAATTTACAAATTCTATAAAAAGTAATAGGATTTCACTTAAATTCAATCCTAATATTCCCTTGGATATCACACCAACCTTATTGCGACTCGTGTCGACCGTGTCTTCCACGATTGATTCAGAAATGAAATTGACGTGGGTTGACGTGAAAGGGAAGGTTATTCTAAGTTTATATTTTTCGAACTTATGTTCAGTTGAGCGGCTGACTTCATTTAGTGTGTTTTCGTCTCTTTTAGTTCATTCTAATTTTTGCTTTATATCAAAACTAGAATCAATCAAACTTTTTTTTGCTCATAACGGCATTCATAACAACTTCATTCTCAACCGCGTGCATTGTTTTAGTTCGTACGTTGCCATGGTAATCGTTACAATTTTATTTGTCTCTCTCCCCTTCATCCTGCTGTTTTTATATATTGTAATTCTTCTCTATATAAGAAAGCATGAAAATAGTTAAGTTCTCATCCAAACTTTCCGTTGATCCCTTTCCTTACAAACAGTATTATAGTTGAGGGATAACCATCTAATGAGACAACTTGATATTTGTCTAAACTTCTCCGTTCCACTGATCTCTTCATTTCGAGACAATTCATGTTTACACATGTCTTACTTGCTAGAAAAAAATCTCAATTTTGCTTATCTCAAAAGATTTTTAATCTTGGCTCTCGAAAAAAGAATCAACTCTGTTGTAGTTCATTTGTTACTACAAATTACATGTTTATGATAAATTGTCTTGAACTTCATATTTTAAGTTCATGTTTTTCACAGTTTGTATTCGTCATGCTTCATTTGTAGATGAAGCTTCGCGCGTGTTCGCTTCTTTTACTCCCTTCTCTCTTAATTTACCTATCTCGTTCGTGCTGATTCTTTCATTAAGCGCCGCCTCTTCTTACCCTTTCTCTTGAGTTCGCTCTCAACCTCTCACATTCTGCTAATGTTCTTCTCTTCTCTTCCCCAGAGAAAATTTGGTGGTCCAAAGGATAACGTTAAGAGGGGCAAAGGAGAACATTCATTCTGAACAGAAAGCCGGACTCATAAGTTTGTGTATTAGGAGAAGAGAGTCTAGACAGCGTACTGCAAGAGATAGTATGTTTGACTTAGAGGTATCGGATGATCAGACAGGTGGGTGTAGTTGTTCGTAGCCCCGTGGCTGACCAAATACACAATTCGACTCAACAACGATGAAACAGCCGACAAGAGTGTGCGGGAAGACTGGTCAACTCCTTTTCTTAGTCCTTTTGCGTTCAAGGCAGCTTTTTCTTTTTTTCTCCCATTTAAAACTTTATAAATATATAATGCTGTCGTCCACAATGTGTTTAACTGATCAGGGCGTGGTACTAAATTTTGATTAATAGTATTGTCCTGCTTATCGTGAAGAAGATCATAACTTTAAATCTATCTGTTGAATTCTTTAATGTTTATTGAATAGCTGTGCATTCGTACGATTATATTTAAATTTATTTTATAAAATCGATAATTTGAAAGTTCAATGAATTATTGATTCATTATTAAGTGAGATAAAGGTCATCAAAGGCTCTTCTCTGATTAAGGTGGACGCTTGCTCAGGTATGAGGTCGATCCTCAAGGCCAATCCTAAACAAAAATAATTGATTTCATTCTGTTCTGAAGCACTTATTCTTGTTTTTCATATTCATTTAACATGACCTTACACATAAAAGAAAGTAAGCTAGAGATTCTTCAGTCTATTGTACTTGTTTCATACGCATGTGTACTACGGAAATACTTGAACAGATTGTTGTGTGAAGTTTTTTTTCTCCATATTTTTCATTATATATATTGAGATTATTAGAAGTTCGACAAGTTATGATACGAAAACCTGTATGCCATCAACTGTCAGTTGAGAGATGGAACAGTACAAGTTTTTCTAGCTTATTTCATTCTTCATCATCATTCACTAATGTTTTTTCATTATCTTTTTAACATCTACGCTAAACAGTGAAATCATTTGATTAAAAGTTGTGAAAGTTCTTCTGGCTATAAGGTCATTTGGATGAGAAGGTGTTGAGCAGAAGAGAAATAATTGAAATCCTCCTTGGTCAAGGTTATCTGCCTTCTCTGCCTTTTTCAAAAATTTCAATCTTTTCCAATTTATTACTTAAAAATATCTTTTTTTATTTTTTCTTTCTCTTTCTCTCTCTCTTTTACAGAAAATAAAAGAATTTTTTTTTCATTTTTCGGCTTCTATTCCTCTTTGTATTGTGTATGTTCTCATCTCTCATATGACAGCAGCTTTTCCAGTTTTCTACCAGTTTGCCTCTACCATTCATAACAAACACAAAATCTCCTTTTTAGCATCAAAAATATTCTTTTTGAACTAAATCTTTCATAAAAGAAGTATCTATTGACCTTAATTTCATAAGTTTTTTTTTTCAAATAGACCACATTCATTATAGCGTTAGTCATGGTTATCGATTGATCCTACGCATTTACCTGCTTATCCTCATATCTTCACTTCTTCAAACCCTTTCTCTTTCAGTCTCTCTCTCTCTCTCTCTCTCTTTCTCTCTCTTGTATGGAAATATTCTTGTTTATTTCTGTGTCCTTCTGAAACATAGAAAGTTCATTCATCTCTTTTTTTTTCCAAATATCACAGAAAAAAAAAAGAAACTTATTGCTGTCCTTGTTAGTCATTTATAATTTCGTATAAGAAAGTCAACGTTGACTGAAAACCAACAACCACGCAGTCATTTTTTGTGTTCTTGAAAGACAACGTTGTTATTTGACCTTAACGTTGTATTTGTTGAACGAAATGACAAATAAACAATCAACTAAAGTTATCTTATAACTAAATATTTCTTTTTTTTATTAAAATGATGCAATTCTACATTAATATTTAAGTATTTCGCAGTCATTTTTGTGTTCTTCTTTTCTTTCATTTGTTATGTTAGCTGCAGTTAAAACGTCTGCTTTTTAACTTTACTTAAGAAACTTTTATTTATTTATCTTTCATCATATTGACAGATTTCAATGAAAAGATAAGTCACACGTGGCATATCCAGCTTTTTCTTGTCATGTCAAGCTTCTCCGCTCATCGAAATGTTAAAATAGAGCCGCTTGTTCCAAGGCGGCGACGGCTGCTTGCTTGCTTGCTAGCTTGCATTCATAGATATCTCACCTTTAAGATAAATTCTCTTTCTCATCTGATCTTAACTATGTGTATACATTACGTAATTGATACATATCGATTCAATTTCCATAAAAATGCCTTTTTATCATTTCAATATGTTCTTTAATGCTTCAAATGTTTCCAGACCTATCATCATTTCATATTCAAGTTTATTGTTGTCGCAATTTGCCCAACAAAACAATCTTTTCAAACATCTCAATCATCAATTCATCCTCCTCACTAAAACATAATTATTTCATTTACTTAATTTGCATATCGCGTCAACTTTTGAAATTTCCAATAATCAACGTTAATTTGCATATTTCCACTCAAACCACACACCCGCAACAACCACGTGTGTTTCCATTTTGTGTTAGCTCTAACCTGCAATGCGGTTGTGTTCATTTGTTCTTTTTCACTTTCTTATTTCTGTTGTTTTTTGTAATTTTAACAAAGAATACATCTACTTCACCACTTTATAATACTTACTTGTTCATGCTATTAATCTTCTTTTTCTTCTTTTTTTCAAGCTGTTTTCTTTTCCATTTGTGTATTAGCTTAAATTTTGAATCTGCTTTTACGACTTGAGCTTCACCTTTCTCAATACTCTAGCTCTCTAGCATTTTCATGCTGTTTCCTTTCTAATACTCTTTGTTTATTTTGTTTTTTTCTCATTCTATCTCTCTTTTCTAGCTGTCACTCTCATAGCTTCACCTTCTTCCTCTAACTCATTGGTCGGTCGTTACCCTTTCTGGGCTTCTTGTACACCACTCCAATTGCTTCTCACCACTAGCCCGTTTCTGTCAATTCCTTTTTTTCTTTGTTAGCCTCCTGCTTTTTTATGTATTAAGTAAGCTGTCTATCAGCTTGACTTTTCTTCTCTGAGCGAATGTCATCGTTGTCGATTAACGAAAGTCCATTCACCTCTTCTAGATCTTCAATGCGACAAAAAAAAAGCAGAAGAGAACAAAAAAAAAGAAGAAGGAAAGAGAGCAGTTCTAGTTTCCGGATTTGTTCTACGGGAGCAAGCAACCATATATGGTCAATGATATTGCTTGCATTTTTGCATTATATTATATTATTGATTGATACATCTTACAATATATCTATTATGCTTTCATAATCATTTAACAAGGTTAAGAAAGCGACAGGTTATACTCTTGTTACAACCAGAAGCTTTATGTCAGCCAATTTCGTCTTGTCCATTAATCTAGATTATATTTGTCATTCAAGTCTTTCGTTGATCATCTAAATATCGATCATCTTTATATGGACACTTATTACAGTTTCATATTTATTACTTCTGATATTTCTTATTTTCTAACAACGATTTATGTTTTTGAACTTTTTTTTTTTGGATACGCCCATGTTACGTTTTCATTCGTTACACCGATCATCATTCTTTCTCGAAATTCATATCCTGTTTTGACTTTATTATTATATCATTTGTTCCTTTAAAATTAACGAATAGTTTAAATATTATCTTCCTCCTCTTATCATCCAACCCTTCTTCCACTCTCTCTCTCTCTCTCCCTCTCTCTCTCTATCTCAACATCATCATAATGTTTCCAAAATGTGAAAGAAAAGCCCACTTCTGTTCATTTGTTGTCTGCATATCATCATTCTCAATTTACACTGTTCGACGAACATATCTTCAGCTTATTATTATTATTATTTGACGAGGACAAAAAAAAATAAATTTCTACTCGTCATCAACTGTACCGACGATCGATTTTTTTGAAATTTTTGTATCTTCTTCGGGCTGACCTGTTTCTCTGATTCTCCCATATTCTCGCTTCGTGTGGTTGCAGCTCGTGGCATTCTGATTCATTCCGTTATCATCTACTTAAAAAACATTATAGTTCGTCTATTGGTTGGTTATTAAAAGGGAGGGAGGGTTTGTTGTTTGAAACATTCATTGAAATGCTGTTTTCAGTGTTAAACTCTTGTCATTACCTGTCATCTACCTCTCTATTGAACTCTCTACTAACCTCATTTCACTTTTATTCAATCGTTCATTTCTAAATCAGAAAAAAAAAGAATTTATATGGGAATTCATCTTATGATCGAATCTCGACCGAAAGAAGAGAGGATAGTCGTCAACCATTTCGATTCATTCTATCTTTTATTCTCATTCTCTTTCTCTCCTCGTTTTCTAGCCCCCCACCAACCAACGGCCTCTTCTTCATTTCTTGTTCCATCTTCACTATTTTAACCGTCACTAAATTGATTTCAATGCAATTCCATATATATATATATTTATAATTACAGATTATAATTACAACTAATAAGCAACACAATAATATAAATTGAACAAAAACCTTTAATGTTATGCGAGAAGATCTTCGTCGCCAACAGAGCTATGGCTCAGAAGAACCCAAGCTGAAGTTCAATGAAGCACCATTCGATACCATTTTTGAGATTGGCGACGAACTCGGAAGGTACAGTAATTCTTTTTATTTTTTTCGGCTTCTTGCCTATTTTCTTCTTCAAATATTCTTCCTAAGTAGGATATATACTAATTTCTTTAAGTAGTTGACTATACATATAATTAATATTTCAGTGGTCAGTTTGCTGTTGTTCGTAAAGTTACAAAACGAACAAGTGGCGAAGAATTTGCAGCAAAGTTCATAAAGAAACGTCGTTATGCAACTTCTCGAAGAGGTGTTACCCGAGCTAACATTGAGAGAGAAGTAACTTTTAAAACATATTGTTAAGCTTCATCATTCATGATTTATAGGTTTCTGTTTTACAAACTATTGGCGGACATTCAAATGTCATTCAATTATATGAAGTATATGAAACCCCTGGTGATGTAATTCTCGTATTAGAACTGTAAGTCATTAGCTAATCATCGTATAAAACACGTTTCTTATATGATTATAGAGTATCAGGCGGTGAGCTATTCGATCACGTATGCGCCAAGGAATGTCTTGATGAAGCAGAAGCTGCTGCTTTCATAAAACAAATTTTGTTAGCAATTAAGCATCTCCATTCATTACACATTGTTCATTTAGACATTAAGGTAATTAGCATGGTAGTCTAATGTATTATTGTCTTTTCCTATTTTCAGCCTGAGAATGTAATGCTTAAGAAGAGGGGAAACTCTCAAATTAAGTTAATCGATTTCGGCTTATCACGTCGTATCCCACCTGGTGCGACTGTCAAAGATATGGTTGGTACACCAGAATTTGTTGGTTCGTTAACCTATATTAAATATAATATCTATAATTAATATTATTTGAAGCTCCTGAAGTTGTCAATTATGAAGCTTTATGTCCAGCAACAGATATGTGGGCATTAGGAGTTGTTACATATATTCTATTATCTGGTGGAAGTCCATTTCTTGGTGATACGAGAGATGAAACATTCTGCAATATAACGGGTGTTAATTATCATTTTACAGACAGGTATACTATATCATATACTATACTAACTATATAATTATATAATTAAGATATTTCAAAAATACATCAGATTATGCTAAAGATTTTATTTCTCGTCTATTCGTAAGAGATGTTCGCAAACGAGCAACCGTTGATGAATGTCTGAGACATCCATGGATATGTGGGGTAAGGATGACTGTCTCATAGACATCTTCTCATTCAATCATGTGTTATAGCCTGAAGGTGATGATGTTGATATACGTAAAGCTTCATCCATAACCATCAGTCAAATACAAGCATTTAAAACTCGTCAACGTTGGAGGGTATAGCTTACAACATCTATCTACAGATAACTATATGTATATTTCTAGAGAGCTGTAGAAGTTGTTATAATATGTAATCGCATAACAAAGAATGTTCGTTTGAGTATCATTCCACGATCATTTCCTAGTAGATATGATGAGGTACTAACTATATCATATAATTTAAATATTAAAATATTATTATAATAGGATGACATTGTTACATCAGCTGTACTGATTGCATGTGAAGATGGTAACTTACGTGGATTAACACAGTTGATGGCAGTTCATCGTTTACCAGCCACAATTTGTAATAAAGTAAGTTTTATACAATATTAATTATATATTATATATTATATTAACTATAGGTAGGTGAAAGTGCATTACATGTGGCATCTATTGCGGGTAATATACAAGTTGTTAATTATTTTCATATGAAAGGAGCCGATTTATCAACTAAAGATATACGAGGTAATGATTTATGTATATACAAAGATAGATAGCTTTAATGCATAAAAGATGGAAGCTCTTTGAGACTTTCTATGTGTATGTGTGTGTATGTGTGTCAAGTTTGACAAAAAAAAAGAAGAAAAACTTTTGAATTCTTTTCTTTTTCTTTGTTGTCATCATTGTCTGTGAAGCGCTTAACTGAAAGAGATGATGATGGTTATAGGTGAAACACCATTGATGTGGGCAACACGTGGTGGACATGCTGATGTCATTTCATATCTTGTTAATGAACGAATTAATTTAGATGAAAGAAATATGGTTTGTTATAATTATTAACTATATCATATAGTATATGTATTTAGAATGGTGATACTGCTCTTCATATTGCTGTGGAATGTTGTGAAATGGATGCTGCATTAGCTTTACTAGAGAAGGGTGCACGCTTAGATGTTAGAGATGAGGTATGGTATTCATTTTGTTATTCATATACACATAGTTAGTATTATTATAATTTATTCCTATATTTTACAGAAAGGTAATACAGCTGTACATCGAGCTGCTTTCAATGGATATGCTCTGCTGCTGACAATGTTCTGCTCATTCCGACCTCAACTATCATTAGTTAATCAGGTACATATACATCTTAACAATATGTGACAAACTAGATAGCATAGATAGCATAGTAAAGTGCTTAACTATCTATACATTCATAAGTGTATCTGGATGTATGCACATGAACATGAATAGTCTCAAGTTATTTTATAAAGTTCAATCAAGTAAAAGCTAAAGCTTATTGAAGTTTTGACTAGGAGACAGAGAGAGAGAGGAACACAGAGAGAGAGAAAGAGAGAAAGGACTTAAAGACATTTTTTTTTCTTCTGTCAATTTATTTCTATGCTAATGATCATTCATTTATTATTGAAAATATGCAAATTTTTAATAAATGAAAGATGACGACGTCATTAAGCTTCACTGACAGGCTTAGTCAAGCCTTAAAGCTGTCTCCATCTACGTTGACTGTTGTAAGATGGAAGCATTTTTCTTTCATCTCTAGGGATTTCGTCAGCCATATTCGATCTTTACTTGGAGCATAACGTAGCCATGGCTGCTTTTTATTAAGTTCAAGCTTTAGGTTATGAGCATATACATATCTTTCTATGAAAACAAGAAAAATATGTTTTTTTTATGAAAATAGTTTTATTTTAATCTCTTCATGCTTTGCTTGGTGTTTTCTCATTTTGCTCTCTCCCCCTCTCTCTCTCTCTCTTCTTCGATCCATATCTCTCTCTCTCTCTCTAATTCTTTATCTATATATCTCTTCATATCTCTCTCTATATCTATCATTGTTTATCAATCCGTTTTCAATCATGTCATTCCCTGATTGTTTCGACACTTTTTTTTGTTGGCTTCACTGCCATGTTGAGCGCGCTTTGCTCCTAAGGGGTGCAGTTCTGGTTGCCATAGTGATTATGAGAACGGCTTCCATGCTTCTACTTGACTGCTTCTTTTTGATTATTTTTCTACTTTATACTTGAAGATATTAACTATATGTTTTATCTTTCTTTTTTTTTGTTTCTTTTCTTTTTCATCTTCTTTACATGATGAGAAAGAAAAAAAATTTGAAAATAGTTTGTTTTCAATGGAATTTCTATTGATTTGTGGTTTTTTCTTTCTTTCACTTACTATTCATCCTATAACCTTCCTCTATTATATTGACGACCTCTTTCTTTCCCTCTCTTCCTCCCTCCTTTTGCATTTTGCTCTCCGCCTCTTTCTCTCTCTACTTTCTCTCTCACTCTTTATACATAGAATCCCCCTCCACCCCCCTCTCTCTCTCTCTCCATATATCTATCTACTATTCAAAAGCACCTGATGTCCATATTGGCTGTCACACAGGTTACCTCATGTACATCATTAACCCGACTTCATTCATACGCAATTATAAGCAAAGTCATATGGTCATTATGGCATAATCGAGCATGACTATTGATTGATTTCACATCTACTATATCCATCTATCTGTATGTGATTTAAGCTGTGCTGAAAACAGCTTTTTACACACAAATCTCAAAATAATTAATTTGTATTCTCTATATTATATCATAAACAGTTCATATATAATACGAACGAATGTAACTCTCTCCCTCTCTATAGGTTGGTTGATGATGTAACCTCTTACATGCCATGTCTTTCCTCTCATTTTTTTGTCCATTTAAATCAACCAGTTTCTATCTATTGAATATGAGTTTTATTTGAGTAATTGATTGATTCATTTTCTTATTCTCAATTTTCTCCTCTTCTCTGCTGACTTCTCTCACGAGTATATGTATTACATTATATAGATTAATTATATATTCTATATTATTTTAGTATCTTCCTAAGCTTTTGCTTCTTTAACCATATTGGATAATAGACTCTTCATCTCATTTTCACCATTTATCGACATATGGTTATACGTTCATCAATGGATAACACTGACGATCCGGACCATCCAATTGAATCATCAAAAATTTCAATTTCATCCAATGATGATGAAATCCATGAAGCTGATGATGAAAATTCAATTGAATCAGATTCTGAAGGTTCAGCTACGTTAGGTTCTGATGAAGCTTCATCCAATATTTTGCCACTTCCTGGAAGTGTAATGGCAGCATATTTATCAGATCCAGTGGCTAATCCAGCAGCTAAAAGTTTATATTTGGCTAATCTAATATCTTATGAAAGTCCGCGTCCGCGTGCTGCTGATTATGTTCGTGTGCCAGCAATTCAGAAGACAATATCATCTTCTCTAGCTGCAACGAGCAATAATTGTCAACAAACTGATAGCTCAATAACATCAACATTCATTGATATTGTTAATAATTTACATGGAATGTTTAATGAAACACCATGTTGTCCGGTAAGATATTGATTATTTCAAAAATATTTTTTAAAACTGTCCCCTTATCATTACTACCCTCTCTCTCTCCAGCAGCAGCAACATGCATTGATCTATTGGGGGGTTATGGTGCGATTGTAACTCAACAACTAATTGTCTATTTAAACATTTTTTTTTCTTTCTGTTGCGCTCTCTTACACATCTGTGTTCAAGCGAATGTTTATCGACAGTGCTCTGATCCCATGAACATACTCAACACAAATCATTTTTTTATTTTTTTTTCATTTTAAATGCTTTATGTTGTGATTTTTGTATGAATGATGTTGATCACATCGTTTGCTAAGCAACTGATCTTCATAAATATTATAAAATCCCTATAATATATATTATATATATATATAGTATATGGTATATAAATATACAATATTTTGTGCTCTTCCTCTTTTTTACTTTCGTTCTTGCTCTTCTTCCCCCCTCCTCCTTTTCGCACTACAACCACCACCCCCTTCGATCGAATTGCCATAAACGATTTTCAGCTCTATTAAGCTGTAAATCCGCTTTTAATTATAGTAGCCTATAATATATAACTTGATTAGAAGAAAGAAATGTCAGATGTAGAGTATGAAAAGAAGGTAAACCAATATCAGAATATAAATTAAAATAAAAAAGATTATATATATATAGATTATATAATATAGATTATAATATTTTGTAGGATGATGAGACAGCTCTACATTGTGCTGCCACACGTGGTCATCTTGAATGTGTTCAAACACTTCTAGAAGCTGGTGCACCCATTGATCAGCAAGATAAGGTAACAACCATTATTTGAACTTTACAACTCACAGAACTGTTGCATTCCATCTTTAAAAACTAAGTTATTGTATTTTCAGCATGATAAAACAGCATTACATTGTGCATTAGAAAATGCTCATGTTGACATAGCCATATTGCTTATAACAAAAGGATGTAAGATAGACATTCAAGATGAGGTTTTGTTATATTTCTTTTCAACCTGTTTTATTCATTTTTTGTGTTTTTTAACAGAACGGAGAAACAGCTCTTCATGTTGCTGTCAAGAATGGATTGCTGTCTGCCGTTCAAACGTTATGTCATTGTGGAGCTGATGTGGCTATTACTAATAAGGTTTGTTAAATCGATATGATACTGTATTGAACTTATATATGTTATAGTCATCGTTTACTCCATTACATGTAGCTGCTAAAGAAGGATATGTTGATGTTGTTCGTGCATTATGTCTAGCAAGAGCTAATATCTCAAAAAAGACAAAGGTTACTACTGTTTCTATAACGATATACTAATTGCATCATATTCAGGATGGATTAACAGCCGAAATTATAGCTCTTGCACAGGAGCATATGCATGTTTCATCATTATTGGCTAAATTGAAATCTGTAAGCTTTTATAATTAAAAATTTAAACTATGCATTTGGAACTAAGATTTTGGGTAATGTAGTCAAATTTCTGTGACTGAAAAACATTAACTTGACTTGATATTGGCTAGAAGCTCATAAAAGCGCAAAACGAATCTCATATGCAAAGCTTCATGAAAAATTAAATTTGTAGCTGTTTGAACATAACATGAAAGCTTTAAAGATAATCCAAAGTCTCCTATTTTGGTATTTAGACAGAACGGATGATTTTGTAAAATAAAAAAAAACATGAAGAAAAAGAAAAAGTCTCTTGATTCAAATTCTTTTCAGGATCAAGTGAGAGAAAACTTCATTGAACAGCTTTATCCGTTAGACTCACCTCTAAGACGGATAAAATTGAAATTGTTCGGACATTCTTTAAGTGGAAAAACAAGATTAATACAATCATTACAATCTACTCGGGGAATAGGCTCAACCATTCTAAATGCTGTTTCTCGCCGAATATCCGATCATTATTCGCCAAGTAATAGCATGAATAAAGGTTTTTCTTTCAATACTAAACCTATTGTGATCTAATTCATTCAGATGATGGTATTCATTCGGCTCAGAGCTGCTCCTTTGCTTCTGAATCAAACAATAATACATCATTGGATGACGTGCCTAAAGAATTAGGACATGATCCAGCCCATACTGCCTACACAAGAGGAATTGATGTTTTGAATGTCAACTGCTCAGGTATGATTATATTACGATTTCTTATCTGGAAAACTGAAAAGACACAACGAAACAAAATGAACTGCAACTAATGCGAATACAACGATCTCGTGGTGTAGTGGTTATCACATCTGTCTAACACACAGAAGGCCGGCGGTTCGAGCCCGCCCGAGATCATATCTTTTAATTTCTATCAGAAACACTTCCAATACTGATTGTTATGTTTAAGGGTGTGGAGAGTTCAGTGTTTGGGAATTCGGCGGATATGAACCTTACCACATGGCATATGATCATTTCGTTGGGAACACTGATTGTATTCATGTAATTCTATTTCGTGCTGATGAACCAACAGAGACTCAATACAAACAAGTTCTCTATTGGATGAATTTCTTAAAAGGACGTGTTACTCCCACCGAACCTATAGGACATTGTGGCATCATATCTAGGAGATCGAAAGTAGTAATAGCTGGTAGTCATGCATCTCCGAACATGTTCCAGAAAAATGCGGATGGTAAGCATGGGAAGAAATGTTTTTAATCATTTATTATTATTCAGGTGAATATGTATCATCAGATATTGAAGCCATGCTGAAAACAGTACGATTACGTTTCGAGACGCACTTCGATATTCACGATCATATAATTCTCTTCGACTCAACTAATCCATCGTGCGTTGGGATGAAACTTCTAAAAACTTATTTGAATAAATGTAGGAGTAGCATCATTTCTGTAAGTTTATGAACTCTATACGTCGTTTCAATGCTATGATTCAGCGATTACAAAAACCAATTGGGCTGTTGGAAGTAACTGTTCAGTATTTGAATAATCTCCGTAAACAGCATGCAAATTTCCCTGTAGTTACGTGGCCTCATTTCACTACGATCGTTCGAAACGAAATAAATCCGTTGGCTGGTGATGTTCATTGCCGACAGTTGATTCAGCAACTTCAACTTATTGGAGAAGTAGTCAATCCACCTTTGAATATATAATGATGAATCAAATAATATAGGTGGTCTACTTACGAGATGAAAATGCTGAATTGGATTATGTTGTTTTGAACCCAGAATGGTTAGGAACTCATATCATCGGCCAGCTTCTCAGCGCTGAGTTCCTATCTCATTGCAGGTGTTTTTGAAACATTGGTAACCTAACTCATTATTGATATTGTAGAATCAACGGAAGCTATGCTCTGGATCATTTTGCTCCAATTTTCCCTGAGATACCTGAACCAGAAGATCTTTTACATATCCTGGATACATTACAAATCTGTGCTCCACAAGAAACAGATAATGACGGAGTTTTCGAGTTTCCGGCCTTTATCTTGATACAACCACCTGAAAACTTGTGGATGAAGGATAAGCCAACATACGTCTATGGAGGTTTAACATGAAGGTTTCTGATGTTTATTTAAATTTGTTTTTGAAGGTGTTCGAGTATTACCAATGAGAGGAATGGAGAGATCTCTTCAAAGTACTTTCCCAAGAATACAAGTTGCTTTGAGAAGAAGCATGAATGATTTCCAAGATCCAATGGATGCTGATCTGATGCAGTTCCATGGATGCAGTAAAATGATCTCGGGACAGATGGAAGCTCTTGTTCGTCTCAATGGAGACGCCGTGGAAATTCGTGTCCGGGGACCTCATGATCGAGCAACACAATGCTTCTATTTCCTAGAGGATATAGTGAACTTGGTTGAACATACAGCAAGCGAAGTTGCTCCAGGCATTGGTCTCGAGAGACATTTCCTCAGTCCAAAACATCTGAAGGTATTAATTACTTGTGTCAGAAAAATGATTAAATTTGCCATTTTCAGGAGCACAATGAGCAACCAGCGTCATTCTTGCCTGAGGCTATGATGACAATGCAACTCAAAGATACTCTTTCGGTTAAAGGAACCCAAGAAGAGGAGGAACTATTCACAGACGTTGTTTGTTTTGGTTCCCGAGAAGTTGCCAAACTTCTAACTCTTGGAATCGATGTTAGTGTGGCAGACCTGCAAATAACAAGTAGATGCGAACTAGCGTGCCTGCTAGATCCTCCCGATGCCATGGGTCGTGACTGGTCCATCTTGGCAGTTAAATTGAACCTGACCGACCAAGTCGCTGAGGTGAGAACATCCGAAAACATGATTATAATTAATAATAAATGAATTCAGGTCGATTCAACAGGTCAATCACTATCTCGAACAGATCAGTTATTAGCTGAATGGGCTATCCAGCATCCAGAAGAAGCTACTGTTGGACGTCTTTGTCAAATTTTAGCTGAACTTGGTCGAGCTGATGCACGCGATGCTCTATATCGAACCGTTCCATTATATCTCTTTGCACCGCTCGATGATTCTCCTCCAATAGATTGTGGAGATTCAGGTGTTGTATCCTCATCTCATTCCTCTGCAGCTAATGATCCCAGAAACAGCTCTATTTCTAGGTAGCCTTTTATCTCAAAAATCATTAGATTTTCTTGTAACGAAATAAGCCTTTATATGAAGTGCCCTTATACTATACCAACGGGATTATCAGACGTTAAAGACAACATATTCATCTTTCATATTGTCGAATATGTCTATCGATAGCCTTTCAATCGATTTACTTTGCTCAGTTTTCAATCAATTCATTCATCCATCCATCCATTCATCCCCTCTCTATCTCTCTACAGAAAGTATATTCCTCTCTATAACATATTCTATTGCCGGTTGTGAACTGCATAATTTGATATATTTTTCATCTTTCTTTTTTTTCATATTTCATATTTTTGTGATACAAATGAGGAAGTCATTATGCGTTACTATCCTCAACCATCTAAGTCAGATTTCTAGTTGGTCGCCGAGTGTTTTTTTCCCGACAACAGAAAAAACAAAAACTTCAAGCTGTGATTGTTGATTGATATCTCTATATAAGGAGAAGAATATCATATATATTAAAATAAAAATATATTAATAATGTCTCTTTTCATTAACCCGTATTTCATAATAATAATAATAATAATAATAATTTAAAATACATTCGATGATTTCGTTTTCTCCTTCCTCAGGACAACTGCAAAACAGGAGAAGAACGAAAGTTATTTTATAAATAAATTTCTTATACCATCTTCTAATCGGCTAGCAGCTATCTGCTGATTTGAGATCTGTTCTGCCTGAGCGAATAACCATGGGAAAAAGTCTTTTTCCAATTCTTCAAAAAAGGATATGTTGATAAGAGGTAATGATGAGGGTAACAGACCTATTGTCATCAAATCCATTTTCTGTTGAGATCTATTCATCAGACGTGTCTCTATGGCTATGGATCTAGTCTTTGGATTCTTTCGTTGTAACTTCTCTAATTTGGACAACGACGAGCTTGTCACCTGCAATTTTTACTTAACAATTAACAGATTTTTTGACGAAAAACAGACTTCTTTGCAAGTTTTCATAGCTAATTCTTTGCTCATAATTGCTTGTTGTGCACGTATTGCTTGTTGTTCAAGCTCTTTCTCCTATTAAGGTAAAGAAATGAGGTTATGTATTCTATTATCTATATACAAATTTACCTTTTGTTCAAGTTTTTCCTGAAGTTTACGTTCCTCTTCAGCTTTCTGTTGACGCTCTGATTGAAGTTGTAACATAGCGTCATTGGCTTTTATTTTGAACTCTTTAACAAGGGGAAATGAGTTTTCATGAAAATGGGATGAGAGGGAAATATAATTTTTACCTTCTATCCGTTGTTCAGCAAACAAATTCTCTTTGGCTTGTAAGATTGCTGTTGAGACAAGCTGCTTAGCTAAGATGGTTATTTCCACTTCAGAAGTCTAAAAATATATGTCAACGATGCTTTTTATGGAAATTATGAATAATAAACGTTGTGACATCAGAATAGATAAGGAAGAGAATTGATCAAAAAACATGAAATATTTTTGATTTGTTGTTTCGAAGAAGAAGGAAAACTATCAGTTTGAACGTGACCGGAAATGAATAAAGAGCTTCTGATTTCCGCTAGTAGCTTGTCTGATATGAATTTTTCCTTTTTTATTTCTCATTCCATTTCTCTATTCGTCTGGATGTGTGTGTGTGTGTCTACGTTTCAAACGACTTACATCTTCCGTTTGAACTGAGCTATCAACTATAAGGTATTGTATGCGTGCCGAAGGTGGCGGAGTCGGAAGAACGGAAGACGGCGAATCCTTGATGCGAACTTGCTTGATTCGATTGTTATCTAGAATATATGATATTATTGAGGAGAAAAAAAAGAGAGAGAAGAAGAGAGAAATGATAATATTGCGTGAAGTCAATGATATATTCATCAAACATCTTCTTAGAAATACAAGTCATAAACGTAAGGTAAAACGGAAATGTGCCGGAAAGCTTTTGAGTCCATGTCGACGGGGACATTATTTAATAAGCGTTAGGTATAAGAATGCTTCTAGGTAATTGATTTGTATCTCGCCTCTCTCTTCTCCCTTTACTACTGTTTTCCCTCTCTCTCTCTCATTCTCCCCCCTCTCTCTCTCTCTCTCTCTCTCTCTCTCTCTCTCTCTCTCTCTAGACTATCCACCGAACAACTTATTCCATTAATTATATTATATACATATATGGTTATATAATTTGTATATTAACCAATGTGTTTCGTTTGTTTTTTGATTCAACAAAACATCATAAGAATAAGATAAACAGATTAGATTTTTGTGTGTTCAAAAAACTTTCGATATTTAAAAGCTTAAAACAAGGAATTACATATACCTGCTCGTTTGAGCTGCGGCAGATTACGAGCTCGAAATCCTTTATCAATGGAGACAGCAGGTGGAAGAAATGAACGCCGACCAAATACGGGAGCTCCAGTACTTAATGGAATTCCGTTGCTTGTGTTGCCTTTCGAATTACGAGAGCTTCGTGTATGAGCAGGATGTTGATGTGACGAGTTAAGCAAAGGAAGTGATTGTTCTAAACGGCTTCGAATCACGTCAACTCTGTAGAAAAAGTTTGAATGTTATTATTGAAGATATAATATCTTTTTCACCTGTATTTTGCTTCATTCTGCTGTTCCTGTTGAGCACGTCGAGCCACCTCTGCCGCTTGGCGACGAGCAGCAAAAATGCTTCCTTTATAAAGTCGCGGATCGACGGAAATATTACAAATAGGAGCCGAACTAGAATGTATTGAAGACGATTGTAGCTTCTCAGGAATCATTGTTTCAACAGCTATCGACGGCATGGTTGATGGCTGTAAAACCAGTGGACCTTCGTCCGGAGCAACCACCAGGTGAGGAAGTCGACACACACGCCAGACTGAACCGACTGCAAGAGGGTAGACATTCAGAGAATTACATGTAAGCCTAATATAGAGGGGATTAAGCTGATGTAGGATAGAGAGAGGGAGATATGAAGAAAGAAAGAAGAGAGAGAAAGAGAGAGTTTGAGGAAAATAATAAAAACATGAGTGAAAATGAGAAAAAGAGAAGGGGAAATATGAGAGACATCAGTTGAGGCGGGATCCATCTATCAGCCTTTTCTTCTCTATCATGCACGCTTTTTCAGATCAACTGATGAAATATTCACATATACGTATGAATTAATCATACAGTTAAGATCCATTTAGATGTGAGAAAGTTTTAGAAGCTGGGTTAACCTAAGACTTCTTTGATATTTGACTTATTTTTCTCACAGATGGGCTGGTGTAAGAGCCGTTAGCACGTCATCACATCTCAAGAATCATACAGACCCTTCTCACTTCTTCCTCTCTCTCTCTCTGTTTCTTTCTCTCTTTCTCTTCTCATTCTCTTCTTCTGTATTGAATGATAGTCATTATATAAATATCTCTTTCTTTTTCCTGTTTCTTCAAAGTTTTATCAGTTCATCTCAAGCAACCCCTTTTTCGAATTGGCTTTCCTTCTCGACATATCAGTCACGAATACAGTTGACTTTAGAACTTTCATTAGAAAATTTCGTGGACAGAATGAACTTTGAATTCAAAAAATCTTGAATGAGGAGCGAAACATATTTAAATTATTATATTTCGTACCTGTTCTTAGCAAAGTTCATGATGTATGTCTATGTGTGATATAAGGAATGAAAAGACAAATCACGTTTATGGAACTTTGATTGTAAAAACAGACATAGAAAGAGAATGGGAATTTATGAGATTATTCATCAATAGAGGAGAACGTTCCAAAAAAAAAAGTTGACTGTACCGGAAATCATGCTGAGGGGGCGGTCCTTAATTGACTGTACGACCTTGATGGGCGGAGCTTCTGATATAGAGGAGGAAACGGTCGTTGTCGTTGCTGTACTTCTCGGTGCGATTGCTGTCTTCAGACATCCATGTGAGTACCTGATGTCACTAATTGTAGTTGTTGTTGTTTTAGAATATCTAGAACTTTGAGCAGACGATATAACTGAGTTTTCAGCGGATAATATCATAGAAGACGTTGGTGGCGCTGTAAGCGGAGCCATTATGACAATAAATACTAGCAGATATTCTCCTATTTTTGTCGTCTTCACTGGCCTACTTTTAAGCTCAGCACCAGCAGAGAGCTCTGCTTGGATCTATGAAGCTGTTGATGAAAGCGAGCTGATAGAAGCTCGTCATATCGGCCAACAAGGTGGGCGGAGCAGAGTATCTAATATGAGGAAGATAGAGATAAATAGATATAGAGAGAGAGACGAAAAAAAAGAGAAAATGATGTGAGGTATAGCAAGCTAAAAACTAAGAGAGAACAGAAGAGGAATAAAAGGGAAGGAAGAAGCTTAAAATTGAAAGATTAACTGAATTGTTCGAATGAAGACCTTATGTACATCACGTCACCGTATTTCCTCTTTCTTTTTCTTTTTTTTTTCTCGGCTTAAGGTTTTTACATGTCAAAAACATTCATTGATTATCATATTTTGTTTTTTTTCTCCTTCCGCCCAACCAATGAAATATCTTTCATCTGTATATAAGAAACCTTTGTATCTTTTGAAATATATATTATGATTATTTTTGAATTTCCTTTTTTTTGCAGCAAAAAATGAATATTTGGATAAAATACAAGGACTGACAGATCAGAAAATCAAGTGAGTTTTTTGTTTTATTTTTATCTTTTCGGTCTTCTTTGTCGGAAAATTTATATATAGTATGTGTGTGTGTGTGTGTGCGTGTTGTCAAGAGATGATATTGTATGAAATTCATTCAATTTGCCGAGAAATCAGAAAAAAAAAGATGGAAAATTCTATTAAAACATCGGAGACATGTGATCGATTAATTACTTTTTTGATTTATTAGTGAATGATTAAGCTCTGATCCCTCTTGCTTCTATTATTACTATTATAGCACTCTTACTCTATGTTTGTGACCATCCTCCTCCTTCGCTCTCTTTGTTCCTTCTTGACGGTCTTGCGGTGCAGCAGAATCCAAAAAAAATTATTTTTTTTCCTTGAATTTCTAACGTTTTCAATCAAAATCGTTCTGTGTAATTTCTTTCATCTGACATTTCCATTTTCGTTTAACCACCAGCTGATGTAGCAAATCAACTTCTTCGTGATGTTAATCATGCAAGTTCACAACGTCATTGATGATCTTTCAAATATTTCAAGAAGTTTGATGAAGAGTGGTTACAGAATCATCACGATCTTTTCTGTTCTACAAGAGAACTATCGTTTCGATGAATAGAGGGAGAGAGAAAGAGGGAGAGAGATAGAGAGAGAGAAGGAAGAAAAAAGAACAAAAAGACGAATGTAAAAGGTTTTCTTGAGTGAACGATTCAAACTTGTCATTTCTATCTTTATCTTTCAAGTACATCCTTCTATAGTTATCAATACAATTGGATTTTCAGAAGTAACTATTATTTGGATGGATTAGAAAAATGTAATGAAATAAATAAGAATTTTACTGTAGAAATTGAATCAACTGTCTTAAGGTATTATTATTTTGTGACGTTTATCATAAAATGTGTGATCATCATTAATGAATTGCAGAAATGCACATGCTGAGAACTCATTATGGTTACAGAAAGCTGGTGTCAAACAATTCATTGCATTATTCATGACATTACCTAATAACTTGATGCAAACAGTTTCTCATCAGGTGATTTTCATTTAATAGTAATATTATTTCAACATATGAAAATAATATTACAGGCTTGTTTAAAACATGAAAAGCAACTAGAATGTGGATCAGAATTCGAAGGTCATGAAATGACTTTAAAACGAATTGAAGACTTAAAAACAATTGGTAACCATCGGTATAAATAATATATTTAACCAAAGATTGTCATTAATGTGTTTGTATTTTAGTCTGATGTTCGAAAAAGAATGTTCATCAACATCATTCGTAACTTCAGTATATCCATGTATTGGCAATGATGTAGCCACATGGATGAAACCATGTGCTAGTGTGAGTTTCATCATCATTATTTTACAATTAATCAATAATAATGAGAATAATATTCAAGCAAACAATAAGAAAAACAAAGTTATAATGAGGATGGGAGATTTGAGATGACGAAAAAATGAGATTTTTAAGAGAAAATGAATGCAACCGCTTTGAACGCTAAATCAATTGTAAATGAGATGGTAGCTCGTTGTGCGTATGATGCTAATTAGCATATATTGAGATGAAGCGCGAAATATACATAGTGTTTTGCTATCTGTCTAATTGTTTGTTTTTGATTATTATTATAATATATATTATATATATATATAAAAAATAGATGTTGGTAGTCGTTCATAATTTTTATTTTTTTCCAGTTCAACGTTTTGTTTTATAGCTTGTTAACTCATATGCAACAATGCGTGAACATATAAATGAACAAATTGAAACCATTTATGATAATGCTGTTCAGACAATAAAGCGTCTGCCAGAGTAAGTTTATTTTTCCTTTCTTTTAGTTTTCTCCTTTTATTTTATTATATTTCCATATTTCAATTCGTTATTCTATTATTTTGTTTGAAGAGATGAAAAAAGTTCGGGCAAACCGCTATTCCATAAGACAATGAAACAAATAACTCAGTTGGAAGGAATCAAATGCGAAAAGTTTAAAATGGTATGTTTTCTTATGAAAAAAAACGATTTGTGTTCCATTTTTCAATTGCAATGTATGAAAGTTGAAAGATTCCTATTAAGAAAAGATCGTTATTGCTTCTTGAGAGAGAACCTTAGAGGGTGGAAGAGGCGAAGAGGAGGAAGAAAAACCCATAAAGAAAAGAGATACAGATAGAGAGACAGAATGGTCGAAAAGAAAACGAAGTAGAGAGGGAGAAAGATAGAAATCGGGAAAAGAAGCTGATGTATGTTTCATGATTTATGGAACTTTTTTTTCCATTCCTTATGTACACTTGATGCCTTTCTGGAAGCATCATTGTTGTAGTTCGGTCCCAAACACATCAGTCCAAAAATTCTTTTTTCCTCTCTTTTTTTTATCTTTCCAACACAAATTACCTATGCTAATTAGGCAAAAGGCTTTGTCATAGCCTTTAAAAGAGAGGAAAATATTGATTTTTTGAGGAAAAAATTGCTTTTTGTCCATGAAATTAAATCGGTCGAGCAACTTCTGAATACATGACAAAAGGAAAAAAAATTGGCACGGAAAAAATGGTTGTTTGTTTAATAGAAATATATATTAATTTGAACATTAAGCTAATGAAAGCTTTTTTTTTCTTTATTTGTATGTTTCCATTTCTTTTTCTTTTTTTTTGCGACTTCTCTCTCCAAGAGTTTATTAACGGCCAGAATTTGATTCAAACAAGACTATGTGCTTGATGTTATTCCTTTTACCATTCCCTTAGGACAAAAACAATCCTTTACTATTGAGTAGAAGACTCTTTGAACTCTTGACGTGGTCAGGAGAGTCACACAGAGAAATAGAAGAAAAGGGAGATTGCTTGACAAATGATTTTATTCTTTTACTTTACTTTTGGACTCCATAAGGCATTTTCTTTCAATGAAGCATATATCGTTTTAAACTCAAATTATAGTTGTCAGATATCTTATGATGGAAAAAAAAATTCTCAAAAGAAAGATAGAGGAAAAGAAAGAAAAAATGAATTAATTGTGCCTTTCAATCCTAAAAGGTTTCTTCATGCTTTTAATAAAAAGATTTTAAACAACTTACAACGTAACAATTTAATTATAATCTTGCAGATGAGATTATGTACTATGCGACGTCTGCTCAACAAATGTGGAACTGAAGCTGTACGAGCATACAACACAAGCATATCAGTCGGATATCTTAGAACAGAACGACGTGAACGACTCAATTTGGATTTTGAAGTCTTCAACTATCCAACTCACATCAATTGTGCCGGTCTATAGACAACGAATATTTAAGATTACTGACAGGAAGATGACAGTTGGATAGCAATGATTTAACTCATTTCTTCAATTCCTTTTTTCTCTTATTTCTCTTTTAATTAAAAGGTTCTCCCAAATCTTTCTTACTTTTTGTCAATTCAAAGTAAGTATGGAAGAAGTTGATCATGTTGATCTGAGGGCATGACGTCTGATAAAACTTGTTAAATCAGATGGTAACTGTGTTCGCATAGTGAATAATTAGGCCTGAATTTTGATTTAAAACTCTTTCTCCCTTCCTATCTCTCTCTCTCTCTCTTTATCTCTATCTCTCTCTTTCCCTATCTATTACTTCTTCATAGCCATCTCTTTCTCTTTCTATTTCTCTCTTCTGTTGCTCTCTTCTTCTCTTTCTCATCATCTCTCCATAACTCTCTCTCTCTCTCTGTCCGTCAATAACTGATTTGTATTATTCTGTATATATGATGATGACACACGGATTCAAAGTGAAAGAAAACATGTATTTAAGAATTTTTCAATGATTTCATCACAAATTACAATTGAAATGAAATTTTAAACAATTGCTTCCCGTATATGAGTTAAATCATCCAGAAAAAGTTCCGAACTGCTAGACATGACAATCGGAAATCGTATGCGTGCTCAGAACTAATCAAATACATAATAAAATTCATTAACAAATGGATTTGTACGAGATTTCTATTCTTACCAAGTCTTCTCAGCTTCAAATGAATAAGTGCGCCCAGTCTATACAAAAGCATGAGTAGAAGCTGTTTTTTTTATTTTGTGTTCTGATTCAAGTGTCATTAACATCATTTACAATTCTAAAATGAGCTTCTTGGATAGCCAGAATCTTTACGTCGTTCTCATCATAGCCTGATGATGATGATGATCATCCTTTTCTTTCGCATTTTCTCATTCTTTTACTCTCTATCCCATTTTTAGACGTCCCCTTCCTGCTCTGTCTCTCATTACTCTCACTGTTCATCTCTATCTTTTCCTCTTTCTGTCTGCCATTCCCTCTATCTCTGTGTGCTCGCCTTGTTTCTTGTCCTAACTGCCTTGTAGTTTGGCGTTGAATGTCCTCAGTACAATCAATATTTTGCATGTTTCCCCTCTTTTTGATACGTTTTTTATCGAATTTCTGTGAACAAAAAAAAACAACTAAAATTTTTGGGAATTAAATGTGAATTAATTGAAAAACGTTTTCATTTCATCTCTTTTTCGCATTTTTTTTGTCGTTTATTCGCATGGCTAAACACATTTTTTTTCTTGCTGTCAAAACTGCACTTCACCAGTTTTATTATTTTAAAATTAGCTATTAACGATTTCCTTCTTATTTCCTCTCTTAAACTTTAATTTATTTTTTATTCAAAATATTTTGACCTTCAATTCCATGGCTCAAATAAAGTTTCGTCAAATGCAATGAACTTGTTGCCGTATAAGCATGTGAGTGTTTATGCCTTGCCTTTCATGTTGAAGAGAAGTGAGAAAAGAACATTGGGAGTTCTCTCTCTTTCTCTCTCTCTCTATTTTTCTCAGTCTTATCCTTTCTATTTTTGCCATTCGATTTCGTTTTTGCCGTTTCCACTTTTCAAATATCTCCGCTCACCCTTTGTTTCCCTTTTTTTAAAAGAAAAAAAAACTTATTCATTTCTACTCTGTCAAAATGAACTGAGATGTAACTGCGGATGAGATTGGATGTGATGGTTGGCACTTTTGTGACCGAAGGAATGCTCTATCTGTTTCTCTTGCCAGATAAATTCCCTTTGACTGTTTACTTATATTCTCTTGGCACTTTGCTCTTTCCTCTTCTGTGTCTCCTCGTCTGTTTCTCTACTATAGTTGATTGCATCCTTCTGCTTTCACCTCTCATTTCTTCTTCTTTTTAGTTGTCTTGTTACCCTTCTTCCTATTTTTCTTCTTCTTCGACCAGAACACTGACTGTGGTTTGGGTAGCTTGGTTTTTTTTCGTCATCATCATCATCTTCTCTTTTTTTTGTTTCTTTGCTATCTTTGTGCTCCAACACTTTCTAACTGATTCATCTGCAACGTTTGATTTTCTCTCCGTTCATACATGTTCTAGATCACTCTGCACTTGACGATTGGCTTGATCGTCGAACAAAAGTCTACCGTCGAAACTTCTCCCTGAAATACTTCTTTTTCGTATTCTGCTTCTTTTTTATCATCCGTTCCCCGTGGCAATCAGGATAGCAAGTCAATAATGAAACGGACTGTCATACTAGCTTCTGTTGTAGCTTTTTCTTCATCATCTCTCTAACTTCCTACGTCGCATCTTTCTCGTTCAAAGCAAATAAATGATTAGCATACCTCATAAACTCACCGAGTATACGCACTTTATTTAATTAGAATAAACTGCTTTGCTTCACGTACTTTACGTCAGTCAATTTTTTTCATACATTTTCAAGTTCAAATGAATGGAACTCGGTTGTGAAATTGTGCGCCCACGTAATTTTTTTCTTTCAATTCTTAATATTCTTCATCAAACATTTTGAACTTTTTATATTTTTTTCTTTTTTATTTCTTCATCCTGTTGTGTTCATGCTGCATGCCTTCTGAAGCGAGGGGGGAGAGAGAAGGAGGGGGGTTGGATTAATTATTAGTATTTTCCGCATTATCGAAGATAGTTTGTTTTTTAGTTTGAACCAAAAACTCGTATTATTTTCGAACTTCTTACTCATTTCTTAGTTTTCTGTTTTTCCATTCTTTTTTCCAAGGTATGCTGCCTACTATTACTTGGTTTTTGCTTTCCTATGTAGTAGTATTTGCTACTCTTTACTCTTATGGTTTATCGAAATCGTAAAAGGGGAAAGGGCATTTACCAGATATATATATAATTCCCAATGGAGCTTGTCGTAAGAGCGAAACTCTACGGAAGGAAAATCGAAATAGAAATTATCATTCTTTGAGACGTCCAGTCCGTATATATGCAATGAATTATCGGATGTCACAGACTGTATTTCTTACATTTCTAATCAATCATCACTATTGTCTATGCGTATTACGGATCATTGATTAGTTATCAACTTTTTCCAAATATATTATATGTTTTGATGTTTATCTCATCCTATCCATTTGTGTGTATCAACGTACACACACACACACATGCAACAATACTTCACACACACATATACACACAAAATGATAGAGAAAGATAGAATATATTGATTATTCATGATATTGCCAGCCGTGGATTTTCATAAACATCATGCCTCTTGCCATGTTCTCATGTGATTATTATGTTCTATTGTAAAACTTTAGCTTAATCAATTCTAATTATTTACATCATGAATTGTCTAATATGTTTATCTTGGCATGTGTTTTCTTCATTTCTTTTTTCCTTGTCTGATCCATAACAATATTCAATTCCTTCACAGACTTATTTTGCATACATTTTTTCCATATTACAATGTATTGACAAACTCGTTTTAAGATTCTTTTTTTTTCCTCCTCCTCGTTTCGGTTAAACTTCAAGTCTTCTGAATACTCTGATTTTCTTTAGTAGCATGTTTGTTCAATTTTATTCGAAATGACTGAAAGATTGAAAATGACGATAGACCACCTATTTAGTTGATATTTCCTTTTTTTTACAATTCACTTGTGTTTGTTCAATCTGCAGGCGTTTCCTCTTCTTTAGCTGATCTACGGCAATACAAGCTCTTTGTACTATTGACGTACTTTAAGCAGAATCTTCGCAATTGAACTCAAATTCACTATCGTTCCCATTGAATAATTTTGTACTTTCTTTATTATAATAATATTAATAATCTTTCGTGTGTTTGCTTGCTTTCCGGATGCTCATTCGCTTTCCTCACTCATCCCAGCAATCAGAAGTGCTTCCTTCTCAAAACCAACAGATTGCACAGTTTCTTCCACTCGATGCAGTGCCCAGGCGTAAATTTTCGTCTTCTCGAAATTCGTGTAGGGTGTGACATTTCGGATGTTTTTCTCTTTTTGGTTTGCTTTTTCTTTCTATCTCTCTTTCTCTTGTCTCTAGTGTCATTTTAGCTGCTCTCTGGTCAGTTATTCCGCTACGCGTCGCTGCTCAACCCTTTTACGCTACCAGAACATATATTCCTTAAAATGGTTCCTAATTTGAACATTTCGTTCAATTGCGGATGATGTTTGTTTGAAAATTATCATTCACAACTTGTCAATATTTGTTGTTATACATCTGAATTAGAGATGAGACGCAAGGTATAAGGAGAGAAGCCATATCAACCCTATCAATTCTTTTTTTTTTGGCTTGACATAGTTCACATCAAACTCTCTTATTTCATATTTTGATCATAAAAACCGTTGTCATGACTACTAGTATATATCAGGTAGAAGCGGATTTATTCAATTTAACTATGGCCATATAAGACAAATCTGATATGGATTACAACAAAAAACAGATTCATCTCGCATTATAAATTTCGTAACGATTTTTTCATCTCTTTCTCCTCCTCCTCTAGCGGAATTCTACATAATTTTCACGCCCAATCATAGTTATGCTTAGTTCTTTCGCTATTTTTGCTGAAATTTCGGCTTTGCCGAATTTTGTTTTGTTTTCTGATATTATGAACAACAAGCTTTTACTTTTCTTTGATTTTATATCGTTTTCATGTATTACCTCATTCTTCGATTCAATTATCTCTTCAAAACATTGTCTAATTGCTTCTTACAGTCATGCATAACTGTCAATGACCTATGCATTTTTTCTTTCTGTAAATCTTTCTTTCTCTTTTTCTATCCATCTCTCATTTCTATTCTTCGTCTTTTTTCTATATTTGCCATTAAGGTTTTCATTGGGTCAGTTTCAGGCCGATTCAGGCGGCCACTGAAATCATTGTTGAACCTCCTTCCTCCTTCACAAATTCTAATGCTCCTCTTCAAATCCAGACATTCTACTTACTATAAGACTCAGTTTTTGTTTCATTCTCTCTGAAGTTTTATATGAGACTGTATGACAGATAAATAAAAAGAGAGGACATTCTACTGTTCCATTGTTTGGAACACACCAAACGAGTTACCGGCAGACATGTTGTGCCCGGTTTTTCTCATTCATTATCTGACTACCTTTTTGAGAATTAATGACAAGCGCATGTTCTTCTCCATGACTATCACCTATTTCATTCACATAATACCCTACTTTTTTGCCGTACAAAACTCCTCTAACCTTCTCGTCGTCTTTGTTTCATCTTGATGAGAATTGAAGCTGAATTTCTGCTTCCAAATACTTCACTAACCTGATCATCAATGAATAGTTCACAATCGATTAAGTCCTGCTTTGCGCCCTTGTCAATGTCGACGCAAAAGCTGCTCTATTCATGGCTGATAATTTGCCAATTTCTCTACTTTTAGAGCATTTTTTCGATTTGAAGCTTATAATTCCTGATTATCAATTGCTTTACCTTAATTTTTGCATATAAGGATAACAGTGCACATCTAACTTGGCGTGTTCTTTCCGACCACGAAGGGGTGGGGGCTGTTAGCGGGTCGCTGTTGATCGGGGAGATGGATTTGACGCGTGCGGTCGCGACGCGTACGCTCGATGGCTGCATAAGTCTCGCCCTGGGTGATAGATTCTTGCTTCTATCTCGAAATTCAGTACTACTAAGCTTAGCTTAACAAATACTTCATAATGAACATCTTGTGCTCTAACTTAATTTTTATTTTCAACGCATTTGTCTTGGCCGGTACCCTTTTTTTCATATATTGATTTGGCCCATGTTTATCTGAACCCCGAGCTGTGTTATTGAACAAAACTACTGCACATTGATATTTTTACAGTCATCCCTTTTGTATTTCTCAATCTATTATCCTGATCTTTGTTAATGCCCCATTTAGGGTGTTTAAATGAGTTACTAGCAAAGCTTTGCTATCATTGATTCATAGAAAATGTTGCTATTGCGTATGGAAAAACGCGATAACACGCGAGATTCTTCTGAACGCGATAGGTACTAGCGCATTAGTGAAGTCCTAGAGCAGTTTTTTTGAGAACTTCGCTTCCTGTTTGTGATGTTTAATATATTGTAGTTATTGCTCATATGTTTGTGGTATGATGAACGCGTATGTGATGGTCCGCTTGTTGATAATCGACTCCATTTTTTCTATTCTTTTATTTGTTTCAGGCGAACGTCAACAGGCCTCCGTCCACGTCAAGCTCTATTATCAGGGCTATCTCATTGGGCTCCAGCAGCAATGACGAATGCAAGAGGTCCCAGCTCTTCGGGTTCTGGTTCAGCAAATACCAGTAATCAGGGTGTTTTGATGGTTGGACCCAATTTCAAGGTATGTTTCAATGTTGAATGACCTGTTTATAGTTTTTATCCGCTTAGGTTGGCAAAAAGATAGGATGTGGTAATTTTGGTGAATTACGACTTGGGAAAAATTTATACAACAATGAACATGTCGCTATTAAACTTGAGCCAATGAAAAGTAAAGCTCCGCAACTGCATTTAGAATACCGGTTTTATAAGCTTTTGGGACAAGCTGGTATGTTATAACAAGAAAGTTATGAGGGTTAATTCGTTTGTCTACAGAAGGATTACCACAAGTGCACTATTTCGGACCATGTGGCAAATACAATGCTCTAGTAATGGAGTTACTTGGCCATTCGTTGGAAGATTTGTTTGATCTCTGTGAACGACATTTTTCCTTAAAAACAGTCGCGATGATTGCTATGCAACTAGTAATTTGAAGAAATGTAGGGAGATGATAATGATTTGTCGTTCAGATTCGCCGAATAGAATATGTACATACAAAGCATTTGATATACCGTGATGTGAAGCCTGAAAACTTCTTGATCGGCAGATATTCCACCAGAAAACAACACATCCTTCACATTATAGATTTTGGATTAGCTAAGGAATATATTGATTGCGACACAGGTGACTATCAGATTGTTGTCATTTAACTCAATTTACTTTTCAGGAAAACATATTGCTTATCGAGAACACAAATCATTGACTGGTACTGCAAGGTATATGTCGATCAATACCCATTTGGGTAAGGAGCAGTCTAGGCGTGATGACTTAGAAGCGTTGGGACACATGTTTATGTATTTTTTGCGAGGAAGTTTACCATGGCAAGGATTAAAGGTATTCCGGAAATGACTATCTTTTTATCTTGAATCTATTATTCATAGGCCGATACTCTTAAAGAGCGTTATCAGAAAATTGGAGATACGAAGAGGCAAACTGCAGTTGAAGCTTTATGTGAAGGGTTTCCCGGTATTGTACTATAAAACTTCAAATCTCAAAATATAATTGCTCAGATGAATTTGCTCAGTATCTCCGTTATGCCAGAAGATTGGACTTCTTCGAAACACCCGATTATGATTATTGCTACAGTCTTTTTAAAGCTGTTCTCGATAGAATAGGTGCCCAATATGATTATGAATTTGACTGGACTCCAAAACTAAACAATGTGGTAAGCTGTAACATGTATAATTGTCCCTAACCATTCTCATCGTAGTCTACACCATCTGGCTCACTTCACACCTCAGAAACTAAAGATAGCAAAAAAGGTAGTCATTTCACTCGTCATTTTCCCATGTTATGTGACGTTTTATAGATCGTGCCGACGTGCTGAAACCTAACCACCAATCTACTCATCCTTTCGGGTCGACTCAGGTAAACGAGAACTAGCAACTCGCTTTTTGTTTAAATATTGGTCTCAGCCTGAATATATAAATCTTCCCTTCACACACTTCACTTTTTCCTTCTTTAGGTAATAAATTCTAATGCTGGTGAGGGTATCGAAGAAACGGGACGCACAGGAGAGCGTGCTGACGCACAATCTGGAGAAGTAAAATGCTGTTGTTTCCGCAGACGTAGGCGGAAGGTCCCTGCTAGTCAAAATGCCCAGAAGTGATAACTTCAACTGGGAAAAATAGCTCATATATATATAACCTTAGTCTTTATCAGAAATCTGCTAATGTGGGTTTGGGTACAGACGATCACTTTCCTTTTTCATAATTCTTTTTTTAACTGATTCAAAGCACCTTTTTAAGCGAAGATCGTTGTTAAATTATTTACGAGCGCAGAAGCATGCGCGTCTCTGTGTTCTTTAAGTGCGTGTATTTGTTGCTCCTCTCTTTACGATTAGTTATAATAGCCCAATTCTGTCCTTTTGCTATGCATAAGTTGTTTGTTAAATATCCGATTACTTACAGTGCCTCTCGAAAATCATCGGTGGTCATGTGATAATCGGGGATTGAAACAGAATTTAAAACTTCCTAATCTGTTAAAGTAGCCTATCTTCCCGCGGTTTCGTTATATGCCTATAAATTTTCAAGCTCTTTGGAACCTTGATTGTCTAAGAATAAGTCGTTTTCATAAAAAAAACTCACTGATCTATTTTCCATTTCGCAAGCAGATTTTACATCTTAATGATACAAATTTCTACCTATTATATTCAACTCACTTTGATGTGATTTGTTCCTTAATTTTCATGTCGAGATTGATCCATCATTCTATGTGTTATATATTTAAGTTTCATTGTCGGCATTTCGCGAAATTGCAATAAATTTTGTCTATAAAGTTTTTTTTGGATTTGTCATTTGGTCTGATCGAATAGTATTTGTCAACTTTTGAGAGCCACGGTTATTATTAACATATGTAGATGTCGTTCAATGTGCCGGTTAAAGCATTGAATCCTGTAGATATAAAGCTTCCTGATCATGTGGTTAAGGTAATTCAAAATGCTACGGGATATCATCATATACTCGGTTGATAGGGTGCTGTTACCATAGATTCCTCTATATCAGAATGGAATAACTCCGTCACATTCGACAACTTGACACCTGATGCTGCGTTCATAACTATTGATAAATCGGTTTCATATTCCAATTCTACAAATTTTACGACTCGGTTTTCAGAAAAATAACTTACCTGAGGTGATAGCTAATGTTTCTTCTGAACTAAAGCTTCCGATTGGAGAGGATTATGCCTTAGCTTTTGAGGATCCACGCTACTTTCTAACTTCAACTAACATTGATAAAGTGGTTCATGGTTTCATGTTGACAATAACCGCATCTCCGGTATAGCCTCCCACATGAACTAGTTGATTAGCTCGATTCAGATTCACTACGCTAACCGATTGAAATCTGTTCTCACTTCGAATGATTCCAAAAAGTGCGACTGGGCTATAACTAAACTAGTTAATCTAGCAAAGGTTTGTATAGCCTAGTCTCTGCTTACGTCATTCATTTAGGATCAATGCTTTATTGAAGCTTTTTATGAAACTAGCAGCATTACTCTACTATACGAGCTTTTGAAATCTGAAAGAATTAAAAGGTAAAATGGTTAACATAATTTTGAATGCAACCACTCTTCGCTAATGAGGAAAGAGAAAGAACGATATGTGATCGCACTTCGATTCCACGTTCTACGTCATGGGTGACGTCAAGAAATTTGCATACAGTGTTTTCTCTCTGACTGAATAGATGAAACTCTTCTTTATTTCAGTAGCACTAGTATGCTCTGCAACTTACTACATGCTGTACGCTCGATGTTGGATCTCAATGTCAATAATATCAATTGGACAGCAGTTCCTCAAGAACTAATTGATCAGCTAGCGAATTATGTAACTGGCTAGTGTTACCTTCACTACATGTTTCAATAACAACAATATTTTAGGTGGTGCTAAGCTTGAAGACGCTAGTACAGTTGTTATAGCATTACAAATGATTGAAAATCTCGTGAATTGCGAAGAGTAACACAGTTGAATTGGAATTGAGATATATGAACTCATTTCAGTGAACAGATCAGAAGGAACGTTTTATCAGCTGTTAAAGTTGAAGCGTTGATTCGACATTTAGAAAAATCTGATGAAAGGGTCAATTTAGCAGCATTGTCAGTTATGAATGCTCTGCATAAAAATAGTGACGAAGCTGGCAGGAGAGAAATCGTTAAAGTATTCATTAAAGTTTATTTTTAGAAATTTCAATGATTTTTTCAGCATTTGTCATCTAAACCTTTCCGAGCCGCTATTGCTGGTTCGGTTCTGAGAACGGGCAGGGCTAGGGAGCGTTCACTAATTGATCAACTTCTTCCACTCCAGCGACTCATTCTGGAAGAACAATCTGAGCATATGAAAACCGAATGCAAAGAAGAAGATTTGAAGAAACTTCTGGTTTGTTGCTACTGAAAGAGACGCTTTGTATCCTACAGCATAGGAATCCGAAGTTCTACAATTTTCGGATTGCAAAGCAGAAGGTGATGTTGAGTTACTGAAAAGTTCTGGACTTGGAAAACTCGCTCATGGCGTTCTATCTCGTTATTTCGAAAATTATGAAGAAGATATAAAAATCGTTGGTGTGCATGTTATAATCTCCAAATTATATGATATTCAGCTCCTGTCTGAGAATGGAATGAGAGTGGAAGGAAATGGATGGCAATTTGTGCCTTTGTGCATTCAATGTTTGACGATTGTTTGTGAATTGTTATCTGTTATTCCAACAGGTTACATAGCATTAGTTCATTATTCTATATGCTTGATTTTCCAGAAGATAATTGTGTTGAACAGTTGATTGAGCTTCTTTACACGCTTGATAACCCAATTGATTCTTTTTTCCATCTTGTAGTTCAACTTTTCCATCGTACTTGGAGAGAAATGCAAGCGTCTCAAGGAGAAGCTCCTAAGGTTTGCTTTATGATCAACGACGTTTTTCTCAAGTTTAGAGTTAGGTTGGAAAGGTTGTTCGGGAGCAACTATGGAGAAATGTAGAACTGAGACCAACTACCCTAGCATCTCTTAATGATTCTCTTCATAATTTATCATACTGGAAGATTCGAAAACTTTGGGAGAAAGATGAAATGACGAAAGAAAATAATCAATTATCTTCAGAAATAGTGAAGTTCGCTCATGACTAAGTTTTATTTTGAAAAAAATCAATTTCAGTGAACTTCGACGATTACTTACACCATCCATAGAAAGTCTTGTGATACAGAATCGTAAAAATTTTATGAAAGAAGGTTTCACCTTCAAGCGAGTTGTGAAAGGGAAGTCCGCACTAAAAGGTGATTGCCCAATATATTGGGGAAACAAATTTTCTTAATTGAAGACCAGTACTGGTTCTGGAAGTTGGATCAAGCTGAAAAAGTTATTACGATGACTGAAACAGATAGTGACCCGTATATTGAAGGTTTATCCCATATTGGGAATGTTCGGAAAGGTTAAAGGTCTATTACTCGTCCATATATAGTATGATCTCTTATAGTTCCAATAAAAGAAATAGTGGATGTACCATGGGGTAATGATGGTACAGCAACTCTTAGAAAAGGCGTAGGGGCCTCACGAGGACTCCGTATACGTTTAAAAAATGATTCGATAATCTCGGTATCAGCATCTTCTGATAAGCTATTATTGATGTGGGTAGATGGTTTGAAGCATTTGATAGGAAAAGAGAATCTCAGGTGATTAGAATTAATTTTTGACTTTGTTATAGTTTATTTGTAGTCTGGATGCGAACAGCCTAGTGGATAAGCTATTGAATGTAGAACTTAGGTTGAGATTGCTGGATGTCCCTCAGCCGGAAACAGATTTGCCGTTGCCGGAAGTCCCTTCAAGTCTTACCTGGGTCATACCACATTTGGACGTTTAAGATATTATTATTATTATAACATTCACATTGTATATAGGGGATATTTCTCATTCCTGCTTTATCTTAAAATGACTGGTACGTTTTCAAATATAATAAAACATTGGGCAGTGTTTACTAATTTGTAGTTCTTCTTCATCGTGTTTGATATGTTTTCGATATCAAAACAGGTTCATCACCACTTTCTTTATTTCTTATGGCCTTTTTAAGATTATTTCTTCAAATTGTGTCTTTTTCTCTTCAGACTAACTTAAAATGCTTAAGATGGCAGCAGGTGTTGAAGCCATATCCATCATGAAGAAAGATCTTCGGAAGAAGATAGCTGGGGTTCTCTCGACAATCTCAGAGGAGGATATCGAGAGACAGACCTCAATTGTAGCAGCAAAAGTATAAAAATGAATGGATCTCCAGAAAATCTGTATATTAAGATATCGTCCATGCCTGCTTTCCAGAACAGCAAACGAATTTCCATTTATGTCAACACTTCAGGAGAAATCAAGACCGATTCTATTATCAATCTTTGTTTTGAACAACAAAAGGAGGTTTTTATACCACAAGTAGGGATCTGTTCGAACATTCATTTAAAAACTAAAAACACCTCGTTTTTAGTTCATAAAAGGAGACAAACGGATGAAGATGTTGAAGGTAACTAAAGATGGTTTCTCACAGCTCTCTACGACCTTATGGAATATTAGACAACCAGAAAAGGATTGTGGGTGGCCAGAATATCATGAATCTGGTCAGTATTCTCGTATATTTCTATAAACCAAAGAAAGACGATAAGATAATTGCCTATACTGTTAGTCTCACGACCCTGTTTAAGGTCCGTTAGATCTTGTTCTGTTGCCAGGTGTCGCATTCACTAAAGATGGTCATAGATTGGGGCATGGGATGGTAAGAAGTAATAAATGACCGTCTAACTCATATTGCATTCAGGGCTTTTATGACAGATTCTTGTGGGAACACAAGGAGAAATTTGGGAAATTGCCAAAATTAATGGGTTTGGCTTTAAAAGATCAGATGGTTGATCAGGTCCCCGTCACAGAGACAGACGTTACCATTGATAGCGTTGTTTCATCACTTGACGATTAGAAAATGCATCGGATACGTGTACATTTCAAGAAACAAAGCTTTTGTATTAGTTTTCTATGATATTTTGCTCAAGAGGACAGTTTCTTGTTTGCACGGCGAGAAATTCATTCCATATATATATATTGATTAGTAATCTTGACAATTTAATATTTACAACAATAAATGTTTAGAAAAAAGAAAACCATGTGATTGTCCGCCCTTTATTTTAAGCTTTTCACTTTACAATGAAGTGATCTTCTTTACATGTCTGACACTCTCTCTCATCAACATACTATTTGGTTAAAATATTCAGTCTTTCTGTATGTTCATGAAATATGGCCCATCTGCTTCGTCAGTTCAGTTGTAGGTTCAATTGCTTGACCAATATTGCTTGTTGCTTTGATGATGAACAATCTTGATGCCCATAGCAAAATGAGTATGTCGCCATACGGCGCCTTCCTTTATTGATTAGTGTGAAATAAGGAAGCAGAGAGCGCAGACAGTTAGCGTGCTCTCCTCAGTTTGCATAGCGGCCGTTACCCACAGCAGGTGGGGTCTTTTTCCCTAGAAAATAGTACCTGAATCAATTCTTCTATTTTATTTTCAATCATTTTAATTACAAAATGAATCAAGAACCTTATTTGGATCAATGGCAGACGAACGGAAGGTAGTTATTTTGTTTAAAGTTTTCGAACGGGATAAAACAAGGTTATATCCTTGGATTAGTCTAATACCGCTTAATCTCCTGCTGAGCATCCCGAAGTGTAAATGATGCATAATTTGAGGAGACAATTCTTCTACTTTTTCCAACTAATATGTTTCTTATTATATGCGTGTTATCGGAAATAGAAATTGGTGACAATGAGAAGAATATTGAGCGTCACCTACTTATGCAATGAGAATAAACATACTGGCCTTCGTTGTGTTTGCGTTCCGTTCTCTATGAATACCACACTACAGTTTGAGCTTGCCTAGTTGGCCGAAAACGGTCAGAAATCGATACGTGAACCAGCTTAACGCCTTTTTGAAAAATTTAAGATTAATTTATTATTATAGAGTCTATTTGTAACTCCTATTCTGTTTTGTGATCTGTTACTCGAACACAATTTGTGGTTTTTCAGCATGGAAGATGATGATATGGGTATGCCATCGGGAAAATATGCTCGCATGGAAGGAGATGAAATGGGAGAAAACAAAGAGAGGTTCGCTCGAGAAAATCATAGCGAGGTAAAGGCGAGCCAAGTTATAATTAAATCTGTTTTTCCATATGTAGATAGAACGAAGGAGAAGGAATAAGATGACTCATTATATTAATGAGTTGGCCGAAATGGTTCCTCAATGCGCTGCCCTGGGTAGAAAGCCCGATAAACTTACTATTTTACGTATGGCAGTGTCGCATATGAAGCAGATCAGAGGTCCTCACACGGTAGGGTAAGGTTCTGCCTCTCTTCCTCATTTTTCGTTCCTAGGATGAAACGTCCTATAAACCATCATTTTTATCTGATCAAGAGTTAAAGCATTTAATCCTTGAGGCGGCTAATGGATTTTTGTTTGTTGTTTGTTGTCAAACAGGGAGAGTTCTATACGTAGCTGATTCTATTCAACCTGTTCTCAATTTAAAACAAGTAAGATACTTATTCTCATGGTTTTACATTATTCTTTATCTGTTAGGAAGATTGGTTACATCACAATCTCAGCGATTTGATTCATCCAGATGATCAAGACAAAATTCGAGATCAGTTATGTGGTGGGGAAGTCGCCGTTAACAAAGTCTTAGATCTCAAAACAGGTTCTTATTATTTTGAGGTTCATAATGGAAAGTATATTCGATTGTAGGTACCGTAAAACGAGAAGGATCATCAACATCACGAGTACATATGAGTTGTCGTAGAGGGTTCATTTGTCGGATGAGGGTGGGATCTTTAGAACCTTTACATAGGATACGTAACCGCAGACCAATTTTCCAACACGGGGGTAAGAAATTAAAACCGATATGAATCCAATAATCCATTTTTCAGGACATAATTATGTCGTTATGCATTGTACAGGGTACGTTAAAAATACTCCTCCATCCGGGTTGGAAGGAGCCACTTCCTCTTGTCTTGTAGCTATTGCCCGTTTACAAGTAATATAATGAATACTCTTACTATTTTTAATTTGTTGTTTAGGTTGCTTCCATGCCCATGTGCCCTGACCCCACTGCGTCTTCTCAATTTTCTGTAAGAATAGCGGATGACGGAAAAATGACATTCATTGACTCGCGAGCAACAAATTTGCTGGGTCTCAGTGTCGATCAATTACTTGGTGGCTTCTGGTGGCAATTAGCACATCCTGCTGATGAACAAACTTTACGAGATGGTTTCAATACTTTGATGAGGTTTAGATTTTTTTCCAATAATAGTAATGAATAAAAATTTTTTAAAGGGATCAGCAAGTCAGACTAAATGTGAGGATTCGTACGAGCACAGATTATTTGCCATGCTCTATATCAGCTTATAAATTTCTCAATCCCTACTCCGAAGTTTTCGAGTACGTCGTTGCCACCCATCAGATTATTAGCAGTGAAGACTCGACTTGGCAAGAAGGCGCTATATATCCCCAAGCTACCTCAGATTTTAATCATCCCCAAAACGAGTGGAGGCCTGAAGGGGCGCGAGACGCTTCTACATGGCCACAATGGGATCAAACATTTCCTCATGTGTGATAATAAGGCTTGTATTATAAATTTAATAAATTCATCAACAAAATTATAACTACAACAATATAACTAGATACCATTCTTTAAAACATAATCTGAGGCGGACACCTTACAAGTTTTCTTATCGCCGAAGTCAGTGGAAGGGAATTCCGCCACATTCAACTTGCTTGATATCCAAGTTACAGGTGTCCATTCGCCCTGGAATAAGAGCAAATTACTTAACGAGTTCGGGCGCCAACAAATGGCGGAACTTTTCGAAAATACACGCGCGCAGGGCGGTTGCATTCTAAATTTTATATTCCAATTTTAGGTGAGTTTATTAAATTTTGAAGCAAAAACATCAACAAAATACCTGAACTGAAGGAACGAGAGCTGATTGTCTACTCTCTAGCTTCACAACAGGTTCACCTGAACGTGAATAGAGAAGATTAATATCTTTTTCGATTTGTGATGCTGATAGGTTTTTAGCATTTATCTGGATGACCCTTCCATTAGCATACTCTGCTCGTATTGTAGGATTACTATTGCGGACTGGTTGAGCATATATTACTACTGAAGGCTCCGTTTCACCTACAAGTATTATGAAACATGCAAGACTTCTTGGTCTCATACCTAGTGCAACTGCTCTATTCTCTAAAAAGTTTCTCATTCCAACACTGCTTTCACTTTGCTTACAAAATCTGAATGTGATTCTGTGTAATTGAGGAATGTATTTTGAGACTCCATTATGGGATGGAGTTTTCAGAAAGTCTGTGAATCTCCAGCCGTAATTTAAAGCTTTCGCAGCAGAATATATAGTTTTTATTCTGTCAACGCGAGGTTGGACTGGCATTTTTCTGGAAGAGATGATAATTAGAATTCTTAGAAAAACTATGATTTCATCAATAAGCATATGAAAATCGGTATTAAGTGAAATTTGAAGCCAATTCTTAGCTAATTTCAAGAGGTACGCTCCAGTAAAAGCGGCGCGTACGCGCGCGGTAAATCTCTTGCCATTCAAAATTGCGTTTGGATGATATTGAGAAATTTGCTTTATTCGAAACAATTTTAGGTTTTTTATCACAATCTTTTTCATCATTTTCGAAATGCTTTCTCATTTGAAATCATCAATTTGTAGATCCGCTATTAAACGTGAATGAGTAAGGAACAAGTAAAAACAAATGAACCGTCATCATTGGTTCAACAAGTCGATTCCAACAGGTATTAAATTGTCAGTAGGCTTCGTATATTGAGTTATTTGGCTCCCCAGATAATAGTATAACATGTTTCTGCTTCTCTCCTTAACTTTATGTGTCATTTTTTTATGTGGTGATCGAAATTTTCAACGTTTCAGAGGCTGGCTGCAATGGGGGACTGCGTCGTTAAAAAAAGTGGCCGAAGTAGAAGGCCGGCTTTTCAAAACATTTGGTGTCAATATCTTATCAAAATTTGTCCCGGTAATCTGATATAGATTTTTCGTAAGCATAGGATTGTTCAGATTCGTTTCCATCATAGTGAGATGTATACCATCACTACAAACCCTGATGAAGAGAAAAAAAGTGAAATTCCTATTGTGTTGATGCACGGGTTTGGCGCAGGAGTAGCCATATGGTGCGCCAATCTCAAAGCATTAGCTAAAAATCACACAGTTCATGCTTTCGATCTATTAGGTTGAAATTCGAAGAAAACTTTTTCTTATTAGCTGTTCTAGGTTTTGGACGATCTTCCAGACCGAAATTCAGCAGTGACCCTGCTATTTCGGAGCTCGAAATGGTGGAGTCAATTGAAGACTGGAGAAAAGCTATGGGGATTGAGAAAATGTATCTTGTCGCACATTCATTTGGTATTGTAAAACTATGATTCGAAGATAGTAAAATTTGTTCCAGGAGCATATCTAGCGACATCGTATACGCTAGAACATCCTAATAGAGTGAAACATCTCATTCTAGTTGACCCGTGGGGATTCCCGGATAGACAATTACCTAATGACAAACAGGCAGGTTGAAAACCTCAAAAATGTTCAGAATCTGCTCTATAGATAACACCATACCCTTGGATGAACATGGTTGCTCGCGTCCTCTCAAACTTCAACCCACTAGCTACTTTACGAATTGCGGGACCTTATGGTTTAAAAATTTACAAATTCCAACCACAACTCGTTTTAAAGGTCCCTCAATGGTGAAGAAGCTTAGACCCGACTTGCAGCTGAGATACAAAAGTGAAAACCCTGATGATATATATGATTATATTTATCATTGCAATGCACTAACTCCATCTGGAGAAACAGCTTTCAGACAGATGACATTGCAATTGGGTTGGGCAAAACGACCCATGATTCGACGGTGATAATATGATAGTGAACTTGCGTTTGCAACGATTGATTTCAGTTTCCATGGGATCGCAGCTAACGTACCTATAACGTTTATTTATGGCAGCAGAAGTTGGATTGATCCTGGTCCTGCTTTTGACATCCAATCTGAAAGAGTCGATGTTGATGTTCAGGTAGGATAAGTTATGTTATGGGTGGTTCAATTGTAAACTCAGATCATTCGTGGCGCTGGTCATCATGTGTATGCAGATGCTGCTGAAGCCTTCAATGAGTTGGTACTCTCAGTTATAAGCAGTACTAAGATACCCTAAACTGTAATAATAATTGTATATATTTGTAACTTAGTCCTATTAACCAATCGCAGCTGTGATTTTCTCAGAATTGTATTAGTCAATATACACTGGTCAATATAATTAATTTTATGAAAATTTGAATTTCTTGGCTCTATTACGGATGTAGACTGAGGTTTCCCCAATTGCTATCTGATAACGTTTTCTCGTTCACATTTTCATCGTGCTTTCAGTGTTCTTGTTATGGTACAAACCATTAAAAAGGAGGTTTTTCTAAAAAGGGCTAAGAAGCTTTATGAAGGATGGGTAAGTAACAAGACAAGAGAAAGCTAGACTGAGTTGGAAATTGGTATTTAAGACAGCAGGAAAATATGGACTTACCGATGTTGATGCCATTGTAGTTTCTCTGGGTAATTATGGAGAGAATAATTATAACAGATCCGTATCGTTTCATGTAAGTGATGAGTGTTTCTTGTCCATGCTATGCTTACCTTTTCCAGACATGGTTATTCACTTATGAATTTATCCAATCGGTCCTTGTTTTAACGAAGAAAGGTAGGAAAAAAGTGTTTTTCTAACTAATCATTTTGTCGAATAGGTATTTATTTCCTCTCCAGTGGTAGAAAATTAGAATGCTTCTCTGCAATACTCTCCGATACCGCTAACGGAGTTATTCCTCCCATCAAAACTTTTTCTAGAAACAAGGTTTTTGCTAATTCTGAACTCCTTTTCTAAATGTTTCTCTCTCGACAGGATGATAATGACGGTGAGAACTTTGACAAGTTCATCAAATTCATTCAAGATGAGGGAAATACCATCGGACATTTCGTTAAGGACAAGTTCGATGGAGATTTCATCACCGCATGGTATGAGAAGTTGGATGCTGCTGACTTCCGCAAGGTGAACAACACGCATGCACTTATCTACTTCAATGTTTTAGGTAGACCTCACATCTCCTTTCTGTGAGCTATTCTCTGTAAAAGACGACACTGAAAGAGATTTATGTAAAAAATCTGCACAATGTGCTATTAACACATGGACCTTCACCAAAAAACAAATAGTAGAATTCATATCGAAGGAAAAGGTTTCGTCAAATCAAAAATTAATTATTGTTGAGTTTTTTTATAATAGAGGGTAAAGCATGGAAAGTTCTCCTCTGATATTGACGAGTCTGTTGCTAATGTGAAGGTGCAAGGCCCTTTAGCGGGTAACAAAACCATAGACACTGCTTTCACTCCAATTGTTATGAGCGGTGGAGATTATTCTTTCAAATGGAGCAGGGAAAGGTTTGCTCACATATTACTCCCTGTTTTCAAACTTTCGTTTCAGTGATGAGAAAACGAATATTCATTACGGTTGCATTGTTACTTCACTGGGTCTTCGCTATGAAGTTAGTTGTTTCTAAATCACAATACTAAAAGGTTTTTTACAGTCTTACTGCTCTAATGTTACACGAACCGTCCTGGTGAATCCAAACAAAAAAATTTCTGAGATGTATGAGCATATGCTTGCCGTTCAAGCAGAACTTGTTGCTGCTCTTAAGCCTGGAGCAAAACTTTGTGATGTATATAACCAAACGGTGAAGTCGATACAAACCCGTGATCCAAAGCTTGCTGAGCTACTCGATCTCAAAGATTTTGGGTATTATATATTTCTCAAAGAAAAATTTTTCATTAAATGTTTAGATTCTTGACCGGAATCCAGTTTCGTGAAAGCGCGATGATTATCAATGCTAAATGTCAAGAAACTGTAAAGCCTGGTATGGTTTTCATAATATACCTTGGAGTTAACGGTATTAAAAATGTTGATGCCAAGGATGATAGAGGCAAACAATATGCCATCGCTATTTCTGACACAGTGAGTTTTTATGATTCAAAACACCTTTTCGACATTGCTTTTTTCAAGGTTCTCGTATCCGAGGATGGACCGAATGAAGTTCTTACAGCTGGTGCCAAATCTCGTTTGAAATCTATCTCTATTAGATTCCAAGATGACGAGCATGAGGATGCAGGAAAGGGAGATGAGAACAAAGTAAGTAAATTCTAGTTGGTCAATTACTTTTATTTTTTGTAATACTTCACTGTATAATTTTTTTTATAAGGAGAATTCTGAACTTCTTACAAGAGGTAAAAGAAGTGTTGTGCTGAACGATCAAACAAGAAATAAAACAACAAACGAAGATAAGCGTAAAGAGCATCAGAAATATTTGAGTAGAATGCTTAATGCTAATGCGAAGATGAGATTGGCTGAGCAAAGCGGACAATCTGACTACAAGAAGTGCGTTGAGCTGCTTTCCTACTCAACTCCTATTTTCTTTGTAGAGTCAAAAAGTCGAATACTTCCTACAAAAGCTTCGAGAAGTTCCCTGTAGATGCCGAGATCACCAAGCTGAACATCTACGTTGATAACCGTCATGACACTGTTATTATGCCCATTTTCGCAGTTCCAGTACCATTCCATATTTCAATGATTAAAGTTCATTCATCACGCTATCCGTTGAGTAACTTATTCTTTTTCAGAATTGTTCTCAATCCGTTGAAGGAGACTTTACATATCTGCGTATTAATTTTACTCACCCTGGTTCCCAAATTGGAAAGGATAATGCTTTGTTCCCCAACCCGTTAGCTACCTATTTGAAAGAATTAACATATAGGTATGATGATTTCGGAAAACCCGTGCAAGCTTAGTGTTTTCAGAGCTAGTAATGTAAGAGAGCCTGGATCGAGTACGACTCCTTCCCATAATCTCAACACAGCATTCCGCTTGATCAAGGAAATCCAGAAAAGATTCAGGTGGGAAAGATAACTAATTTCTTATAATGTGTATCTCTAGAACGGAAGAAGCGGAAGAGCGTGAAAAAGAAGGTGCTGTCAAACAGGATAAGCTTGTACTTAGTCAAGGAAAACTCAATCCTAAAATAAAAGATCTGTAAGTCTCCAGATATGTGAGCATCACTCAGTCTTCTATTCAGCTATGTGCGTCCAGCCATTATTGCAAAGCGAATTTCCGGAATTATAGAAGCACATCAAAATGGTTTCAGGTGAGAGAAGCAGTAATATTGTTAGTTTTCAAAAACAAATTCAAGATATTCGTCAATGAGAGGAGACAGAATTGATGTTTTATACAATAATATTAAACACGCGTTTTTCCAACCTTGTGATAAAGAGATGATCATTCTTATACATTTCCATTTGAAGAATCCAGTACTTTGGGGCAAAAAGAAATATGAGTGAGTTATCATTATATTATTCATCTGATTTCCATAATTTGAAGAGATGTTCAATTCTACACCGAAGTTGGAGAGATAACTACTGATCTTGGAAAGTTCCACCATATGCAAGATCGTGATGATATTCAAAGTGAACAGGTAGTATAAATTATAGAAAAAGTGTTCAATATAATCATCATAGATGGAACGAGAAATGAGAAAGAAGCTGAACCTGACTTTCCAAAACTTTTGTGAAAAGGTTGTCAAACAGACAAACGATCTGTTCGATTTTGATACTCCTTTCACTGAGCTTGGATTCTTTGGTGTTCCACACAGATCTTCATGTACATTAAAACCAACTTCAAGCTGCTTGGTCAATCTTACTGAATGGGTAGGTTGTCGTTTGTCTTTGTTTTGAATTTCAAGTTTTATAGCCTCCATTCATTGTTACTCTCGAAGAAATTGAAGTTGTGCACTTTGAAAGAGTTTCTTTCTCTTTAAAGAACTTTGATATGGTTTTCATTTTCAAAGATTACACGCGTAAAACGCAGATGGTTCAACAAATACCAATGACAAGTCTCGACAATGTCAAGGTTTGTACTTGAAATTAGTTCTGTCTAACTCATTGATATAGGAATGGCTTAACTCGTGTGATATAAGATACACAGAAGGAATTCAGTCTTTGAATTGGCCGAAGATTATGAAGGTATTTGTGAAACCTACAGATATACCCAATACTTGCATTGCAGGCTATCGTGGATGATCCAGAAACTTTCTTTGAGAATGGAGGATGGAGTTTCCTTGACTCAGAATCTGACAACGAAGCAGAAGAAGTATTTTGTAACTCGCATTGTTTTATTATAAATAACTTTTAGGATGAAAGTGAGTCGGAAGAAGCTTACAGTCCCTCTGAAGAAAGTGATGAAGATGAAGAAAGCGATGAAGATGAAAGTGAAGGTTACTATTTTCATTAATAGTTTGAGTAATCGTAAATCTAGGTGAAGTAACATCAGAAGATGATGAAGAGGGATCTCTCGACTCTGATGAGTCTGAAGGAAAAGACTGGTCTGACTTGGAAGAAGAAGCTGCGAATGCTGATCGTAGAAAAGCAGACAACGAGGAAGAAGTCAGTAGGAAAAGGCATGGAGGAGTAAGACCGTCCGCCCCATCTGCTAAAAGACGAAAGTAAATCATTTCTAATCCGGTTTCATTGTACTCGGTTAATTGGTATCTCAGATTTCAGAATATGTTTAGTGTGCTTGAGTATTATTTGATGTTTTCTATTTCATATATGAATTCAGTTGTTAATCATTGGTTCGTTTTTCATATGTGAATGTTTTCATCGACAAATACATGTTTCATGCAATTCAGTCCAGTGTCTCAATTATAACATATGATTTATTAATCACAAATACCTTTATATGTGTTGTGTAGATGATATTCAAAGATAAGAACGATAAGAACGATAGCTATATTTTTTTCTTGGTTTTGGTCAGAATGAGCGATGAGGCCGACGATTCGAATATTTTCGAGGAATGGCCCGCCGACAACAATTCTCATCATCGTTTTAACAGGAAAGCTAAAGTGAAGGGAAAATGGGTACGCGACAATGAGAAGATTGGAAGTGTTTCAATCGAACAAGCCAATGAGATCGCCACGAAACTCACTGGATCATGCATAGGTTGGTGCGGCTCTATTTCGGAAGATAAAGTTTTATCAGATTTGAAACTACCGCGATGGTCAGATCTGTGCACTAACTGGTCGAAATGCTATTGGATGGATGAGGATGACGTGGTTACCACAAAAACAGTTTGTCTGTTGTGCAGAACCCCTGTGTTTGAACCTATGTTTAACACTCACATGAAAACTTTCCATCCCTCTGAAGACAAAGAGACTGTGAAGGTACTTCGGGTTCATAGTTAATCCAGCTAAAGTGTTCTTCCAGCTAATCAGTCATCTACAACAGATCAGACTTGCACGCTTCTATGCTACTTCAGCTCTCAAGTTAGCAGAACTGGAAACCTTACTGCCTTCCTTCAATATCCATGTTCTGGTAGAGTTTTTCAGAGAAATAGGTTTCGTCGTAGATGAGATGGTGAAATTTCAAAGTTCTATCATCAATATGGATGATTATTTTCAGAAAGAGGATAAAAACGCGAAAACGCCTACGAGGAAACGAGTTTCTGGGAAAGCACCATCGTTTGTTGTTTCACCAACTCTCAACAGTGAAATAATGAATTGCAGACTACCACAGTTCAAGCCAGATTTGGATGTCTTAGACAAAGTCGACATGGTTTTCGGAGTAACAGCAGGTGATGCACAGTTGATGGCTGATGTCATGAACACTGATTACGAAACAAACAATGGTATGATTCGGAAAGCTTCACTCATAACCATATTACTTAGATCTATACTATACAAGAGCTGCCTCAAGGTTCGGGATAAAATGTGATTATTGTTATGCTTGTCATGTGCTCGTGAGACGAGTTAATAACAGAAACCACAGAAAAACTGCTCATCATAAAGTTCAGAATCTAGGAGATGAGAACTTAATACAAGCTATATCCCAAAGGTTTGATCCATTATAAAACACGAGATCAACCATTTTTTAACCAGATTGACCGATGGCCGTATTCTAAAATATAGTTGTGCAAATCCTATACCAATGTGGAAGATACAAGAAATATGTCCAAATAACGAAAAAGATACAATAGAAAAATTGACTCGGTTTCTGAAGGAGCGCGGTTTCATCATAGATAAGGTAAAGAGAATTTTACAAAGGAAACTATGATCAACACTTCTTAAGTTGAAAGTCAGTAATGATGAGGATGTGGCTTGGCCTTATATGGTAGAGAACGTTGGGGTATTTCTTATTTTGACCTATCTATAAATAAACTTTAAATGTTTTCAGCAGCTACAGTTTTCTGAGAACGATGATGATAACAAATCATCAACATCATACAGTTCTTCCATAAGCTCAACTTCCAGCACCGCAACAGTTTATGAAAAACCTCCAGTCAGTTATTTCATAATGGATGGCATACGAAGACATGAGAAAGTGAGATTCTTTATTTTATTCCAATCATCAATCTTTATTGATAGGTAATTGAAAGCATATTACAACTGGAGGAACTGTTTGATCAAACAAACAATTTAAATCAAACTCAGTATGCATTTTTGTTTGGGTGAGTGCAACAAATTCATGCTTCAAAGTTTGGCTAACTTTTCCAGATGGGCTTCATTCAACTTGGTTGTGTCTAACGGATGTAAACTGTCAGCATTATGTAATTTAAAAGATCAAGATTTCGAAAATCTTCAAATGATAAATGACACTGAGTTAGCTAACCAGATCGTTCTAGGTAATGATTCTATATTCCAGACCATTAGCTTTGATCAAATTTGATGCGCCCAAAACAGGTGAAGGTGGATATTTCTCTTCTTGGCTTATTTTGGATCGTTTAACGTATGATGCCTTCGTTCTTTATCGTAAAGTGAGAGACAGGTAAAATTTTTTTGGTTTGCGAATACGATTAACATCTTTTGCAGAATAATAAGTGAAAGAGGGGGCCGAGCTCATGGTTTTTTCTTTGTATCTTATTTACTGAAACATCTTGAAGCCCGAGATGCTGATTATCCGATCAATCAGTTCTTGCGGATGTGTGGAATAGAATGGACGTTCAGAGCTAAACATTTAGTTAGTGCTGTAAATGAGCTGATAGTTCGAATAGCTGAAAAGGTAAGGCTCATTCTCTTTTTTCTCAATTTGTTCTTCAGAATAGTCCAGACTACGCTTTACATTTTTATAAGCAACTCAAGGTTCGATCTCAAAAGCAGAAAGAAGTAATGGAATGCGTAGAACCTCATCCTCTCTTAGTAAATTTAAAAGTTGTTGTGCAAAAGAAAGTTCGAAAAGATAAGATAATCACAGAAAAAGACGTGAGTATCGACACTAAATGATTTGAAGTAAATCCTTCTTAAGTCCGACACCGAATCACCCCGGATGGTGAAGCGCCCTCGATTAGAAGAAGATGAAGTTTCTGAATTTTTAATAAAGAAATCTGAAGTTTTAGGTAATCCTGCATCCCTCTCATATCATAAAAGTATTTTGCAGAAACGAATGAGTCTGAATTAAATGAAAAAATGACTAGCCGTCATGCTGAAATGGATCATCAATTGACTCCAGAAAGAGGGTTGTATGCTTACGCCACTACTCCACCTTATTTAAGTACACAAGGTAAGTCAGTTGTTTCGAAATATACTCAAGTATATCAAATCAGTAGAGCTTCATAATCATCATGAGGCTCTGAGAAGTTCCAGAGGACGTTTGCGTCTTGCAATTTTTACAATAATTCAGTTTAAATTTCAGGTATGACGGACAGAGAAGTAACGCATGTGGATGACATTTATAATCAAAAAGTTTCAAGCCCATACACAGGTTCGAACCATGATGTTATAGTTCTAATAGGTAAATGTTTATAGGTTTTACAGAAGAAGTTCAAGATGTGCATCTTCTTCAACGTATTCCGGAGACTTGTGAAGGTTTCGAGAATGCAACTATAGCTATTCTTTTATTTAATTTTTCAGTTTTAACCAAAAAAGAACATGAACAAGTTGATATGCTCTGTAAGAATCTCCCAAGTCCGTATGAAGGTTCTTATCCAATTGCTTCCAACTTGATTACTAAGTTTTCAGATTTTACAGAACAAGATGTTCAACATGTAAATATGATGTGCCATTCCGATTTATTGAAGCCATTTGATGGTTTGTTTATATCTGTTTCGAAGTGCTAATTGTAAGATTTAAGTTCCACAAGAGAATGTAATACTTGAGCCATGCTGCAACACAATGTTTTCATCTCGCGCAGGTATTATTCACCAAATCGACTAAAGTAGAATATCTTTTTCAGCTTTCGATTGTATTAATGAACTGGAGTTCACAGATCTTTAAGATTTTTATCTTGCAATATTTGTTATAATAAATTCTTTTTATAGACAAATATTTTCTATTCGACAAAGGAATATGAATATTTATTTTTGAAAACTCAACAAATTTAACAGCAAAATTAACATCCTAATAGGCTTTTCAATGCAGCTACAGGGTTTCCATTACACTCGATAAGTTTCTTTTCAATTACGGCCTAAATGTTAGAATAAAAGGATATAGCTGTGTTGTCTTCACCTTAGGAAGTTCCAATTCGTTCATAAGCATTTGCAAATCATCCTTCTTCACATGCACAACCTTCTGCACAGCGTTTTGTGTATTCTTAATCAACTTGCCCAAAGCGTCTGATGAAACTTTAGCATCATCTTTATCTTCTGTATGGTCGGTAACCTAGAAAATTATATGCTACTAGTGGGGCTATTGAGGACCAAATATGCTTAACAATGACCTTATAAGGGATAAAGTACCTTTTCTAACTCAGCGGCGCCCCAGTTGTGTTTGTCTTGTTGCTTATCCTGGTTCTCTTCTACATCATCAACGATGTCGTCTTTATCAGCCATTTCTTAAATTTAATATTAAATTTTTCTTTGAAAAAAAAGATTAGAGAATAGTTTCAATGACGGCCTTCGAACCCATATTGACAGATGAGAGCGCACACAACATAAAAAAAATGCAATATCGATTCTTTTTTCTTTTAAATGTTTAAAAATCATTTCCTTTCGCAGTTTTGAGGTTCGAATTCAATGTCTACTTAGGAATTAAAGCTCAAGATTCTGAAGCGTTGACCGAACGATGAGCACGCGATTAACGTCAACCTTTTATCACTCCTCCTTTAACTGAACTTCCCGCAAATTTCAGAGTTATGAAATAGGCGCCAAAAGTAGGCTGCTTTTCCGAATCTGAATATAAATATGGTAAATACCAGGATTCTATTACTCATGTTCTTTCACCAATGAGCTTCTCCCTCCGAGTATTACAAATTGCAACTTTGAAGAAAAACTCTGAGTCATTTCCTATTCGAGTGGACGAGTGGTTTTTACTTTCCGTTACGCACAGCACGGTTGTGCATTTCATTGCCTCTTCTCTTTCCACCATTTATTTTCGATAAAGTTCATATTTTTCTCTTTTTTTATTTATTTTTTTCAAATCCGATTTGTTCCGTAAAGCTCACAAACATTTTCCGATTCAATTGTTTGATTAGCGATTGAGCTACATTGATGCTATGTGTTTCAACGTGTTTCTTCCTTTCATTCGCTTTTGTGGTTTAATACAGCTTAATGATTTTTTAAACTCAGAATGGACAGTGTCTCTGAGACTGCGCCACCCCAAATAGAGGTAAGTTGTCATTAATGTTGTTAAAACATCGTAGAAATTCAGGTAGCCTTAGCCAACTCACAAGATGTATCAAACTATGTGTGCACTGTAGCACATGCTCTGTTGGCTTGTAATGAAGTTTTCGAAGAGTTTCTAAATTTAATAATCGGATCAGACGCAGTATCTAAATTTATAGCTGACCCACAAATTTCTGTATTAGCTATTGATAGATCTCTTCATCGAGGTTCAGAGTCATAGTCATCCCTACTTAATATGATGAATATTCAGATCAAAGTGGTGATGCTGACACAGGTGATGACAATGAAAGTGCCATTGTTCACTTCTCCGTTAGAAACGATGTTTTCTATAGAACTGAACGCAGTACTTCTGTTGTTTTTGTTAAGAAAGGTTCAGTTCTAGAAGCTGATAAGCCAACTCCAGAGCAACTTAGAGTTATTGTGTAAGCAGAACTTGAAATTACCTCATAAAAATTGAACTGTAGACTTAATGAAGGAGATCCATATGATACACTTCTTTCCCTTATTGGCAAGGCTATCAATCCATTTTTCAAATCTTACATCAAGGAAAGTGGACGAGGAGAAAAAGACGGTGATAAACTCGCTCCTGCTGTAGAAAAGTTGTTGAATGAAGCTGAGGTAAAAATATTCCGAATATCCACATATGCTTCGGGTTCAGGTAGCTCTCCTTCATCTTCAACAAAATATTGACATCCCTGAAATCAATTTGATCATCAACCCTCACATCCAGTCTGCCATTCAGAAAGCAGCCACTGAAGGAAGAAAAGCAAAAGTATGGAAGTCGAGAATGAATTTTCCTATGTTGAATTCTAGGTGTCCGATTTGGGAGACATGGTGGAAGACAACATGTTCCTGAACACTTTAACGAATGGCGTTGGACGTTGGATCAAAGAGATCAGAAAAGTTACTAAACTGGAACGTGATCCTGGCTCAGGAACATCTGTTCAAGAAATGACATTCTGGCTTAATTTAGAAAGAGCACTACAAAAAATTTCTCAGAAACGCGAGTCTGATGAAGTTGTTCTCACAACAGTACAAGCAAGTCATTGATTCATTTCAGGTTATGTTAACATTGGAAGCTCTTAAATGTGGAAAGCGATTCCATGCTACCGTCTCTTTCGATACAGACACTGGATTAAAGCAAATGGTTGCTACTGTTGCTGATTACAATTCTTTAATGAAGGATATGCCTTTGAATGAGCTGGTATCAGCTACTGATATGGATGGAATAAGATTTGCAATTAGTAATATTTTCAATCACATGAAAAAAATGAGGTTCGGTCTTAACTAGGTTTACATAAAGGTGAAAAATTTCTTCAGATCTACTAAATACCCCGTTCAAAGAGCTTTGAGATTTATTGAAGCCATATCTCGCGATGTGAACACTCAAATTCTGAAAGTGTTAGGAACAAGGCGTCTTATGAACATCACGATTGTTGAGTTTGATCAGCTTATGCATCAATGTTTCGCATTGTTCCAAAAATGGGATGAAGAATATGAAAGGTCGGTTTACTTGACAAATTAGAATCATAGCAACTACTTGTTTTTAGATTCATAACTCTTTTGAGAGATATCTCGAAGAAAAAGAGAGATACACCTATGAAAATGACTACTTGGAAGATTCAGCCTGTCCATAAGAAATTGGAGAACCGTTTAACTCTTGCTCGTCAATTCCGCAGACAGCATGAGCAATTAAGAACTGTTATTGCTAGAGTTCTCCGACCAAAAGGAAGCAGAGAAAAAGAAGAGGATTCTATCATATCTGAAGAATCTACCCCAATAGATCAAGTATCCACATCTTGAAAAATCGACTTATTATTTTTCATTTCAGATTGACTTAGCTTATGAGTTCGTCAAGGAAGTAGATTGCCTTGATGTGTCTCCTGAAGGAAATCTTTCATGGGAAGCTGCTCACAGAAGATATGATGAACATATTGAACGTGTTGAAACAGCAATCACTTCTCGCTTGCGTGATCAATTGGAATCCGCTAGAAATGCCAAAGAAATGTTCAACATTTTCAGGTAAATTGATAAATTACTAAGTCATTAGTTAAAATGTTTCAGTCGTTTCAATGCTCTTTTCATCCGACCAAACATTCGAGGAGCTATTCGTGAATATCAAACTCAACTAATTCATCGTGTGAAGGAAGACATTGAGAGTCTTCAGGTTTGATAGTGTTATATATGAGTTGCATACTCTTATTCCTCAGACTAAGTTTATGAAACAATATGGGAGTAATCATAGCCAAATGTTGACTGACGTTGTTGATATCCCTCCTGTCTCAGCCAAAATCATGTGGATCAAACAAATTGAAAGACAACTATCCCTCTATACTCAGCGTGTAGAGGATGTATTAGGAAAAGGATGGGAAAATCATGTGGAAGGTTTGTGTTGTTACAATCTCTTTCTTAAATGTGTTTCAGGTCGACAGTTGAAAGCTGAAGGAGACAATTTCCAGAAAAAGTTGAACACTGAGCCTCTCTTCGAGAAATGGGTTGAAGAAGTCAGTGCCAAGAACTTTTCAACATCCGGAAGAGTAAGGTTTCAACTTTGGTATAATCATTTCGATTTTATCTCTCAGGTTTATGCTATTGAACGAAAAACAAAAGATGCGAAGCCCTATCATCACCTCAAAGTCAACTTCTCACCGGAAAGTATAGTCCTACACAAAGAGGTAATATTTCAACAGAACGGATATGAAGTGTGAACCAAACTTTCCAGGTCCGTAACTTGAAGGCGATGAACTTCCGTGTTCCTCTCAAGATCGTAAACGCTGCTCATCAAGCCAACCAACTCTACCCCTGTGCTATTAGTTTACTAGAATCAGTGAAAGTGAGACTTCATTATTTTTCTGCCTTACTGAATGTATTCTACTGTAGACTTATGAATCTATCAACGAACGCCTAGCTGGAAAAGATGGAATTAAAACTCTGGTCGCGAGTTATCACAAAGAGATTCAGAACCAAATAGCTGAAGGTTATCAATTGACGTGGGAATCTTATAAGATTGATCCTTATGTCAGTAAGTTGGCTGATACCATCAATAGCTTTGAGGTAAACCATCTTTTCAAGTTACTTATGAAGAATATTATGTAGGAACGCGTCGAGGAATTGATTTTCATAATGGATCAAATCGACGTCGATCTCGCTGCGCTAGAAACATGCCAGTATAACTCCGCAACAATATCTGCGCTCCTAACTTCAATTCAAAAGTCTGTAGATAGTTTGTCTCTTGGCAACTATTCGAACCTCAATCATTGGGTAGATAAATTGGACAAGACGGTTTGTTACTACTTGCACTAAACACTCACATAAAAAACCTCAAATACAGATCGAAGGAAAACTCTCAGCAAGAGTCGAAAGTGCGATCAAGCTCTGGTCGTTAGTATATAATGAAAGCGAAGAAGTAGAAGAGTTTAAAGAACGAAACGTTGCCCTTCCCCCTGTCCATAACATTGGAATCGAGGTAGTTCATTTTTTCAGTGAAATATATAAAGAATTTGTTTCTAGATCAGACTAACAGCTCAAACATTATACATTAGTCCTTCGATAGAATGGACTCGTGCTAGGCTACTAGAACAACTTACTGAGTGGCATGCTGTTGTAACGAACCAGCCAAGAATAAGTAGTACACGATTCGAATTGGCCATGAACAGAGAGCTTCAAACGACCTACAAAGATGTACTTTGTCGATTGCCAAGCGGTTTAGCTGTTATTATGGAGGCATATAACACCATTGATAACATCATGTCAAAGGTATATTTGACTATTGCTTGATAGGTTAGGTAATTATTGCAGGTCGAAGACTACGTTAACGAATGGTTGAGATACCAAGCTCTTTGGGACCTTCAAGCAGAAATCTTGTATGAAAGACTAGGAACTGATTTATCGAAATGGATGAAAACGCTTGTTGAAATTCGCAAGAGTCGAAGCACATTTGACACTCAAGATTACCAAAAGGCTATATTCCCAGTTGTCATCGATTATTCTAAAGTTCAATCGAAAGTTTCCCTGAAATATGATTATTGGCATAAGGAAGTTCTTCAAAAGTTCGGATCTGCTCTCGGTTAAATCGGTTTTTGTTGTAATATCTTATTTAATATGTTCAGGAGGGGAAATGCAGCAGTTCTTCGGTGTTGTATCCAAATGGAGAGAGGAATTGGAATCTCAAACTGTTGACGCTGGAACAACTAGTGACGCTGTAGCCCTTATCACATACGTACAAACATTGAAGAAACAAACTAAAGCTGGCCAAGATTCAGTAAACACAAAAAAGAGCATATGAGTTAAATTAGTTTATTCGCTAGGTTGATCAATTCCGTGCTGCCCAACGTTTGTTAACTCAGCAAAGATACCAGTTCCCTAACCAATGGTTATACGCGGAAAATGTTGATGGAGAATGGACAGCGCTCGTTGATATTCTTATGCGTAAGGATTCCTCTATTCAATCTCAGGTGATTTGAATGATTGTACAAAACTAAACTTATTTTTGTACAGATTAGCAATTTACAAACAAAGATTTCGGAAGAAGATGAATTGGTCGAGAAACGCACGTTGGAAACGCTCTCCGAATGGGAACGTTCTAAACCTGTAGAAGGGTCTCATCGTCCTCAGGATGCCTTGAGCTCGATCACTCAGTTCGAGCAGAAAATGCAAAAGTTATCCGAAGATAGAGACAAGATGCGTAAAGCTCGTAACGCCTTGGACATGGCTGATACGGGTGTGTCATCCGAAGCAGACAAGCTTGCTGTAGCGTCAGAGGAGTTAGGAGATTTGAAGGGCGTTTGGCAGAATCTTCTCCCGATTTATAATGTCGTTGATGATATCAAAGTGAAGTTTCTGCTCAAATATTTGTTGTTAATAATCTTTTTAAGGAGAAAACTTGGCTTTCTGTACAACCTCGTAAGCTGCGTCAATCTTTGGATGAGCTGATGAATCAATTGAAGCATCTACCAGTAAAATACAAAAGTTATAAAAGTTATGAATACGCCAAGCAGATGATGCATAACTATTCGAAGGTAACTAAACGATAGTTTTTCCAAATTCAAACTTATGTTCAGATGAACATCCTGATTTCTGAATTAAAATCGGAAGCTTTGAAAGAACGTCATTGGAGACAGATGATGAAGGAGTTGAGAGTTAATTGGAACCTTTCTGAGCTCACGCTTGGCCAAGTCTGGGATGCAGACCTCCAAAGACATGAACACACTATCAAACAAATTCTTCTCGTTGCTCAAGGAGAGTTAGCTTTAGAAGAATTCTTGAAACAGGTAACTCATACTTAAAGTTTAATTTCTGATGTTTCAAAATTCAAGATGAGAGATTTCTGGCAAACTTATGAAGTTGAGCTTGTGAACTATCAGCAAAAGACACGTCTCATCAAAGGATGGGATGAGCTCTTCAGCAAACTGAAGGAGCATCAGAATTCCTTGGCTGCTATGAAATTGTCACCTTATTATAAACAGTTTGAAGAGGTTTGACTTGAGAACGGCCTATTCTATTAATGTTTGTTTAAGGATGCTGTTTCTTGGGAGGAAAAGTTGAATAAAATTAGTGCAATGTTCGACGTCTGGATTGATGTGCAAAGAAGATGGGTATATCTGGAAGGATTATTCAGTGGATCTGCTGATATAGCTAATCTTTTACCAGTGGAAAGCTCCCGGTTTTCAAGGTTCGTGAAGTCTGATTAGTAGGGAACATGTTTCTGGTTCCAGCATTTCGACCGAGTTTCTGGCTTTGATGAAGAAAGTCACTGCTGCTCCAAGAATTTTAGATGTAGTTCACATGCAAGGTGCTCAAAGATTGTTGGAAAGACTTGCTGATATGCTGGCTAAGATTCAGAAGGCTCTTGGAGAGTATCTTGAGAGGGAAAGATCTTCATTCCCAAGGTAATAGTGAATAAATGTGCCAATTGTAAGATGGTTGTAGATTCTACTTTGTGGGAGACGAAGATCTGTTAGAAATTATGGGTAACAGTAAGGATATCAGTCGGCTTCAAAAGCATCTTAAGAAAATGTTTGCTGGAGTCAGCGCAATTGATGTTGGAGAAGAAGACAAAATAGTTCGTTTTTTTTTTGAGTAGTTGTTCCAACCATCCATTTAGATTACTGCTCTGCACAGTAGAGAGGGTGAACGTGTTGAATTGGTTCAACCTGTGGCCACTAAGGATATCCGTATCAATGACTGGCTTAAGGCTTTGGAATCAGAAATGAAACACAGTCTTGCTAGGTTAACCTTTGCACTCTGCACAAAGATTATTTTTTGTCTGGTTCAGAAAGCTTGCTGCATCTCTCTTACACTTTTCTAAGTTAGATATCGAAGTTGTCAAACCTGATGAGTACATGGAATGGCTCGATAAATACCCAGCGCAAGTGATTGGACTCACCGCTGAAATCTGGTGGTCTAATCAAATGGAAGCTACGTTAGCTGATGGAAAGGGAGTCGAAGGTGTAGAGAAGGCCGTTGCTGCCACATTGGCCCTGCTCGCCGATTCAGTCTTAAAGGATCAACCACCAATCCGTCGTAAAAAAATTGAAGCATTGGTATTAAAATTTCGTGTTTCAACTTTTTAACCGAGAATTCAAGATTACCGAATTTGTCCACAAACGAGATACATGTCGTAAACTCGCTCAACAAGGTGTGAAGAATCAAAATGATTTTGCTTGGCTGCAATGTATGAGATTCTACTTCGATCCCAAACAGGTAAGGCTTAAATACTTTTAAGAGTTTACTAAATGACTTTGATACAAATATTTAAAAAAGTCATAATTTGTCAGCCTTGCTTAGCGTCCTTGTGTACAATCTCATGCTTTAGTTACAGCTGGACCCCATGAAATGCTGTATAGTCAAGATGGCTAACGCACGCTTCTTCTATGGATTCGAGTACTTGGGAATACAGGAGCGCTTGGTGCGAACACCATTAACTGACAGATGTTTCCTCACTATGACTCAAGCCCTTCATGCTAGGTGAGTAAAGCTAATGCTTGTACTTACTATATATATACCTCATATAGACTTGGAGGATCACCATTCGGTCCTGCAGGAACTGGTAAAACTGAGTCGGTCAAAGCTCTTGGTCATCAGTTGGGTCGTTTCGTTCTCGTGTTCAATTGTGATGAAACTTTCGACTTCCAAGTGAGTGAACTCTAAATAACAGTCATGCTTTAATCATTCAGGCCATGGGAAGAATTCTTGTTGGTTTGTGCCAAGTTGGTGCTTGGGGTTGCTTCGACGAGTTCAATCGTTTGGAAGAAAGAATGCTGTCTGCTGTTTCTCAGCAAATCCAAACTATTCAAGAAGCTGTTCGTGCCGGTGGAGATATGACCGTCGACTTAGTCGGAAAAGTGTTGACAGTTAACAGCAACATTGGAATATTCATCACCATGAACCCCGGCTATTCCGGCCGTTCTAACCTTCCTGATAACTTGAAGCAGTTATTCCGAAGCTTAGCCATGACTCAACCAGATCGTCAACTTATTGCTCAAGTCATGCTTTTCTCTCAAGGATTCAGAACCGCTGAAGCCTTAGCTAACAAGATAGTACCACTATTCATGTAAGTAGTTGATTATTATGATAATTTCATTATTTTTTGTCAGTTTGTGTAAAGAACAACTATCTGCTCAATGTCACTACGATTTTGGTCTCCGTGCTTTGAAGTATGTGCTTGTGTCTGCTGGTAATATTAAGCGAGATAAGCTTTCTAAAATGGGACCAGCTGCTCTAGAAGATGCTGCCGAGCAACAGGTATGCTTTCTTTAAGTTCCAGTATATTTAAGAATTGTCAGATGCTTATTCAATCTGTATGCGAAACCTTAGTACCTAAACTCGTTAGTGAAGATATCGCTCTGTTATCTTCGCTCTTGTCGGACGTTTTCCCATCCGTACAGTATACTCCTAATCCTATGAGCGAGTGAGTTTTACTCATTCATGTTTTTTCACTGCTTCCGTTATTATAGACTTCGAGAGCACTTGGAACAAGTATGCAGAGAAAATATCCTTTGCTATTCCAACGCTAAAGATGAACTCGGTGGAACTTGGGTTGAAAAAGTTCTTCAACTATACCAAATCACTAACCTTAATCATGGTTTGATGCTTGTCGGAGCTAGTGGTAGCGGAAAAACTACTGCCTGGAAAGTTCTGCTGAAAGCTCTGGAGAGATTTGAAAAGATCGAAGGAGTTGCTCATGTAATCGACGCCAAGGCCATGAGCAAAGATGCTTTGTACGGAGTGATGGATCCTAACACTCGTGAGTGGACTGATGGTTTGTTCACATCTGTCATTAGAAGGTAATTTTTCTTCTCTGCGATACCATAATTTTCACTGTATTGCAGAATTATTGATAATGTTCGTGGTGAAAGTGAGAAACGTCAATGGATTATCTTTGATGGTGACGTTGATCCTGAGTGGGTTGAAAACTTGAATTCTGTTCTTGATGACAATAAGCTCTTAACATTGCCTAATGGAGAACGTCTTGCGATCCCACCTAACGTAAGCAACAAATTATGACATAATAATATGAACGTGCTTAAGGTTCGCATAATCTTCGAAGTGTCAGATCTGAAATATGCTACTCTTGCAACTGTCTCCAGATGTGGTATGGTATGGTTCTCTGAAGAAGTCATTCACATCGACATGCTCTTTGACCATTACTTGGAACGTCTTAATAATGTATCCATTGATACTGAAGTAACCGTCGGAGGAAACCTTAATCTCGTTGGGGAGGGTACTCCTACTCGGCCAATCTTTGTTCAGAGATGCGCTGCCAACGCTCTGCGACCACATTTCCAGCCAGGTATAACTACCAGAAACAATGAAGAATATTTTTATATTTTAGATGGAATCGTTCCTATATCCCTGAGTTATGCCATTAGTAAGTTGGATCATATCATGGTGCCAACTCAGCAAAGATTGCTCTCCTCTTTCTTCGCAATGATGAATTATAGCGTCAGAAATATTGTAAACCACGACTACACCCAAGGCGATTTCCCACTTTCGGTATTTCATACAACATTTCCAATAATCTATTTGTGACTTTTTTCTTATAGGAAGAACAAATCGAAACATATATTCAACGTATCATGCTAACCAACATTGTTTGGGCATTCAGTGGAGATGGCAAATGGAAAAGTCGTCAACAGATGAGCGATTTCGTTAGAAGCTCTACTACCGTCACTTTACCACCCAACGCACAAGCTTGTTTGATTGATTACGAAGTTCAAATGAGCGGAGATTGGCAACAATGGGTTGCTCGGGTACCTTCGATGGAAATCGAGGCTCATCGCGTTGCTGCTGCCGACTTGGTCGTTCCAACAATTGATACAGTCAGACATGAGATGCTCTTGGCCACTTGGTTGTCTGAACACAAACCACTTGTTCTTTGTGGACCTCCAGGATCAGGAAAGGTATATTTATCCCATCAGAAGATTAAAATAGTTAAATCGTTCAGACTATGACTTTGTTAGCCGCCCTCAGGTCTCAACAAGATATGGACGTGGTCAACGTCAACTTCTCTTCGTCTACTACACCTGAACTTCTAATGCGAACATTCGAACACTATTGCGAATACAGGTAAAGGAGTTATGTTATGACTTCTTCTATCGAAATAATTTAGACGCACACCCAATGGTGTCGTATTAGCTCCTCTTCAGTTGTCCAGATGGTTGGTTATATTCTGTGACGAAATTAACTTGCCTTCGCCTGATAAGTATGGAACTCAAAGAGTTATATCTTTCCTTCGTCAACTTGTTGAAATGGTTTGTTTCTCATCAGAAGTCCTAATTAATTTTTTCTGTAGAATGGATTCTACCGCTCTTCTGATCACTCTTGGGTCTCTCTGGAAAGAATACAGTTTGTCGGAGCTTGTAATCCACCAACTGATCCTGGTCGTCATCCAATGTCTCTGAGATTCTTGCGCCATGTGCCTGTCGTATATGTGGACTATCCTGGACAGACATCTCTACTCCAAATTTATGGAACATTCAATAGGTTTAGCCCTACTATTCCAAACGGTTATCGACGATTTTTTTTTCAGAGCAATGTTGAAGATGACTCCTTCTGTACGTGCATTGGCTGATGCTTTGACTAACGCCATGGTTGATGTATATCTTGCCAGTCAAGAACATTTCACTCAAGATGATCAACCTCATTATGTATATTCTCCTCGTGAGCTTACACGCTGGGTTCGTGGTATCTCTGAAGCGATTGCGCCACTGGATGGACTCACTGCTGATGACTTGTTACGTCTTTGGGCTCATGAAGCTCTTAGATTATTCCAAGACAGACTTGTCACTGACGATGAAAGAAGGTGGACTGATGAGCTTATCGACTCTACTGCTGAGAAATATTTCTCTGGTGCCTGCAATGTTTCAAATGCTCTTGTTCGACCTATTTTGTATTCATGCTGGATGTCGAAAGATTATGTACCAGTTACTAGAGATGAACTTAAGGACTATGTTCAAGCTCGACTCAAAGTACGTTACTTCTTGGATTCAAATAATAAGCGTTTATCTTTAAGGGCTTCTACGAGGAAGAACTTGATGTTCAACTTGTTCTGTTTGATCAAATGCTCGATCACGTACTTAGAATCGACAGAATTTATCGTCAACCTCAGGGCCATCTTCTGCTCATAGGAACAGCTGGTGCCGGAAAAACTACTCTGTCGAGATTCGTGGCATGGCTTAATGGTTTGAGTGTCTTCCAGGTATGTTTAGATAATCATAACATCAAACCCTGTGAATTTAGCTCAAAGTTCATTCTAAATACACTGCTGCTGACTTCGACGAAGACATGAGGACAGTTCTTAGAAGAGCTGGTTGTCGAAATGAAAAAATGTGCTTCATCATGGACGAGTCAAACATGCTTGACACTGGTTTCTTAGAAAGATTGAATACTCTCCTAGCTAACGGAGAGGTTTGTGTTTCATTAATTAGAAAACCTAGTTGTTCTTGTTTAGGTACCGGGACTATTCGAGGGTGATGAGCATACCACACTCATGACTCAAATCAAAGAAGGAGCTCAAAGACAAGGATCAATGTTGGATAGTCATGATGAGCTTTATAAATGGTTCACCGCTCAAGTTATGAGGAATCTTCACGTTGTGTTCACCATGAATCCTAGTGGAAGCGGTTTAAGAGAACGAGCATCTACATCTCCTGCTCTCTTCAATCGTTGTGTCCTGAATTGGTTTGGAGATTGGTCTGACACTGCCCTCTACCAGGTTAACTGCTTCAAGTGTTTATGAAACTGAATATTTCTTATAGGTTGGTAGTGAGCTCACAAACAAGTTGGATATGGATCGATCCGATTACGAAGCTCCTCTCGGAATTAAGCCTGTCTGTGAACTTCTGCCAAGTCCACTCACATACCGTCATGCTGTTATTAACACTTTGGTTCAATGTCACAAAGCTGTTCAAAAGCTTAATGATCAAGAGCAGAAGCGTGGACATCGTGTCATGGCTGTAACTCCACGACACTTCTTAGATCTTATTAAGCATTTCATGAACTTGTTCCATGAAAAGCGCCAAGAACTTGAAGAGGAAAAGATTCATTTGAATATCGGTTTGAATAAGATCAGGTTAGTGTTAGGTAATATGTTAGGCAGACCATAAAATTCTTACAGGGAAACTGAAGAGCAAGTCAAAGAACTTCAAAAGAGTTTAACCCTTAAGAGTCGGGAACTCGAAGAAAAGAAAACTGCTGCTAATGCTAAGTTGAAAGAAATGCTTGATGATCAACAGAAAGCAGAAGATGAGAAGAAATTATCGGAACAACTCCAAAAAGAGCTTGCCGAACAGTTAACTCAAATTGCTGCAAAGAAAACAGAAGTTCAGAAAGATCTTAGCCAAGTACAGTCTGTTCATAAGTTATTGAAAACAGTTATTTTGTTAGGTTGAACCTGCCGTTGAAGAAGCTCAAAATGCCGTCAAGGGAATTCGCAAAAATCAATTGGTCGAAGTTCGTTCTATGGCTAGTCCTCCTGTCATGGTTAAACTAGCTCTGGAAGCTATCTGTATATTGTTAGGAGAAAATGTTGGAACTGACTGGAAGGTATGCTTACTTTCATAACTTGTTCGAATTTCCTGTTCAGGCTATCCGTGGTGTCATGGTTAAAGATGACTTCATGACTCGAATTCTTGCATTTGATACTGACAACATTAGTCCTGAAATCTTGAAGCAGATGGAGAAATACGTCAGTAATCCAGACTGGGACTTTGAGAAGATCAACAGAGCTTCTCAAGCTTGTGGACCTATGGTCAAATGGGCTAAGGCACAGCTTCTATACTCTGAAATGCTTCATAAGGTTTTATTCAATCTCACTATTTCTATAAGCGTGTCTTTTAGGTTGAACCTTTACGTAATGAGTTGAACCGTCTTGAAAAAGATGCTCACAAAAAAACTAATGAGGGAGAAGAAATCAAAAAGCGTATCGATCAATTAGAGCAGTCCATTTCTGCTTATAAAGATGAATATGCTCAACTTATTGGACAGGCTGAAAGCATCAAAATGGATCTTGCATCTGTTCAAGAAAAAGTTGGAAGATCAACTGAACTTCTTTCATCTTTGGGATCTGAGAGAGATCGTTGGTCCAAAGGATGCAACGGATTCGATCAACATATGGATACCTTGGTTGGAGATGCTTTATTATCTGGAGCGTTCTTATCATACGCTGGTTACTTTGACCAACAGCTTCGTGATCTTCTGTTCCACAAGTGGACTGATTCTGTTCAACAATCTGGTGTCAAATTCCGTCCAGATTTAGCTAGAATCGAATATCTTTCTACTGTTGACGAGAGACTGCAATGGCAGCAGAATGCTTTGCCTGTGAGTTTTTATCTTCGATTTTAGTTATCTCATAATTTTGTTCAGGTTGATGATTTGTGCTCTGAAAATGCTGTCATGTTGCACAGATTTAACCGATATCCTCTGATCATTGATCCTTCGGGACAGGCAGCTGAGTTTATTATGAAGCAATTCGCAGGAAGAAATATTCAGAAAACAAGCTTCTTGGATGACTCATTCAGGTGCTACCAAAAACGTTCTCCCATTCATCTATTGATAATTTTTCAGGAAGAACCTTGAAAGCGCCCTTCGGTTTGGAAATTCCCTACTTGTTCAAGACGTCGAGAGCTACGATCCTATTCTCAATCCTGTACTTAATAGGGAAGTCAAGCGGACTGGAGGACGTATTCTCATCACCATTGGGGATCAAGACATCGATTTGTCTCCTGCCTTCCAGATCTTCCTCATCACACGAGATCCTTCTGTATCTAACATTTTTTTTTGTTTTCTATTTTTTCTTCTTAGGTTGAATTTACTCCTGACGTTTGCTCGCGAGTTACTTTCGTTAACTTCACAGTTACAAGCTCTTCACTCGCAAGTCAATGTCTTAACCAAGTCCTTCGCAGTGAACGGCCTGATGTAGACAAGAAGAGAAGTGACCTTCTCAAACTACAGGTATTATTAATAGACACCCTTTACTCATTTATACATTCAGGGAGAATTCGCTGTTCGATTACGCCATCTTGAGAAGGCTTTGTTGGCCGCTCTTAACGAAAGTAAAGGAAAGATTCTGGACGATAATTCTGTCATTGGAACTCTGGAAAAACTTAAGACTGAAGCCTCAGAAGTAGCTAGTAAAGCTGCTGAAACCGACAAGGTTATGGCTGAAGTCGAAGCTGTTTCTGCGCAGTACCAACGTCTTGCTGCTGCCTGTTCTCAAATCTATCACACTCTTCAACAACTGAGCGAAGTAATTTCTGCTCCTCTCTCGGTTTCATGTATTTCAATTATAGGTTCACTTCTTATATCATTACTCACTGGACTTCCTTCTTGGAATCTTCACTTACATCCTCAAATCTCCCGAGCTTCAGCAACTCCAAGACCATAAACAACGTCTTCAAATAATTACATCAAATCTTTTCCAGGTTTTTCGCTTTTGTCAGTTTAGTCAACTTATTCATTTCCCTTAGACGGTCTATAAAAGAGTTTCACGGGGTATGCTCCATACAGACAAAGTTCTTTTGGCTCTATTGCTTATGAGAATTCACATTCGTGGTGTTTCCAATGAGCCAGCTTACGATCGCCATTGGGACTTCCTTTTGGGTCGAAGCGAGCTCTTCACAGGAAAAGCAAATGCTGCTGCAGCTCCACCTGGAAAATTATCTTATTTATCAAGTGCTCAAATGCAAGCTCTTATCAAAGCTACCAAGCTACCTGGATTTGAAAAGGTATTGAAAATATCAGATTTATTAGAATTATATATTGTAATTAAGATTATTGCTACGATGGAGTCCGATGCTGAAGATCTCCATTCATGGATGAAACTGGATAATCCTGAATCTCACGTACCAGCAATCTGGGAGAAGACTGAAAAACTTAGTAACATCACATATACAAATTATTCTTCAAGACATTTCATATTCCAGCCCCAATCGGAGAGTCACTGAATGAGCTGATTGTAGTTAATTGCTTGAGACCCGATCGTCTGATGGCTTCCGCTCACAGATTAGTTTCAACTGTTTTCGGTGAAGGATTCATGCAACAGGATAAAGTTATTGATCTCGGAGAAATCATTGATCAAGAGGTAATTAACAAGTTCTATATTGAGTAAAAGTTGGATTTAAGATTTCGTCGTCTGAACCAATCCTTCTCTGTTCGGCAACTGGTTACGATGCTTCCGGAAAAATTGAGGATCTCGGTGTAGACACTAACAGACAAGTTACTTCAATCGCTATTGGTTCAGCTGAAGGATTTAGCCAAGCAGACTCGGTATACATTAAGTGAAAAGCCGTACTTTCATTCTTATTTTTTCAAGGCTTTGACTGCGGCTTCCAAATCTGGTCGATGGGTACTGCTCAAGAACGTTCATCTTGCTCCTCAATGGCTGGGACAACTTGAGAAACGATTACATACTTTGAAACCACATAATCAGTTCCGTTTGTTCCTTACTGCTGAGATTCATCCCAAGGTGATTTGAAAATAATGTTAAAGCTTCAATTATTTATTTATAGTTGCCTGCCTCTGTTTTAAGAGCATCGCGTTGCGTTGTTTTCGAACCAGCTACCGGTCTAAAGGCTAACTTGCTTCGATCGTTCTCAGCTCTAACAGCTACTCGTCTAGCTAAGCCACCAGTAGAACGTAGTAGATTGTATCTACTCGTTTGCTGGTTGCATGCTTTAGTTCAAGAGAGATTAAGGTATTTTTCCATTAACTGACTCTTCGTTCAAGCCGTAACCTTTCAGATACACACCTCTTGGATGGGCAAACGCATATGAATTTTCTGATGCTGATTTGCGTGTCGCATGTGATACTCTTGATGCCGCAATGGATTCTGTCGCTCAAGGCCGTGCCAACGTTGCTCCAGATAAACTTCCATGGACAACTCTCCGAACCCTTCTCAGTCAATGCATTTATGGAGGAAAGATAGACAACCACTTCGATCAAGTGCTTCTTGACTGTATTTTGGAAAAATTGTTCACACCCAAATCCTTTGAACCTGATCACGTACTGATAACCAAGTTTGACGCAGATCAATCTTTATGCACTCCTGATGTTTCCCAAAGAGATCAACTAATTGCTTGGGTAGAAGGCTTGAAAGCTCATCAGGTAATTTGTATCCTACTATGATGTTCAAAAATATTTCTTTAGTTACCATCATGGCTTGGCCTATCAAACAACGCAGAAAAAGTTCTGCTAACCCTGAGAGGTGAAATAGCTCTTTTTATTTTAGTATTAAAAATGAAACTTCAGGTGAAAGTATGTTGAGAAATATGCTAAAGGTTTCTGACGACGAACTCGCGTTCTCGACAGATGGGGAAGAAGAAGTAAAGCCGCAATGGATGGCTCAACTTAGTGAGCTTGTGCAGCATTGGTTGAAGATCTTACCGAACGTGCGTTTGAAAACATTATCGGGTTCTCTACATAATTGTTTAAGAATGTCACTCGTATGAAGCGTACAGTGGAGAACATTAAAGATCCTTTGTTCCGTTTCTTTGAAAGAGAAGTGAACTTTGGTATTGGCCTTCTCACTGATATCAGACATGACTTGGAAGATGTGTTAGCCGTTTGCAAAGCTGAACGTAAACAGAGCAATGAAACTAGGGCTCTCGCCTCTGCCTTACAGAAAGGACAAGTATGAGCTCATATTTCGATGTTTTCAACTTATCCATCTCATTCTAGGTACCATCGGATTGGCGCAGATACACTGTTCCTAACAGTGTTACTGTCATGGACTGGATGCTTGATTTTGTTGAGAGAATGAAACAACTTATTCGCGTCTCATCAAGCGATAATCTTAAGGTATGAATTTCAAAAGATGAGGTTAACATATGATGCTTTTTCAGAAAGAAGAAGTCTGGCTTGGTGGAACATTCTCTGCGGAAGCTTATGTTACTGCTACTAGACAGCAAATCGCTCAGATTAATACTTGGTCTCTCGAACAATTACATCTTCATATTAATATAGGACGAACAGATAAAACTGATGTCTTCAGAATTACTGGTATCGTTCTGGTTTTATTCTTTTGGTTTATTTTTTTCTACAGGTGTTGAGTTGCGTGGTGCCGAGGCTGCTGGCGGAAATTCCCTCAAATTATCAGATGAAGTTGGCTACTTCTGTGACTGCGTTGAGTTTTCATGGAGACAGGTTAGTTACATAAGAAGTTACAATTTGATTTGTTAACTTTAAGGAAGCTCCTGGTGGTGTTCAGTTGCCACTTTATTTATATGGTGATCGTAAGCAATTGGTTACTTCTGTTGCTTTCAATGCCTCACCGATGACGGCCTTCTTCGAGCGGGGAGTTGCTGCTGTCGCTAATTCTTCTCTAAATTAATTTATATAACGTTTTACTGCAAGAGAATGTGATCATCTGACTGTTTTATTTATTTAATTTTTATAAGCTGCTTTTTTTGAGGGTTTGCTAACATAATAAATATTCTTAGTGTAATTGGGGGTTCTTCAAAAAAAAATTTGGTAAAGGGTCAATCGGGGGTTTTCGCTATAATCCTTTTCTTGATTTCTCGTTTTCACTATCACTTCCCGCCCACATCAACATCAGAGCTGAAGACTTTCTACTTCTACAGATAGCTTTCTCAGTCTGAATGCGCATCCTTTATCTAGGATTTTGTGTGCTTGCCACATATGGTATTTTTTTAAGTTGTAGTTTTCTGTAAACTTCTCTTTACAACAGGCTTGGTTCTTGGCCGACCTTCAGAAGACAGCAATGAGGATGACACTAGCTACGAGGAAGGTGAAAGTAAATCTCTGATTCCGTTGCCCAGCAAAAGAGCTCTAGAAATGGTGGGAGTTAAATTCATTGGTAAGTTTTTTATCTCAACCTCGAGCAACGTATATGTGTTCTAGATGCTCTCATCAAGAAAGGACAAGTCGAAATGGCAAAAGGAGCTTTCAAAACACAGCTGGATGTTCTAGAAAAAGTTAATCCAAAACAGGTGAATGAAAGTAAAATGACGAAGAATAAGAAGATTTATTTTTCTTTATTTCTCCTCATGATTGATACAAAGTGTTCCATTATCATATCTTTTGTTTCTTTTTCTTTAATCCAGGTCACTTTCGCTTCTGGTTCGGAGTGAATGATCGACACATGTATCACTTTCTCTCTTGAAATGGCAAAACTTTGATCCAATTTTAATTATGACAACGAAAATTTCTATTCGTTTTCAGTTTGAAAAATATAAGGAAATGAGTGTCGATGAACTAGCAACCGATGCCGTGATGCAGCAGGCTGAAATGGCAAAACTACAACCAAAGACTGGTTTGAGAAAGGAAAAGAACAAATTTGAAAGCTCTTTATCAAAGGAAATCCTTTCGTTGATATGCTGAACGAGAATGGTATTCCGATCGCTAGTAGTTTAAAAGGAATTGAACAAGCAATCAAAACCCAACAGGAAATGGAAAACCAAGACCCTGCCGAGCAGGTAGCACTACAGTTCCTCTGTTTAATCTCTCTTCCTTTCAAAGGTAGCTCAAGCTGTTTTCGAGAAATTCCAGAAGCAAATCTTACCCGGATTAGTTGCCAACATCATTGCTGGACGAAATCCTTTCAAGGTTCGAAAGGTCTCATACAATATTAGTCAAAGTCTTGTTCTAGATGCCTCAACAGCCGAGACCAATGCAGGCACCTCCAAGTGAAATTCATCGACAGGCTCTAATGGTTTATTCGTGGTCAATTAATGATATTCATGAAGGAAATAATGTTCTAGATGGCAAATTATCCAACACAATCAAACGTCCCTTCCGACAATTTTATTCGGAGAGCTCCAATAAGCGATGATAGTGAAGTGTCATTGAGTGAGCTCCGGGCTAAGCTAGCGGAAAGCCCAAGACTTAGACAGCTGTTGATGGTTATTATTCTCTATTCCATCTTTTTTTAGAAGGGAATTAATCTTTTTGAATAATATCTGTTTATAGAGTGACGAAGTTTCATCAATGCTGCATGCCAGACAACACGATGAACCGATAGATGTTAACTGGGCTGAAGTGAGTTCAATAGAGCTTTTGATTCCACATATACCGTGTTATATCTATAGCGCTCATCTAATAGACGTTACAAGGATTCCGATGTTCCGAGAGAGGAAGAAACGGTATGACTTATCTATGTTTTTATAAAGAATGCGAAGTACAACCGCGTATAGCGTGATTACGAAACAGATGGATTGACGATTCTCCATTGTTGAAATCGGATTTCATAAGACAATCTTATCAATTTGATTATTCACTTTTTAGGCAGCAGGATTAGATGGAAAGGCTGCTATAGTTCTGGGAATACACGATGTTTATTCGGAGAAGGATGTTAAGGTTTGATCTCTGACTTTATTTCAATCATGTTCAATTTTCAAGGAATCGGAATATAAAGAGAACATCAGAAGAGCCCCTCTAGCTTTATCGACTGACTTACTCAATACCCTCCAAAAAAATGACGAATTAAAAAAAGCCCTGACAAGAATGACTTATAGGTAATAACATCTCCATCCCATAAGGCATGCATGTAATGGCTTTGTTTACAGAGTGAATGATGTTGAAAAATATTTAGCTCCAAAGCCATTGATGATCAATCCTAAAGCTCAGCCCGGCTATTTCATCCCCCGAAAGCTTCCACAGAGACCTAGAAAAATGCTTCCATTATTGATAGGAATGGCCTCCTCTGAAGTGGAAGAGATACGTCGCATGCCTAGTAGTCAAAGAATTGAACCCAGGTCCAGCAGGGTTGGTAAATCCATCGAATCTCATTCACTCTTCTCTGTTTGTAGGTTATCCAAAATTTGAAAAACAACCCGAACATCGCTCCTCTATTCATGGATGACTTTTTAGAAGAGAAACTAACCGGAAGGTAGAAGGTTGCAGTGATAGCTGGTAAACTTTCGAATTTCAGACAAGTCTTGACAAACGAACAAAAGGGCAAACTGAGATACAAAACTATTAAAGCATACCCTCGACTGTTCTCATCCAAAACTTTGAAACCTATCGATGCAAAAGTCACGCAGGTTTGAATCTAAAAACGATCATTTCCAATCTTGCAAAATCAGATGATCGAAGAGCGACCCGTTCCACCCCTTTTCTGGAAACCAAAAGGTCGCCACACGAGATTAAGATGGACAGGCGCTACGGAAAAAGAAATACCTGGCGTAGGTATGTTTTTTTTAAGTTTTAAGCTGATAAAATCTTTTCCTCTCCAGGAGGACGATTCATTCTCCCCTCTTTGGATCCCACAATGCCTGCTTTGAACACTGCTTACTCAACACAAGGAAGAGCGAGGTAGGAATACTTGAATATATCCCAATATACATGTGCGAACAGGGAAGAATGGGATAGCACATTCAAAATTCCCAACACATGGTCCCCAGGAGATGAAGCGGGTTTTTCTGTCGAGCACAAAAGCAAAAGATTCGTGGGTGGGAACGCCGGAGTAGATATGCCCGCAGCAGGGTTTTAAACTTAAAAATAACCCAATAACTGCATAATAATAATAATAATAATAATAATAATAATAACACTGCGTAATAATTAATAAATATATTAAAAGCTCATTGTTGTGAGGATGGTCATAAAACGAAATGCACAATAGTTAATGTGTTAGTGATATGACAAGTGAAGGACAAAAGTAAAATCTGGGGTAGGGTTGATTATTAAGTTAGATTGCAAAACTTGTTAAAATAAAAAAAACACTATCACAGATAGTTAAAACCGTAAAAGTAATTAAGGCAACGATAATGGCGAAGCTTTGAAATTACACTCTAAATTATGCAATGGTAGGGTCCTGGGTTTGAACCAGAAGCGGAGTATCCTGGAAATCCTCATCTGAATTGGTTTCGTCGTTCAACACTTTCTTAGTCACAGCAGCAAGTTTTTCACGATTTTCTCGGCGTTCTTCTGCCGTGAACTTTCGGACAAACAGACTTTTCATTAACCGTCCCATTCTAGTAGAAACATCGTTCCCGTCTTTCCCCGGCTTCCATTCGGAACTTCCAAAGAAGGACTAAAAAGATTTATACGGTGAATAGCTGATAAATAGCTAGGAACTGACCATTTCCTGCGTTTTACTCAAGAGCATAGCCTTCCTATCTCTCTTTGTCTTTCTTCTTTTCCTTCTCGATCTTTCATTTGGATAAATATTGTTTATGTACTGAATGAAAGGTAATGCGGTTCCTCCCAAGAAAATTGTCGTGAACAGAATTAAAATAAGCGTTGTGGTCAGGATTACAGTTTTCTTTTCGCGTTCTAAGTCCATATAGAGCACTAAAGCGAAACAAACAGCACCCCTCATGCCTGAATGATATTATGCTCGCTTCTCTTGGAACTTCTTGACATACCACTAAACCACATAATTATTTGATTTTTCATAGAAATTTGCATCTCTTTTCTGCATTGATTAACCATATAAGATAGCGGGAACACATTGAGAGCTCTTCCAACTAGACATAGGACCTGTAATCTCTCAATATTTATAGTTTGAGCGGTATAACTTACCAAGCTCCAAAAGATAAAAGAGGGTTGTACATTAAGCTTGATCGTAAAAAAGGCCATTCCAATGTATGCAAAAGTGGATGTTTCTGAATACATCATTACGATTTAAAATTGGATTGCATTCGCACCTGCTACAAAGGAAATCGTACGAAAAGTTTGACGGAAAGTAATCTGGGTAACAGGGCTCACATTCTGCTGTGTATATTGTGACATGGTGATTCCACAGAATAATATAGCCATTATCCCTTCAATAGAACGAATTAATTGCTATTGATTGTCCAGGAAGTACCTGAGAGGGATAATGATTCAGCGAACCCATATGGGATATACGAGAAGACAAGAAGTAAAGCGAACTCCAAAGATGGTGTTTTCCTCAAATCAACATGTTTGAAGAGCTAAAAAATAAACAATGAGAATGTTGAGATAAAACTTCTCTACCAATGCGCTCAGTAACCCTACAGCTGCTCCTAATATAGCTGAAAAGACAAACATGGTGCAGAACGTTCCGATAACACTCGAAGCGACTTCAAAGTTAGTCAAATCCGAAGGCTTCGAATGACGAAGAGCTGTGTCCGCAAGAACGATGGAAACAGCATCGTTCAACATTGATTCACCAAAAACCAGCATGTATAGTAATCCCTCTACCTAAAAAAGTTTTGGTTAAGTCTCTTTACGGTGGAAACCCTCACTTTGACAGCTTGGAAGATGGCTAATGTAGCTACAGGATCTACAGCTGAAATCATAGACGCGAACGCGAAGCATTCCGAGAGACTAAGTGAGAAAACCAAATCAGCCTAGAATTTTTGAAAAATTACTAGTTCAATTGAAGCTAACTTACTTGGCCTAGAACATACACACATATCCCGATCACAAAAGCAGAAATCGCTGTTCCTAGGATGGCGAAAGTAAGTATTGGCCAAATGTTGGAGAAGAAGTATCCTTTGTTCAAGTTATAAGCATTTTCAAAGATGATGGGAGGCAGCAACACAAGGAAGAAAACATCTAAATTAAGAATGTTCTGCAGAGTACTATAACGACTATTACCTGGGCTGAGAGCTTCTATTTCACTATAATCACGTTCCGAGCAGGAAAGAATGAAGCCTATCACAGCTCCTAAAAAATAATTGATTGTGTCCGTAGGTTAAAAACAATATTATAAACTGATGAGCGCCTCATACCTAATATGACAATAGCAAGACTCTCGGGTATCCAATGAAACTCAGATATGATAAGCATATGTACAACTAAGGTTGCTAGTACGATAACGAAGAGAATTAGGAACAGAGCCTTAAAATATTAAAAATAGAAGATCAAAGCTGTATGGAAAAGTTCATACTAAAGATCTTTTCTTCTCCTCTACTTCGTTACCAACAATAGCAGCTCCATGTCTTTCAAGACTTGTGGAATTTGAATCAATCACAGCACTGAAAGTGGGATATATTAAACACAATATGAGAGGAAGCCATACCCGAGAGCATCCGTTTTATTTGTTAATGTAGGTTCAGTGTCAACGGCAGAAACGTTCTGAACGGCAATGAAGGTGACTAGAGAGCCACAAAGAATCAATGTAAGTAATTTCATTTTTGTAGTTAATACAGGAATCATCTTAGGGACGTGTTAAGCCGTAGCTTATCGTCCTTTAGCAATCAGAGCTGCACATATCCAGTGGCACAGTCAAATGAAACCTGGACAAATAGAGTTTTTAGAAGCGATTCGAGAGAAGTGACGAGAAAATTAAACAAGAAAAAATAGTTTAATTTCGATCAGGAAGATATGAGACTAAGATATGGAGGCAAAATAGGCCAAAGAAAATTCAAAACGCTATGATCATAGTCAGCCAGTATAAGTATCTGAAATGGTGATAAATAGAATTTTTTTTCAAAAACTGTCAATTAAAAGGCATAGAAAAGAAATGAAAAATACAGTAAGATGGAGTTAATCGAGGAAATTGAGGGAAAAAACGTGAAAAGTAATTAAAATTTGCAAAAAACAAATAACCGTTTCAATCAATTAGAAGAAGAGTTCAAAGGATGATGCACAACAGTTCTGTAATCCGTCTGATGTTAATCTGGTATAGAGCAGTCATAACTGCTTCATTCAGTAACACGTGGACCATTGACAATTTGTTTGGTTTCTTTGAACTCTCATCATTCGAAACACTCTCTCCTTAACTCCATGTTCTTCCTCCTGCATCGCCATTCGCAGCTAAGCCATTGCCTAGACTTACAAGTTTCATGCAATATCTTTTAGTTTCAGAAGTTTAATTATTTTGTGTTTTAGCTTTGTGGAATATATCACGAAATCTTTGAATATTCCTTAACGCTTAGTTTGTTTTTCTGTCCAGCATCTTCTTGTTATTGTGGTTTCCGCAAAACGAAAGCTGAAATCCCTAGCGGCTCTTCTTTCTTTATATGTCCTGCTCAATCTATTGATGAGAGCTCGTTTTGCTATACTGCATACTTTTTGGAATTATACATTGCCGTCTCAGTGTGCTGATCAATACTTGTTTCAGATTGTAGAATAAACTAGCTTCATGAGAAGATTGTACGCGCATGGAGTTAACTTCATTGAAAAGCGATTCCTTGCATAATCCTATTTTATTTCATAACTTTCATGGCGAAAATATCGAGCTGCTAGAACATAGACAACGGGCTTTGAGGAGAGCAAGCTTCGAGAAGGTAATCTTTCGAGCATTTCTTGCCATAATTTTGTGTTCAAGGGGGTGGTGTTCTCGGAACGTCCTTTGGATGAGAATGAGTACTTCTTCGTGTCAATAGAAACAGTAGAAGGAGGATGGTCCGGGCATCTAAGAGTAGGCCTCACAATTGTCCAGCCTGACCTTAGGCCATCAATCAGGTGCTCACCTTCAATTTATGCCTTTCACTCTTTAATATTCAGTGACTTCGAACGTAATTCATGGCTCTTGTCCGTATCACCTTCAATGGTACCAAACTCAGAGCCTGCGTCACATGCATTGCCCACTGAGGAAGGGTCTTTAATCGGCGTATACTATGAACGTTTGACTGGCCGACCAAGGTTTGTAAATCGTAAATTCATCTTGCGGTTTCAATCACTAATGTGCGAAGTAAACTTCTTATCATTTGAAACCATATGAACGCACAGAGCGGTTGTACTTCACACGAATCTAATCAATAATTACGAGAAAATTTTTTCGTATCAGTTGATCATTGTAAAACAAGATTAAAATATTATAGACTTCATGTCGTATTAAACGGCTTCGATGTATGTCCTGATGTTGGTCACATTCCATCAGATCAACTCCTGTACGCAGCAGTTGATGTGTTTGGCAGCACTAAAGAAGTATGACGAACGCAACGAATTTTTAAAGTGTATACTCAATATTGCAGATAAGAGTGGTGCTTCCTCACCCCCGAGAGCCCAACAAACTTTCCTCGCTTTGCTATGCAAAAGTAAACTGCATGGTTCAAGAAGGAAAATGCTCCGCCAGCCTCTTACCCGGTCCAATACGTTGTGCTATGGAAAAAGCTACTGCCAAAATTTATCGCTTTTGATCCGTAGATAGAAAAATTCCTTACTGAGCTTTAATTTATTTTGTACATACTGTTAGATCTTGAGTTGTTTTTTTTCTTTTTTTTCCCGATGTAAATAGTATTCATTCATAAAGATAAGAGTCCTCGATTTATTCATATAAATACGCCAAATTCTTTTATTTAGCCTTTAGTAATTTACAAGACATCATACCCTTTCTCAAGATGATTGGACATATGGAGAGAACGACTCGATGCCGCTACGTCAAAAGTCTCAGAAGGCCATTTGCCATTAGACGAAAGTAATAAGAAAACTATGCAGAGAATAGAAAAATGAATCGACTTCTTTGAAACCACAAGCTACTATTCTTGCACCGTCATAAGTGGCAATACAAAGTTAGGAGGATAGGGGAGAGAGAACAAGACACGAAATACAAGAAAAAAGACGTCGGAAGAGTAAAGGCCTGAGCCGCCGACCAGGGCCTCACTAGTTTAACAACTAAACATCATATGCGAAAATGGAGAAGCAGCAAAGCTGCCAATTTGAATAAAATAGACAAAATCCATAGTCAATAATCAAAATAGGGACTCGAAATAGACAACAAAGACTTGATAGGCTAAATAGCAGCGGACTCTACACGGTCAACCAAACCAAATCCCGGCTCAATAAATTTAGCTGACTATATACAAACGGACACAAAGGTGTTTTAATTAAGTAGTACCGAGGTTGGTACTGCTCGCAAGGTGGTCGTTAAAGTTACTACAACACAAACTATTGCTCTCCTTCCGCCGAAGCGCTTTGGGATTGGTCTACGTCCAGATCCAGTCGAGGTAACGGTTTTCCTGAGGGAAGTTTCGTTTCAGGGTTTCGTAGCTCATCGAAGAAAGGATGTTCACATGCCTAAATACTTTTCGGTTATTTGTATTGTTTATGCAATAAGAAACAAGAAAGAATAAGGAAGAATAGGAACCTGTTGTGGGGTTGGACGGGCACTTGGAGTATATTGTATGATAGAAGAAATAAGATCAATGGCTTCCTGTGGGGTTTGAGACCGGAATACCTACAAATCAATGTATCAGAAATTACACATACATGCATGTGTTCTGATAAAAAGTGGTGAACCACTCAGAATACTTACTCTCGTCCATGGGTGAGCTTTGATTTGAGGAAACTTGAACTCTTTATAGTTGGGATTCATGTTTTGGATTTGCTCCTTAGTTGGGGTTCCTAATACCTATAATAGCAAAACAAAGGTTAACACATCCGAGAGCGAACAAACCTTGATTATCTCAACTAGCTGATCTACTCCCGAGTCTCCGGGAAAGATTGGCTGGGCCAACATCAGTTCAGCCATAACGGTACCTGCGGACCAAACGTCGATCGAATTGGTGTAATTCGTAGCCCCAAATATTAGTTCAGGGGCTCTGTAATATCTGGAGCAAATGTAAGAGACATTAGGCTCTCCCTGAAACAAAACAATCAATCAAGATCATATAGGCTATGCTCTTACTCTAACGAGGTATTTGGCAGAACCAAAATCGCATAACTTAAGAACACCCGTTTCTGGATCAATAAGCAAATTTTGAGGTTTGATATCACGATGGCAGATTCCGATGCCATGAATATAGGCTAATGCTCGCAGCAACTGGAGAAAATATAACTTTTACAAGTATACAAAAGGGATCTAACTTGGAACATGTAGAGCTTCACATAAATCAGAGGCAGAATTTGTCTTTGCTTGGAATAGTGTCGGGCAACCCTAAATTTGGTATGTCCAAGTTATTCTTAGGGATATCTACCTGTACACGGTCTCAGGAACATATTCTAATATTAAATTAAGATATAGCTCATCTTTTTTTTCTCCTCCGGAATAAAAGAAATATCTAAATGTCGGTATTGTTGAAATATTATTGTATCTTTAGTTATACTTTAGCTTCACAATATTTGGATGTGAAAGTTTACGCATGATTTGCAGTTCTCTGTTCTTGAACCGTTTATCTTGAAGAACTTTCTTTATAGCCACGTTCTCATTTGTATCTTGAAGCTTGGCTAGAAAGACCACACCAAACGAACCATTTCCAACAATCTTCTGATCGTAATAACTGACTTCAACCTGCAGTTATAATGCTTGTGAAGAGGATATTATTTAAGTAATTCAAACCTGTTGGTCAACTCCATCAGTCGCTACCGAGGCTACAACTGTTGTAACTTGTCGGCCGCTTTTAAGCGAACACGACAATTTGTTATTCATAGTTCTAAAAAATATAATTTATACTTATATTAGTAAGATTCTTACTATATGTGGTTGCACCTATAAAATATTTAAGATTAATCTTCAATGATAAACAGGAAAGCAGGAAATCCTGCCTACAACCCTGCTCTCTTCCTATAAAGTAAGATGTTAAAAAATTTGAATAAAACTATTAAATTTCACAGATAAGCAACCACGACACAGGGCCAGACACCAAGATGACGGCTTTAAACAAGTAAAATAATGAACAAAACAATGAAAATCACTAAGAAAATATAAATTTAGTTAGGGGAAAATGATAATATCATAAAACAGTTTTACTCTATCAGTAAGAAACAGCAATTAATCAGAAAAAAAGAATTAGATATGATGGGGCCCGTGTTGCGTGTGAGGCTGCGTAGCAGGGACTTGGATCGATAAAAGCGTCGCTCACCACATACCGCACGCAGAGCGGACATTGAAAACAAGGGAGACAAGGAAAAATAAACATAATTGAAATAAAGATATATGTTACAAAAAATTACTTAGTGTATTAGAACAGTTCTCTTTTCACAATTCTGACAAGAAAGTGTTGAAATGCGATGGTTAGAGAAAAGGGCTCTACTATACTTTCTGCCACCCCTCCATTATTATTTTGCGCGCGCTTTTCGTTTTCATTTTCTCCTACTCATTGGACCGGTTGTACGCCCATAAGACATACGAAGTAAGTATATCATATCAATTAATGGATTTCATAATTAAGATTTTCGAGGATTGGACCCAGACGTAAGAGCGCGCTAAACTGTTCGCCTGTGTTCGCGCTATGCCCTGTTTTCGGTTAATGTTGTAAAAAAAATGCTATCTGTCCTGGGACGAAAGTGCTATGTGAACTGTTCATTCGGCGAAGTGACTAAGAGCCGATGGGATTTATTCTCTGTATGTGCGCTTATGTAGGGAATAGCAATAATAGTTACCTAAAAATTAATATCTTTCTATATGTTGGTTGGAGCCTGGGCTAAGCTCCCTGAACAGGATTAGGTTTTTGCGTATAATTGATATTGAGCAAATTTTCGAGGCCGCTTACGCTAAAAATAAAGAATTTTAGTTCTTAAAATAAATTCTAATCATCTCGAAAAGGGGGGAGAGTTTTCTGATAACAAGATTCATCATATGAAAAACACGTTGAAGAATACGATTTCCAAAACATCTTTTTCTGAGCGCGTATTTTAAGAAGCTGCCCTAAAACAGTCTGTCAAGATAAACTCGGGTCTTTGTGAGCAGGGTTGTTAAAAGTCTTTAGTCCTTGTCCATACTCAAGTTACGGATATTACATTCACTTAACTATAAATGATACCAGCGGTCTTGAGTACGCCCAGGCACAACATAGAGGAAACGCTGACTGTCTTTTCGGCATATGCCTCGAAACGCTGTGGGTTTGCTGCTTTATGCGACCAGCATTGCACTTCCTCCGGGAAACGAGGCTTTCATCGAATTCTACGGTCTTGCCAGACCCTCCTATGACATTTGGTTCTACTAAGGATTTAAGCGTAAACTCGCCCAAGAAAGCTGTTGTAATCAAAAACAGTTTTATAGCGTCACATTTTCAAATAAACTAGGCGTAATTCCGTCGATGACATTTCATAACTCGACAATATAGAAAAATAAAATCAATGGTGGAAGTTATTAGCATTTGGAATGGTTATGTGTCAGACAATTGGTTATCATACACAATACCTTCAAATCAAGTCTTGAGCCTTAAGCTTGTCTATTTCGAGCACATTCTGCCTGTCCACCAGGGTCGATCTCTCTTATCAGAGCATAAGTTTCATCTCACGCCCACATGAACAAGTTTTACGAGAGAATGGAAGAAACCTCTCTTGGAGAAATTAGAGAGAGGATTCCTTGTTTGGAATGAGAGTTATCTGTTTGGTGAAGCTGATTTTAGTGCAAAATCGAATGAAACTTATGTTATTGTGACTTATGTTTTGGAATAGTTACATCAAATATGCTAATTATAACGTTTTCATTGACGTAACATGTTTGTAACATTCATTTACGTCAAGTGTAGATGCGGGAGCGGTTGTATATTTTCTCTATTTATAAGATGAGTAACATAGAACTAAGAAACGATTGATTAAATTATGTAAATTATAAGTGAGTAATAAGATTATTGATAGATATGTAAGGAATCACATTTATGATTCAAACTAAATTTGGCATGAGTTAAGCAGTGTTGAATAAGTAAGGCATCTCGTACAACGTATCAAACTAGTTTGAACCTTGTTAGATTGTTAAAATTCATACTATCAGAAGCACCTTCTAACATTCACAGCAGATCCCAAATAGGGAAATTTGATAAAACGTTCGAATAAAGACGTTAAGCAATCGAAAACTGAGGGTATTTAGCAGTCAGCAGGATAAGAATACAATGTATATGTATAAGAAGAAAACATAACTGGAAATGTTGTAAGCCTTAGGGAGAATTTAAAGATTTTTCAGTTCTCTCGTCATCGTACTGGAACGTTTTAGCGCTTCCTCACAACCTTCTAATTGATTCATGAGAATTTTTGCACAGCAAGCATATATCTTTGATTTCAGTAGACAAGTCTTACTTGCAACATTTGAAAAAAATTACTCAAAAAATATAGCTCTCAATTATATTAAAGAGATTTTAAGTAGCTGACTCAGCTTTGGACACCCGCGAAAGTAGAATTTAAATAGATTTTAGTTGTCGGACAGCTCTTAGCAATGGAGCGCGCTTATGTATTGATTGTTTTTTGGTCTGGTTCATCGTGTGTATTCCTAGGAAAATGATTTTGAAGCTTTTTAATTTTTTGAAAGTACGATCTAATTCTTACAAGATTATTTATGCACAGAACCAAATAAGCTACTTCAGGTAAAGAAGTCGTTTTCTTATAGAATACAATGGTGTCTGTTTTCAGTCGCAAAGATGTTGACTATTTAAGGTACAAAAGCTAGAAGGTGAATTGTGATTTTTGAAATTTAGCCAAGAACGTGCAGCTAGAATCGATGAAGATTTATTTACTAAATACGGGTTTAAAGTGGAACAACTTATGGAGTTGGCTGGACTAGCTTGTGCAAAGGCTGTATATGCTCAATACCCCAAAGGTTAGGCATACATGAATACAAAGCTGAAGAATGTGAGGAAGAGTTAAGAATGGTTTGTAATGGTTTAGAATAGGAAATCTCACTAAAAATGAGATACATTTGTTGTGTTGGAATAACGGGGGGTTATCGATGAAATTTTGTGGGAGAGCATGGCATGAAGTGTTATCTGCATTTTGAATACTGATTTAAAGAGGCTTATAGCTGTTGTAGAACGTCATGGAACCATTTGAGTTGTGTGAAATATCACAATTGCAACTCTCCAATTACTTTTTATACTTTTAAAAGTTTTCAGTAAAAGTTTTGGTTCTATGTGGACCTGGTAACAATGGAGGTGACGGCTTTGTTTGCGCCAGACATCTCAAGTTCTTTGTGAGTTTTCCCACAAGTCATAATCCTCTTTTTCTGTTGGTTGTTAATCTGAAAAAAATAAACTTTTTGTTCTACATAGTTCTATGTAAAAGTTCATTTTCAGGGTTTCGAACCATTCATCTGCTATCCAAAAGAATCGAAAAATGAGCTGATGAAATCCTTAGTTCTTCAATGTAAACAGATGGGTACATTTTTAAAACCGAATTTAATTTGTATAATTTAATTATTTTCAAGATATTCCAGTAGAATCCACTGTCCCTCAACTGAATTCATTCGGTCTTGTTGTGGATGCGTTTTTTGGCTTTTCTTTCAAACCTCCAGTTCGTGAACCATATATAGAAATCATAGACAAAGTAAAAGAATCAGGAATTTACTGCTTTTGCATTGATATTCCATCAGGTTAATTCTTTTATTATTTTACACTTCAAAAGATTAGAAGGTTAATGAATGAAAGAGAGAGAATATTTCATTCATCTTTTTTTTATACCAAGTGTGGTGGACAGACGTTGACCAATTGTCTTAAGGACTAGAATGATCGGTCAAGTTATTGACTAATCTATGTATTATTAGCTAATTAAGTGAGTTATATAAAATATTAGAGCAAGAGCAACCACTGCCTATTAACCGTTAATGGACATTATGAAATAGCAGACGTCTATTGAAATGTTTCTGTTCAATCTTTGAACATCTTATGCGCTTACTTTCAGGTTGGGATGTAGAGAAAGGAATGCCTTCAGAAGGATCTTTCATTAAACCACATGGAATCATATCTCTCACAGCTCCAAAACTATGTGTTAAGAATTGGACAGGCCCACACTTTGTTGGTGGACGATTTGTCCCTAAACAACTGATTGAAGAATATAATTTGTTATTGCCTATTTATCCCTCGGCTGATCAAATTGTTAAGTTAGAATGAAGGAATTGAAAAAAGAATGTAAAGAGTGTGGGTTGCCATATATCTCATAGAGGAATGTTCCATGGTCTGTAATATTAACAAGACCTTCGCATATTCGAGGAACACCGATGAATTCTGATGAAAGGTTATACGGTTAATATGGCAATCGTCTTTATATTTCTTTTCTACTGTTTGTTTGTCCTTTAACTCGTGTTCATTCGAGACTAATGATTTGCTGGGAAAGCGATCATTATGGTCAAAGACAACAATGAGCTGTCAGATGGACAAATGACAGCCTGTGCATTGCAAGTAAAAGATGCCTGCTGTGTTCATCTTTCTTTTTTTATCCTTTTCCTTTCGAGCTCTCCAGCTTTCTCTTTATCTTTACAACTTCTCCTTAGCCTCCCCTTTCTCTCCTTTTTTTCGCTTATTCATTAAATTTCTTTACTTCTCTCTTTATATCATCTTCTTTCTGCGACTCTTTCAATACACCTTGTAATGCATTAAATCATTGATGAGCTGGGGTCACAAAGTCCACATCACTCTCTGTTTGGTTTATGTCAGAATTTTTTTGAGGAATTTCTCTCTGTTCTTCATATCAAAAACACGACGAATAAATGGGATAGAATTGCCTAATTAGTTCTAACTAAGCTTTCTTTCTGGGATTTGCTCTTACTCAGACTGTCGCTAGATGGCTTCCAATTGTACAACGATTTCATCTTCAATAAGAGAAGCTGGAAGCTTCAAGGTTGCTTCTCAAGAAGGAATAAAGAGAAGACAAGGAAAGGACGTTCTAAGAAGATTCCTTGCATGCAAATTAGTATTGTAAGCCTAGTACGGTATGTAGGGCGGGGTAGACGTGGCCGCCTCCTTAACTCAATGGGTCGTCCAAGAACAACCGACATGATTTGGTCAGTCTAAGTCATATCGTCTTGAGACTACGATCGCCTTATCCATATTCGGGAGCAATGAGTAGCAGCAGTCTTTCTCCTTCATCGAGTAGAATGGTAAGATTCTATTGTTGAAGTTTTAATAAATGTTTTCTGTAGGCATTATTAGTCGATGAAGAAATGGAGCCGTACGTGAGGAAGAAAAAAAATGCTGGTGAATCACGAAGTAAAATGATAGGATTGAACGACGAAGTGAGTGAATCAGAAGGTAGCTGTCATCAATGGCTCATCCTTTTGTACTATTCATTTCGTTTCCTTTAATGGTTTAGGAGCAAAACCTTCTCAGAACTTCCATCAATTCCCGTGAAAGACGACGAATGCATGATCTGAACGACGCCCACGAGGAACTTCGTAGCTGTTTACCTTATGGACAAGAAGCTAACTCACGCAGATTGAGCAAAATTAGCACCATAATGCTAGCATCTAACTGGTATCAATGATTTGGAGTTCAACAATTCATATGTTGCTTCAGGATTCGTCAATTAACGAAGGAAAATCAGAGGCTAAAGTCTGAAGTGGAGGAGTTGCAAAGGTTGATTTCGCCTTCAGCATCCACGTCTTCACCTAAGATGAAGAATGACAAACTCGGACAAATCACTAAATCTATGAATGCCTCTGTCAACTTATGTGATAAGAATAAGATATCTTCTCAGGAAAATGTTGTGCCGAAGCCAACCAATTTAATTTCGTTAGGTTCTTTGAATAATACTTACGGTAACTTGCCGCTGTCATCTTCTGCGCTTCAAGCTGGAGGTAATCTTCCTCCACATAATGGAACAGCTCTAATCCCTATCCTTAATTTTCCTTTACATTGTTTAAAAATGTTTGGCCAACCATGCTTGTGCATTGGATGTGTCAGTTCAGGAACGTCTGTGCCATCAGCTCCGTCAACCCGTAAAGATCCTTTTTAACGTGATTGTACTACTTTCTTCCATCTTTAACGGGTTTTAACTTATTTCACTTCATGAATGTCAGTAAACGTTTTGAACTATTTGTGTTTAATGTAAATTTACATGTTCACAACTTTTTATTTCAACAAAACTAGTTTTAGCTCATTAACATGCTCGTTGAACTCGTTGATTTAGGACCGTCTGATATCCCGCGGCGTTTTTCCATTGATGTAATTCGGTAAATACAAAGATGATCCGGTTGAAAAAGCAAATTTGACGAGCCGTAATGATTTCGAATGACAGTTGTCGGTTTGTTAACAATTAGGTGTTGAACATGTTTTCCATTCTGAATATCTCAATCTTCAAGCTTACTTAAGCTTATTGTTGTTATTATTCTATTACATATTGCTATTACTGTATTATATAATGATGACGCAATTAACAGGATTAGTAAGTTTTACTCTGTTCAGATTGCATGTTGATATCTCAAGCTACCTATTGGCCCCAGACAGGTGGACTTCTTGACTTCTCTTATAATCTCTACGTATGTCATAGTCATGTCTTTTCTATATGTAGCTCATTATTCACACCTTGTTCAATAGAATATCTCATGATGCAATCTCGTCAAATGTTCCTAATATAGAATTAAAAGAAGACTGACATTAACAATTCCTCGAAAACGGCTTTGCAATTTTCTATAATAATTAAGACAAACACAAATCTCCTTGTTTCAATTATGCGGATTATCATCTTGTAAACACAAACTACAACGGGTGAGGCGGCAAAATCATTTTGAATTGTTGCCTACGTACTGACCGGTTGATCACGTCAATGTGAATATGTGTTATTTCAATGTTTCATATTTATTATATTATGATAGATATCATTTAAGATGCAGATTGTAATCTATATTGAAAAGTAAAGAAGATTATCCTCTAGTCCAAATGAATAAGGAGCAGGTGGTTTGTGGGGGCACCCCGTGGCTCCAGCCAGACTCCTTCTGCTTACATGTTATGGAAGTTATAGTGCTCCTCAGATGATAGGATTAATAGTGAATAAATGACGCAAATTGAAAGGGATTGATGTCAACAGTGTATTCATGATTTCGTACAATAATTTATTTAAATATCTCTTTGAGACAACAATATCCAGAAGATCAATAATGGATGATAAATGTATATATATATAACCTTATATATGATATATATAGTTAACTATGCTTATTATGTCAAATAAACTATATGAATAAATAGATGAAAGACGTCAGACTGAATATGTCAAAGGTGAAGCAATTGTTTAAACCATATTTACATCGACTGATTTTTAGAATTAGAGAAAGCGGGAACATGAACGAAGAATTGGGAAGTCAGAATAAATAGTGATGCCATTCAAAGTGATAAACAGTTAGTTGGAATTTGTTTTCTTGGATTTCTTTTTCTTCTTCTCATCGCCACAAACATATTCCACTAATTGTGGGATTTGACCGTTCTTGTGGTAGTTGTCAATGTGTTGTTCACCTCAAATAGTAAATAGTATATTAATAAAACGCATTCAACTTACTTCCGATGAACGTTCCACAGATGAACAAATAAGGTAATCCTTTATGTGCTGTTAACTGTTGTAAATGTCTTTCAACTAATTTAGGTCGTTCAATCTACAATTAAACCGGCATGAATCTGTAGCAACTGGCTTGACCTTACCTTATCAACATAAAAGGCTACCAATGGAAGACCGTATGTATCTCTGAGCAGAGTTTCAGTCTCTTTGGCTTTTGGATTGCGTGAATCGATGTAGAGAACAGCCGGCAGTTTACGAACCTGTTTGTATTGTGGTAAGCTTCAACTCTTAATGTAACTGTTACCTGTTGTGTTAAAGCTTGAACACTGCTTCCAACAACGGCATCCGGACCCTTGGTTGCTGGAGGTGGATTGGTGCGAGGAGCAGATGTTGTAGTTGTGGGTCTTAAATGGAAATGATTCTTCCGGAAATGGGTAATTCACTCACCTAGTTGGAGGACGTGTTGCTCGTGGAGTTGGTCTTGTAGTTGGTGGTGGAGCTGTGTATACAGGTGGAGGGTTAGTCACTGTTCCATAAGTTTCATAACCGAATTCATTTTCAGGCTGTAAGTTTTTAGAATGAGAAGAATACTAGGAAGAAGATTCGTGCAAAGCTGTGTTTCCTGCCAATAGCGATAAGATGTCACCATGCGTTATGAACGACGATACAGGTTTGATACACAACGTACGGGTAAAGTGCATAACTATTAACATTACCTGTTCTACACCTCCTACGAAACCACCAGATTCTCCAATACTGTTATGATCCAACTCCGATGGTTGTTGAGGATATCCTGGTTGCCCAACATGGGTACTGTAGGTTGAAGCTGGTCTGCCCGCTTCCACTGCAGGGCGAAGATTTTGAGGAAGGTTCGAAGGATAGTTTGTTGCTACAGGATGTGGTTGGAGTCCGGTTTGCTGAGCGGAAGGATGGGGTTGAAGTCCGGTTTGGCCAGGGGAATGAGGTTGAGCTACAGGAGCAGGAGTGGATTGGAGACTACCAGGACCAGAGTAGGTCACAACCTGAAGGATTCACACATCAGGCAACATTCACAAACAGGGTTTCAATACATACGTAAGTATAGTTTTCAAGTTAGGATATTTAGTGAGGTGTCAGGGTGGATAATAAAGAAGAAAACATCTAAAAAAAAATTCCATACCTGTGGTTTTGGTGGAGGAGTGACTTGTTGACCGTTCTGTGAGTATGAACTGTACACATTTGACAAGGCTGCGTTTTGATAGTTTGCTGATTGAGAGGATGATGGTGATGGTTGTGGTTGGGCTCCAGAGTTGTACCCCGAAGAACTAGGCTGTCCACTGTTCGCTTGTCCTGGTTGACCAGCAGATTGATGACTTCCAGCAATTTCCTGTTGTCCGTAGTTTGGTTGAGCTGGACCACTAGGGTAGCTTGGGGAAGGATAAGAGCCTTGTGACACAGATGAAGCTGGTGGAACATAAGTTTGTGTTTGAGGATAACCATTTGATGCATAGTTGGATCCAGGTGCCGGGTACGCTGGTTGTCCAGATTGAGCTGAAATACCTCAAAATGTTTTAAATTAATTAAGATTTCAACATACTAGAATGAGAAGTCTGTTGTTGACTCGGATATGGCTGAGCTGGAGCTACAGCTTGTTGCTGTTGCGTTTGCTGACCATAGTACGTGGATGAGGGGTAAACAGACTGTTGACCAGCTTGCGCGGATGACAATTGTTGGCTAGATGGATATGAAGGATAGGTCTGACCGTACGTGCTAGAAGAGGCTGGAACCGAGTTAGCTTGCTGAGCTGTAGCGTATTGAGAGTAAGCAGAGTTCTGGTTTTGTGCCGTAGCTTGGGCATGTGCTTGGGCTTGGGCTTGGGCTTGGGCTTGAGCTTGAGCTTGAGCTTGAGCTTGAGCCGCTGCTTGAGCAGCAGCTTGTGCTTGAGCTTGAGCGGCTGCTTGGGCTTGAGCTTGGGCTTGAGCTTGAGCAGCAGCTTGTGCTTGAGCAGAAGCTTGGGCTTGATCAACGGCTGAGTATGCGTTGAAACTGTGTCCCGAAACTGGAGATTGAGTAGCTTGACCATATACGGCTGCTGCTGGAGGAATCGCAGTTTGTGCAACATATCCTGTTTGAGCGTTTTGCCCATACTGTGCAGCTGACTGTTGGGAGTATGTCTGTCCGTTGGCCTGAGAGTATGTTTGACTTCCAGGATAGGTTTGCTCGACAGATTGAGAGTAGGTTGATTGAGGTTGTCCAGCATAAGAAGAATAAATATTAGATGCTGCTCCCCCCTGAAATTGGATGTTTACTAATAAGGACTGTTATAGATAGTACCTGGTAGCTTGTAGCTGTGGCTGAAGGATAGCTTGATTGCTGATAAGCAGGTTGGGGCTTTTGACTCAATTGACCTGGTAACTGAATTCCATATGCCTAAAACAGAAAGTGTTATAGCGAAAAGTTCAATGAAAATGCAAGCTTGAAGCCGTTTACCTTCTGAAGGATTTCAAGATATTGACTGTATTTAGCGAGATTAGCTTGATCAATCTGGGCTACTGGTGCAGAAGAAGCTTGTGATGCTTGTTGACTTGCAAATTGAGAAGCGAACTGTGCCGCATTAGCTGCATATGCACTGGCTGTTGCAGTTGCGACGGCCTGATGTGAGTGAGTAAGCGGTGAATCGGGAGAGATTCTTACTTGATTTGGATAGAAACTGTAATCTGCCTGTTGTTGATATTGAACGCCAGGTTGAGAATTGTATGAATGGAACGTCATTGGCTGTTGTTGCTGATGCTGTTGCTGTTGCTGCTGTTGATCGTTGGTATTGAATGAAAAACTGAATGGCAGTTCAGAGTTGGATGTTCGGAAAGCATATGGCAAGGAACTCGACGAGTCTGAAAAGTGGAATTGAGCTTTATAATTTTATATATATATTTCCACGTATTAAGCGTTCGCTAACTGTTTGGTTGAGGGACATAGGTGTTTTGTGTGTACACCAAGGTTTCCGTAAAGATTGAATAGGAATATGGAACATCAAGCATCATCCATCTATCAAATCGTGCATCAATCACAAGTGATTGTTGATTCTCACTTTTTTCTCTTAGAGAAATCTTCTGCATCATTGATATATTTGGATTAAAAAAACTGAGCTTCCATCCATCCAAAATTCCCATCCTTCACCTCTCCCCCCATCTATCCCTTTCTGAGATGAAGAAAGTGGTAGAGAACAGTTCATACACGGACGCCCAGACATTCATTGTCTGAAGTTCAGAATCTGTCTCACACCTTTTCAGGCTGCTCTTTACACATCAAACCGACTTCTACAATCACACAAATGCTCTATTTTTTCTACGTAATTTCACACCAGCGGCCTGCTCCACCTTTTTAGTTTCGAATGAGTTGTCTCAAAAGCTATGCTTTTCATTTGCGACAAAAACTGTCTCTGACAAAAAAGGGAGCGAACCGAGTGCTCTAAGAGTCAACTTAACCTCGACCTTAGCGACATGGAGCCTTCTCTATTCAAAAGGTCAGAAGTTATTCTCTTTTTAACAATTTTTCTCTTACAGATACATTCATGCGCAAAGACAATTGTCTACTGAGGCAAATCGTTATCGAATTGATGATTGTGTCGTTCTTCTTCTTATTTTTCAACCGTCTCAACCATGGTCTCACACTCTATCGTCTTGTCGTGGACAAATAAGCATCGGATGAGCCGATTTCGCACATTGCAAGACAACATAGCAAACAATTGAGAAGAATAGGAGACGAGTTAAGAAAACGAGATGACGGGAAAACTGACCAAGAAAGAATGAGAAAGACATGGCTTGTGAACATAATGTTTGAAACTGCTAAATAGAAATTTATTGCGAAAGAAGGTAAGAGGTATATGGCTTAGGTGGGAGGGGGAGATGGCTCTCTGATTTCATCAAAGCTTTTGAAAAATTGAAAGTGAGTTACCAACCTGATTGATATCCATTCGATGACGAGTAATCGTGATATATATTACCTGCAATAAATATAATTATATAATGAGCTAATATAAGAGAAATAGAATAAGTTTTAAAGTGAAGCTTCTTGTGATTATGAGTGCATTCTTGAGAGCAACGTGCGAAACCTATCTCTTTCAGCTGTTAAGTGAGAATGGTCAAGAAGATAATGAAGATCGTTTTTACAAAAGATACACGCTCGAAGATGAATATGAGCTTACGAAAGGTAGCTTGAAAACGTTTTTTATTAGTTCTCATGAGCTCTATTCGTAGGTGAAAAGATCAATTTTGCACGCAGATGACAGGAGATTCTGACAGCTAGAAACAAACGCAGAAGTCCAAATAAAGATACGTAAAATGAAGAAAACCATCCAAAGATATATATAATGGAATGAGTGAACGAATTACCTGCTATGAACGGAATGAGGTATAACAACCAATGTAATCGTTTAATCATTATGTCGTTGTCTTAATTATGTGTAGATAGATGGTATGGATAAGACAGTATCGTTAAGAAGTCGCTGTATATTCGCTTAGAAGGTAGATTAGCTTCTATAAATCTGGAAGTATGAAAAGATAATTACAATACACGAACATCTTATATATGAAAACAATTACAGAAAAAATATCTAAAAAGGACCAGTGAGCTCTCCTGACTGTCTAATGTGTTGCTCAGTTAGTGTGTGCGTCGCTATTCGCTCAAATCGTTCCGTCGTCAACGAGGCTGTTCAGCCACACCCCCTGAGGCGATAGATGGGTGGGACAGAAGAAATCAGGTTGACCCTGCTCTTTTCACTGTTTTCAGCGTCTCTCATGTTTCTTCTGTATTCCTAAGGTCTTTTCCTTTTTGTTTCTATTTGTATCTCCGTTGCTCTCTTTCTTTTCAGTTCTGACTTGAACGCCTTCTAAACTTTCTCTCTCTTCTTCCCCAAAGTTTATTTTTTCTTTCGCCTGTATGACATTTGTGGCTAGTTCTTTCATGCAACCAAGAGAAGACTGAAATAGTTACTCACCTAATCTGTTCGTCGGCTTCAACTTTTAGCTTTTGAACTCAGAACGCTGTTTCTCTATAGAAAACAGCGAAAAGATTTTGGATGGGAGCAAACTTTGTTTATGCCAATAGTAGGAGCAGACAGTTCTTTCTTCAATAGATGGAATTGTTCAGTTTTTCGTATGATCTTCAACCTATGTTCTGCCGTAAACAGCTTCAGTGCTCTTCCCCTTCAGGTTTTTCCTTTGTTTTTGAAATTTGAATCCCAGCCTGTGACACATGGTCAGCATACAATCTTTAAGTTGTTCAAGCTAGCTTGACACTTTACATGACGAAGCGAGAGCAATTGAAATGAAAATTGAGACGGCTTCAGAACTTCTAACTGACCATTGATTGTTATGTAAAAAGAAAACAAATTTTAGAGAATAAATTTTCTTATTCATTAGGACTAAAGAAGCAGAATATCCGGTTGTACAAGAAATAATCAGCTTATCACTAATTTGACCAAACAGACCTCAACCGAACATTGTTTGGATAACTAAGTCTCCAAAAAAAACATAAGCCATTTTTTTTTTTTTTGTAATGGGATCATCTCCTATGAACTGCTTCTCTCTAAGCACCCTCTATGACAGGAACAGTAAAAATGTTGGGAAGAAACTATAAGCAGAAGAGAAACATAAGCTTAATGCTCACCTTGTCACCCAGCTCCTCATATTTTGCTTGTTCATCTCTTTCGTAGCAAATGATTTCTTCGACTATTGAGTTCAGTTGATCTGGGGCTTCCTTCTCCAATCATCAAAAATCATTTGATCGAGCTTTAAGAAACTGGACGGAAGCAGAAATTATAATGTTATTAAGATCAAGGATCGAATAGGTACCAAAGAACCAAGACAAATCCTACTGTAGAATAGTCCTGTTTATAACATATGTTTCTCACTTTTTATTTGGTTTCATGTATCCAAATAAATATTCGACGGGAACAGGAAACTCGTGTCAAAAGTTGATAATATCAATTACTTTCTATAAAGAAAATGAAAGTTTCGACAAACTTCTTAACAAGTGCATGGGGTTGAGACTGCATGTAAACTACTTACAAAACAGATAAGATATCGTAGTTTGTGATAATATTCTTTACTGACTCTCCAGAGAACATTCATTTTTTTCTCTACATCTTTTTGCGGTTCTCACAAGTTTACACTGACATCAAGCAGAAGGTTATACATCAAATTGGAGTTTCTAAAACCTACAGAAGTGCATATGTCCGAGGAGAAGCAGTCGGACACCAAGTAAGCGCTAACTTTGCCCTCTTCGCGTGCATACCTCAAGGTTCTTCTTGACTTTATTTCAATGCGAGTTAAGCTTCTTCTAGCGATTAAGTTAGCTTAGATTGCTTTCATTCTTTGTAGAAAGCTTTTATTTATCAATTTCTCAAGTTAAACGGTAAAAGGTAATATTGATAATGGTTTTAATCTGCTCTTTGTACCTCTGAGATATTCTGTATTCTTCTGTTGTTCTCTACGTATTGTTATGACGGTATAACTATCTCTAAACAAGTTTGATCGAACATGCGAAGTACAAAACAAAGAAGTTTACTACCATTTCATTGAAGGTACAGAAGCAGAGAAAAACAAAACGTGCGGCATACATTACTTATTTGTTTTCCATTTCATTTCTGCGGCTAGTAGATAATTTTTGTTTTTTTTCCACAAGTTCCAATGATAACTAAGATTTTATGATACATAATGAAGTTGTTATCATTCAAAGCACTTCTATCCAACTATCGCTACGCACTTTACACTTCGATCGTTCTTTGAGTTGCCTTCGGTTACCTCATGTCCAGTCTATCTAAAATCAAAGATATAGCAGTTTCTCGTTTGTTTGTATCGACCGTTTGATATCGAGTTTGATTCCTATACTCTTGACTTCTTATTCTCTTTAGGGTTGTACCTTATTGGAACGAGAAATACTGAGGAAGCTGTGATCAGTCTTCTAGGAACTTTTTGAATTTACTGCAGAGGCATCAGACCTCATTTGGAGAATGAAAGAGAGTGATGGACAAAACGTAAGTTTCAAATCGATTTTCCCTTCTATCATTCACTGTTTAGAATACAAATAGTGTAGTTCATTCACTTCTCTCCGGAGCTATTGCTGGAGCAGTTGCTAAAACAACCATCGCACCATTGGATCGTACAAAAATATTCTTCCAAGGTACGCTTCATGCAACTTCAGTTTCATAGCGTACAGTTTATAGTATCAAGTGTCCATGGCTATTCTTTCAAATCTGCTTTGAAGTTTGTAAAATTAACGTATAATCAAGATGGTGTTCTGGCGTTGTATCGAGGAAATTCTGCCACTATGGCTAGAGTTATTCCATACGCTGCATTACAGTTTGCTGCTTTCGAGCAATATAAAAACTTATTAAAAGTAGATCATAATGGGTATGTTCAAAAAGTTTTGAAGATGGCTAAACAATTCCATTATAGAACTCGTACCCCGTTTAGAAGAGTGTTAGTAGGATCTTTAGCTGCAACCACAGCTACTATAGTAACGTATCCGTTAGATACGGCAAAAGCTAGATTATCAGTGACAAGCAAAAAAGAATATAGAAGCTTGCGATCTGTAAGTGTTCTGCTGAATTGATTGTTTACGAAATTCGTTCTCTAGGTTCTGTACAAAACTTATATGGAAGGCGGGTTAAAGTTGCTTTACAGAGGTATTCATCCAACGATAGTAGGTAATTTGCATTTCAATTGTTTGGAAAATATTCAATCATTGATGTTTAGGTGTAATACCTTATGCTGGTACTTCTTTCTTCACTTATGAGACACTGAAAATCGTATATGTTGAGGAAACAGGAGAGGCTGTAACAGCTCCTTGGAGAATGCTCTTCGGTATTCAATATATATTCTTCCTTAGTGTATTTCGTGTTTGCAGGAGCATTTGCTGGTTTGATTGGTCAAAGTAGTTCGTATCCTTTCGACATTGTTCGTCGAAGGATGCAAACCGGACGACACCCGAAGGAAATGGGTGTGTTTAGGTTTATGTTGTACATTTATCAGACAGGTATTTCGTAGTTTACATGTCGTAGTTTACTAATTTTGCTGATTTGAAGAAGGATTGAAGCGGGGATTGTACAAAGGTTTGAGTATGAATTGGATCAAAGGACCCATAGCTGTGGGCGTTTCGTTCACAACTTACGAAGGTTTACGTGAATTATTATTGAAATTACCCTAGATTATTAGGATAGGTTTTGTAAGAATTATATGAGTTTTTCAAGGTTTTCTTGTATCTAGTCATAAATTTTCGTTTTTGTTGTTGTTTACTATTATCGTTGCAGAGTTTTGATAAAGCTAGATTTTTTGTTGTTTTTTTGTTCGCACTCCCTGAATCATCAAAGAAAATGTTTTCTGATGCGTTGACGAAAGGGATATTGATGAGGCATTTGAAGAAATTTTGAATTTAGATTATTCTTATTGCAAAGATTCGATTTCAGGATGACATAATTTCTTATTTTTTCCAGAGTCCAGAGCTCGAGAAGTATTTTATTACTGTTCGGTCAAACATGCTCTAAAGAAAGCTCTAATACCTCTTGGTTTACGAACTCTATGATGATTGAAGCAGTAAGCTATTGAAATTTAACAGAGTTAATTACTTTGCGTTTAGAGGAAGAAACATAACAAGCGAACACAAATGAGATTTTCAAATTTTATTCCATGAAATTGCTTTTCATTTTTCGAATAACTTGAGATACTTATGTCTAGGACAGTGAAAGTGCGAAAACAGTTCAAAATCAGAAGCTTTCAGTTTGACTGGTTAGTGTTCTGATAAGATATTCTGCAGTTGTTCATCCCTCGTTGCCTTTTCAGAAAACCGAATGTGCTTATTTGAAACTTTTGAGATCAATCCAAGGAACGTTGGCTTGTCAAGTGAGTTTAGTCGTCATGTTACTGAAATTCATTCATTTTTAATAACAGGATAACTTAAAAAGATCGTTTCGATCTCGGAATCACGGATCACTCAATAATTGAAGTAAGTAGATATATCATTTACCTTTATATGCGCTGCTCTGGTTCACACGAACAAAACTATCTGTTATACTCTCGACCCATTTCGTATGCTTAGGCAGTAGCTGAAAGCTATTTAATTTTTTCGCTGCCTGCATTCTACAATCATCCCAGGTATATTGCCGGAGGCGTTTTAAGATCTTTTCGGATTCATTCCGTACCACGCACTTTGTGTGAGCGGTTGTAGAATCTGTCCATTTTCATTCCGTCCCAAATTCGCCGCGTGAGCGGCTGTCGCATTGTACGTTTTCATTTTCTTCCGTGCGTGTAAGGAGAGCGGTCGTGAAATCTTGTACGTATTCACTACGAACGTGCATTGTGAAACTATTTGGGTTCTCAACTGCTATCTATTCCGTCACTCATGAATTACCTTTGTGGACAAAAAATGAACTTAAAATGAACCATATTAACTAAGTTTTATACGTTTGAACTTGATTGTCTGGAAAACTTGTGTTTCTCAAGGTACTACGTGCAAACAATTTAATAGTTCTAATAAATAAGGTTGTGAAATATCTCTTACAATTTCAACCCTATTGTTTTTCTTTCGTTTCTAGGCATTTCAAATAACAAACAGATGTAAAGCTCTAATTATGTCTAATGTTGAGATCTGAAATTTTTGAAATTTGAATGAAAATGGGAATGAGGCAGGTTCATTCAATAACAGATCTTTTCATATGATTCGTTTTACTCTTTCTTCCTTTCTCTGTCATCGACAGGAAAAGAGCAAATTCTATGGAGAAGAATTCAGTAGAAACGAGAGAGTAACAGCTGTGTTCTGACTTAATTTTTGCTTTATTCACATGCTTCCTCTGAAACAGAAGCGTAATTCAACACATTAAGCTTCACTCTTGTAACGTCTGTTGCTCACACATTTCCGTTGAAGAAAATAGAACTCTATCTGCAAAGGTGAATTGATTTGTTTCAAGAAAAATGTTCTCTTTAAATTTTGATGATCTCGGCTGTCACTTAGTTGTCTCAAGCTTTTTCTCATTTTATATCCAATATCTTGGACTTGGCTATGAATAGACTTTCAAATCAAAATGCCATCTGTCATAAGATTTTCTTTTTATCTTTCATGAGCTTATCGTAAGCTTCTTCCTTTTTCATATGAAATGCAGATATCTTCATCAAGCGTTGTAAACAAGGTTTGCAAGCTTTACTAAAATGAGTTCAAATCTGGGATTTTTGACAAAAAAATTGCTTTTTGTTTAATTGCCATTCTACTGGCATTCTTTCCTTTTGCTTGATGTTGTGAGCATGTTTTGTTTGTTCAAAATATTGTTTGCCATACTTCACACTTTCTTTTTGTGAATTTCATAATGCATAACCTTTTTTTTTGTCTTTTAAACCAACTGAAGAATCGATGGACTTGTAGTAAAAGCAGACGATAACTATGTTGAAAAGACATGGAGGATGAAGAAGAGAAGAGATGTAGAGGATGAGGAGGAGGAGGAGAAGAAGCAGAAGGAGTATGAGAAACAGAGCTTGCTAGCTGGAAAATAGCCTGACGGCTGGAATGAGAAATAAAGAGCAGAGAGAGCATTGAGAGTGTGTAGACTGCCTTGCGGGTAGAAATGGAGTAGTGCAGTCAGCCAATCTCCAACAGACGTCCATGTCCCCTCTGATTCTTTTAGTTTTATAAATTATTATATTCCATAGGTAATATATGATAGTAATGTAGATGTATTTTTGATATCCATTCTCCTCACCAATCTGTTAGCTTTCGATTATCTAATTTGCATATATTATATGCAATCGAAGCATAATGAGCAGAATAATCAAATGATCGCTTATATGGTTAACCATTATATCATACATATAAGGAAAATATGTCTATATATGTCTATATAAGCTGACATTCATCTATCGAACAATACTGATTTAATCCTTAAAGCATTAAGCTTTTTTCAAATATTTGTCATCGATTTTTATTCTCTTTTTTTATTAATTATTCTCATATAATTAGTTCTTATATATATATTCAAATTTCGTTTTTATTTCTAAAAGCTCTCTTGATTGGCGACGACAAAAAGGACAGCTCCCTTAGGACATTTTCCTTTACATCCCTTCATCAGCAGTTGGCTAGCTTCACTTACTTGCCAAAAAGCTTTTTATCACTTCATATCTTCTAGATTCACGTCAATTCACGTCAGTCGTTGTCTTCAATGTCGTTTGACGTAGCGAGCGGTTGTTTATTTTCATTTTAACGTATATAATCGTTAAGAAAATTTCCAAATTTTCACGTTTCATTTATTTGATTTAGTTGAAGATGACTCTTGATATTTGGCTTTTTTTCTTCTGATTTTGATGATCTTTGTTTATTTAAAGTTGAGGTGGCAAAGACACTTTCTTATTAAGTTAAAGAGTTTCATTTATAGTTGAATGTGAAAGATATGAAAGTAGCTTTTATGTGAAATGATGTTAGATAAAGAGAGAGAGGGAGAGAGAGAAAGAGGAAGAGAGGGAGTTTGTCTATGACGTCTTCTCAATAGAGAGTAAGAGGATGAGCGGAAAGAGAGGGAGATGTGTTCCTCTTTACACATTTTGATCTAATACATTGTCTGAGATAATGTGAACCCATTAGTTCTCGATCGCCAAAAAATTGTTTCGTGTGTTCGAATAAGAACTTGTACTCGCTCTTCGTCAACCTCCATACCATTTTAATTATTTATATTCTTTTACTTTTTTATAGAGTTCAAGATGGATGACACACACAAAATGGGATTCCTGGGGGCAACCTCATACGTCATAGGAAACATCATTGGCTCAGGAATCTTCATCACACCAACATCTATATTAAGATGTACGGATAGTGTAGGATTATCATTAGTTATTTGGGTTACATGTGCTATAATAGCTATATTAGGTATGAAATATATAATATTTGCATATGATTATACTATATATCATTCAGGAGCATTATGTTATATTGAATTAGGAACATCTATACGCGAAGCCGGATGTGATTTCGCTTACATATGTTATGTTAAATGGTTTATAGATAATCTATAAGATCTTTATAACTGTCCATATTTAGGTATTCAATAGCTTTTGCTTTCATGTGGGTTTCAGTATTAATGACATATCCAGCTACGATAGCAATTATTGCTCAAACGTTTGGACAATATCTAACAGAAGGACTAAAACAGGTATGAAGTGAGTTACTGTATGACTGTATTAACCATATATGTCTTCTAGTATTACGATATCGATGAAGATCTTATTCCATTATGTCAAAAGTTATTCGGATTTTCCTTATTATGTAAGCTTTATCATTTATATCAGTATAAACTCATATAATTGATTGTAGGGTTGGTTACATGGATGAACTTCTTCAGTTTGAACAAGTTCGCTGCTCGCTTTCAAATTTTAGCGACAGCAGCCAAGCTTATATCTTGTGCTGTCATTATTGTTACAGGATTTTACTTTTACTATATACGAGGTATTCATTGTGATGTTGTTAACTATTACCTAGTCATACAATTAGGTTGGAAATCTAATTTGGAAGATCCAATGAAGGGGTCCAATTACCGCATGGGAGATTTAATTCTTGGATTTTATGGTGGTCTATGGGCATATTCTGGATGGGATGTGTTGAATTATTCAGCTGGCGAAATAGCTAAGCCACGCAGGTAGAGCTGCCCTCTGTAATAGTATAATGATTTTTATACATTTTATAGAACAATACCCTTAGCTCTATTAGGAGGAATAGGAATAGTCACAACTGTCTATGTGGCTATTAATGTAGCTTATTTCGTTGTTTTAGATGTTGAAACATTCAAATCTTCTAATGCAGTTGCTGCTGTAAGCTTTTTCTTATCGAATGTATGATCAATGAACTTCATATTTGCAGTTGTTCAGTCAAGCTACTCTTGGCTCTTTCGCTAACGTCATACCTTTCCTTATTGGAGTTTTGCTTGTTGGCTCATTGAACAGTAATCTTTTCTCAGGAAGCAGGTATGTTCTATAACATATCATCAATCTATATAATATATATTTAAAGATATATGTTTGCTGCTGCTAGACAAGGTCATCTACCTTCTTGCTTTGCTTTGGTTAATTTAGAAAATGAATCTCCGCGTGTTGCAGTCTTTGCTCAAGTAACTCGCATATCCTAATCAAGTTGTTATAATATATATATTATAGTCTGCGTTGGCTATAGCTATTTCGTTTGTTGGAGACTTAGATGCTCTTATTAGCTATTGTATGTTTGGATTTTGGGCTCAGCGTATTTTCACCTTAATTGGATTATTGATAATCAGACACAATCATATTCCTGTTCATGCTGATGCTATTCGCATGCCACTCTGGTGGTAAGTCTACATTACTCAAACAATTTCATTAATTTAATAATATTTGTAGCATATACTCATTTCTGATCATAACAATTGCTCTTGTTGTTATTCCTATCTTCCAAGAGTTTGAAGTAACCTCTTTAGCTATAGCTATTCTTCTTGTTGGATTTGGATTATACTATATCTTTATACATAATAATATTCTACCAATGTGGTTATTAGAGTTTAATGGTAAAAATTATATTAAAATAATCCTCACAAATAATAATCTGCTTTACAGAGAAGATAACCTTCTTCTGTTGCATTGTATTCAACTGTCTACCAGACATTAAGCCGGGTGTTACAACTATTTTGGCTTCATCTGACTCTAGTCAAGCACTTCTTGTCAAGAGGTTTTGAATTCTTTCATTACTCTCTGTTTATTGTTTATTTCAGATTATCACAAACACGGCTATCAGATGATTCATTACCTGATTTACATTCTGATGAGAAGAATATTCTTCGTCGCATTGGTAGCTCTAATGGTTTGAAGATGATACCTGTACCTTTCATCAAGTCTACTTCACCTCTAAGAAAATAATTTTTTGTTTTAACTGACCTCAGAATTGTTTAATTTTTTTTCTCAAAAATCTTTTTCTTTCCTTTCTCTCTCTCTCTCTCGTAACCCTCAATCGGTGTTGATATACGTGTATTTTGTTATCTACAAGAATCCTTTAAGTATATATCCGTTACAGTCCGCTCCATGCTTACGTGTTAAACTCAATATTCTCTATGAATGTAGTTTAATCTGTTAGTTTGATCATGATCGAGATCACATATTTGTAGATTTTATTTCTTCCATTGATTATTACTGACGTATTGATTGTTTACGGAGAGTTACTCGACCCTTAGGTTTACT